ATCAAGGGCCAGATCGGCGAGCCCAAGTTCAAGGGCGAGATCATCAAGCCCATTCTCAAGGATGCCGCGGGAACGCCTATTGACGTCTCCGCGCCCTGCACTACGGGCTGGAAGCAGATCCTGGACAGCCAAGGTCCCGAGGCCTTCGCTCGCGCTGTGCGCGCCAACAAGGGCTGCTTGATCATGGACACCACCTGGCGTGATGCCCACCAGTCCTTGCTTGCCACCCGTGTGCGAACCATCGATATGCTGAACATCGCTACTGAGACCAGCCACGCATTGAGCAACGCTTACTCGCTCGAGTGCTGGGGTGGAGCCACCTTCGATGTGGCTATGCGCTTCCTCTATGAAGATCCTTGGGACAGACTGCGCAAGATGCGCAAGGCCGTCCCCAACATTCCCTTCCAGATGCTCCTGCGTGGCGCCAACGGTGTTGCCTACTCCTCCCTTCCTGATAACGCCATCTACCACTTCTGTAAGCAGGCCAAGAAGTACGGTGTCGATATCTTCCGTGTCTTCGATGCCCTGAACGATCTCGACCAGCTCGAGGTCGGTATCAAGGCTGTCCACGAAGCTGGTGGTGTCGTTGAGGCCACCATGTGCTACAGTGGTGACATGCTGAACCCCAAGAAGAAGTACAGCTTGGAGTACTACCTGGGTCTGGTGGACAAGATCGTCCAGATGGGTCCCCACGTTCTTGGAATCAAGGATATGGCTGGTGTGCTCAAGCCCCAGGCTGCCCGTATGCTGGTCGGTGCCATCCGCGAGCGCTACCCCGATCTCCCCATCCACGTTCACACTCACGACTCCGCCGGAACTGGTGTCGCCTCCATGATTGCTTGTGCCGAAGCCGGTGCTGATGCTGTGGATGCCGCTACCGACAGTCTGTCTGGTATGACCTCGCAGCCCAGCATTGGTGCTCTCCTTTCTTCGCTGCAGGGTACCGAGCACGACCCCAAGCTGGACCTGTCCCAAGTCCGCGCCCTGGACAGCTACTGGGCTCAGCTTCGTCTGCTCTACTCTCCCTTCGAGGCTGGTCTGACCGGCCCCGACCCCGAGGTCTATGAGCATGAGATCCCCGGTGGCCAGCTGACCAACCTGATCTTCCAGGCCAGCCAGCTGGGTCTCGGACAGCAGTGGGCTGAGACCAAGAAGGCGTATGAGGTGGCCAACGAATTGCTGGGCGACATAGTTAAGGTTACCCCCTCCTCTAAGGTTTGCGGTGACTTCGCCTCCTGGATTGTCAGCAACAAGCTGTCCGCTCAGGACGTGCTCGACCGCGCCGATCAACTCGACTTCCCTGGATCAGTCTTGGAGTTCTTTGAAGGTCTGATGGGCCAGCCCTACGGCGGCTTCCCCGAGCCTCTGCGTACCAAGGCCCTGCGCGGCCGTCGCAAGCTCGACAAGCGCCCCGGTCTGTACCTGGAGCCAATGGACCTCGTTAAGGTCAAGAATGACATCCGCGAGAAGTTCGGTGCCGCCACTGAGTGCGACGTCGCCAGTTACGCCATGTACCCCAAGGTGTTCGAGGACTACCGCAAGTTCGTGGCGAAGTTCGGTGATCTGTCCGTTCTGCCGACTCGCTACTTCCTTGCCCGGCCCGAGATCGGCGAGGAGTTCCACGTCGAGCTGGAGAAGGGTAAGGTCCTGATCCTGAAGTTGCTCGCCATCGGTCCTCTCTCCGAGCAGACCGGCCAGCGTGAGGTCTTCTACGAGGTCAACGGTGAAGTCCGCCAGGTCAGTGTCGATGACAACAAGGCCTCGATCGAGAACCTCGCCCGCGCCAAGGCCGATCCCACGGACAGCAGCCAGGTCGGCGCTCCCATGAGTGGTGTCGTGGTTGAGATCCGCATCCACGATGGCCACGAGGTCAAGAAGGGTGATCCTATTGCGGTGCTGAGCGCCATGAAGATGGTATGTTTTTATTTCTTGTTTTCTATTATAGACATGAACGTGATGCTAACTCTCGTCTAGGAAATGGTGATCTCCGCCCCGCACAGCGGAAAGGTGTCCGGCCTGCAGGTCAAGGAGGGCGACTCCGTCGATGGCCAGGACCTGATCTGCAGGATCAGCAAGGCGTAAAAGCATAGTGACTCTGTACTACCGAACCATGCACGATCTGTGATGCGTGATGTGATTAAATGATTTCCCGGCGTTTTTAGTTCTTTATGTTTTTCCAGTTCATCTCTGGATTGAGGCAATTTGTTGTTCTAGCTTATTCGGAATCAAACAGTATTTCTTTCGTTCAAAGCGTTTCAAAATTTAATAGTACATTCACTCACAGATCTCCATACGTAGTTCCGTGCCCGTGCCAGTAATCCCCCGGGGCCAAATGTAGCTCCGAACTTCTGCTGTTCTCCCCGCAAAGCACTTCTTCTCCAACTGCCGATGGCCAATGGCCAATGGCGAATTGCCGAGCTCCTTGTATATCACCAATAAAACCCAATCGCCTCGTTATCTCGGCTACTAAGTGTCCGAAGACTGCGGAATGAAGTGCGCGAGACCGTCTTAAAGGGCGTGGTTCCGTGGTTCCCCGGACTGGGACTACTTTACTCTACTTGACTCTTCAGAATAGAGACATGTGTGATAACGTCTACTGTGCCACTTAGGAACATATACGCTCCACTCAACTCGACCATCAACAGAACAGAAGCCAAAGATGGAAACAACCCGCCGTTCTCACCTTAAATCCCTCGCCCACCGCGGTACAATTCAAGGCGTAACAATCTCAACATCGTCTTCTCCCACCAGCCAAGCCAAAGACCTCTGCCATTACTTCGGCGGCGTCCGCTACGGCCTTGCCCCCGCCGAGCGCTGGCGCCGTGCCCAGCCCCTACCTGCGTCGTTCAGCTATGGCAGCGATGAAGAACCGGGCCGCTGTGATGGGGGTGCAGGGCTTTGTCCCCAACCAGGTTTTCTGAATATCACGCCCGAGAATCCAGATGCGTGGAACGAGGATTGCTTTCAATGTAATGTTTGGACGCCTATTGGGAAAGAGCCTGAGGGGGGATGGCCTGTTTTTGTTTTTCTTCGTGAGTATTGTCTGATCGAATCTAGGATATATGGGGTTCGGCCCAGGAATGGGCAACAAGTTCCCATATACACCATGCTGACAGGCATTGTTCGATGCAGATGGCGGATGGCTTCAATTCGGCACGCCCAATGCATTCAATGCAGCTGCCTTGATCGGCGAGGCTGGTTTCAACTGCGTGGTTGTGATGCCTGCGTACCGGGTCAACCTGTTCGGATTCCTCTACTCAGCCGAGCTGGAGGAGGACGCAGCTACTGTTGGAGAGACAGTCGGGAACCACGGATTCTGGGACCAGAGACTAGGACTAGAATGGACGAAGGAGAATATCCGACTATTCGGCGGCAATCCGGAGACTATCACGATCTCAGGATATTCCGCAGGCGCCAATTCCGTCTTCCACCAACTAGCCTACGACCTCCGCCAACCAGACAAGAACTCCCTCATCCGCCAAGCCTGCATCTGGTCAAACAGCCCAGCCGTCCAGCCTAAGCAGCCAACCGAAACACAAACCCAATTCAACCAACTCCTAACAGCCCTGGACATCCCGCTCACCCTGCCAAATAGTGAGAAACTCAACCGGCTACGTTCAATTCCCGCAAAAACCCTCCTCGACAAAGCAAGAGCAATCCCTCTTCACCAATTCCGCCCAACAACAGACACATCCTTTATCTCCACGTCCCTCTTCACCACCCTCGACACCGGCGCCTTCGCCCACTGCCTGCTAGCCCGCAACGTCCGCATCATAATAGGCGAATGTCGCGACGAGCGCTTCCTGTACAGTACATGGTTTCCACCGACGGAAAACACCATCTCCGCGCTGCGCACTCGTCTCGTCGCAGATTACCCAGAACACATTGTCGACGCCGTCATAGCGCTGTATTACCCAGACGGCCGTCTACCGACGCACTGCGAGAACTGGGACCAGGACGCGTGGGGGAGGATCTATGCTGATATGCAGGTGCATCAGATGCAGCGTGGGCTTGTGTATGCATTGACGGAGAACGAGGGCGGGGTTGATGCATCAGCGTTGCTGTTTCGGTATCGGATTGAATGGCGGGCGAAGTGTGTGGAGGCGGCTTTACCGGTTGAGTGGGGGGTTACGCATTCGTCGGACTATCCGGTTTGGTTCTTTGGGAATGGGTGGTCCTTCGAGGAGCGGGAGAAGGGGGTTGCGATGGAGGGGTTTGTTGGCCCGTTACGGAGGTTTGTTTGTGGGGAGAAGGAGTTTGGATGGGGGACTTCTGGGGCTAGGGGGGTTAGGACGCTGAAAGGGGATGGGAGAGTTGAGATTGTGGACGATGAGCATTGGGAGGAGGGTGTTAGGGTTTGGAAGGTGTTGAGGGATGCTGATGGGATGGGATCGATTCAAATACATAGATCTGAACATAGGTTGTAGGTATAAGTATAGATATACCACTCACTAACTATTCACCTTGATATCTTTTATATGCCAAGCTTTCCCCGCATTCTAATTACGTCAAGGCTCTCTGGGGTACATCCGAGTACACAGCAAGACATATACATACTAGTAGGTGGTAATGGTCATAGTACATGCTGAAAAAGAATATAAGTACAACGTAGTACTCCGTACTGCAGCTGGTATAGGAAGTACAGGAACTAGACCTGTCTAATTTCCTATGATTCACTACATGTAACTGTAACTGGGCTTATAAGGCATCTTCCCCCCTCTTTGCCTTTAATTCTCTTTATTATCTCAATTCTACTAATCCAAGCTAATCTTGGAAAATACTTCTAAGGTATGTTTCCATTTCGTTTCTCATTCTATATCCGTCCCCAAGAGCAACCCGAACAGAAATGACGTCGTCGACTCCCAACCCTTAAAAACGATATATCCTTATTATTATCTCCTGGTCTCATCTACATTCTATACTTTATCCTACTCTTACTAAATCCCCTAATGAACTAGATCACATCCATCGATTACTCCAACTGTTTCGACATATTCAATATGTCTGACGACAATACCCGCCGCCACTGGCACGGAACCCCCGGCGACCGCCACGAGCACCTCAATGTCTGGATGAACGGCGGTGCCAAGAGTCCCACTGGTCGCGCTGCCTGGGCGATGCCTATTACGGAGACCAGAAGGGTATGTCATTTGCCTCTTTCGATTTCTGCTCTCATTCCCTTGGCACTACATCACCACTTAACTACGTCATTACCCACTCTACCTATCCATATCCATCTGTCTATCTATACCACATCTCCCAAATCAAACCTAACACCTAAAATGAAGGACTCCAACACCTCAACCTCCTCGAACGGAAGCAAACGAATCCAAGAAACCTTGCCTGACGCCCCAGGCATAGGTGAGCGTCGCGGCAGCGCCGTCGACGGTGCCAACGGCCTATTCTCCAACCTACAGACACAGAAGCGTGGAAATTCGAATGCGGACTTTGCTACCCGCCGCGCGAGCTGGAACGAACAGGCTGCTACGCGGGGCATGTTCTCCAAGTGGTGGGAGGGATACACCCGGGGCAGTGGTAGCAAGTAATTTTATTCTTTTGGTTCTGTGTGCTTGGAAATTTGTATATTCGATATTCGGGGTTGGTTCTGGAGGTGGAAATTGGGAAAACATGAAAAAAGAAAAACAGAAGGCATATTGGGGTATGACGGTGTTTTTTGGCCTCAGTTTGGTGCTTCTATGAGCTTTGACGAATTCTACGAGCGTCCCTATTGTATTTCTTTCATTAAGGGTTCCCTTTTCTCTTTCCCTAAAGTACACTGAAGGAAGATATTGGATATACCGGTGACCCGTTGATATCTTCATTACAAGTCTACCAACTAATCTGATTGTACATGCGAAAAAGAAATATCATGGTATTGAACTGGGAGTCACAACGCCCAACGGGCATTATCTCACCCCATAGTTGTCTCCCAACCTCTCTCAATCATAACATCAACCCAATAAACATCATCATCCCCACTATCCAACCTCCTCCATACCTCATTAACCAATTTCAAACATACTTGAATCGGTTTCGGTGGCAGAACATGCAAAAAGGACGTTAGACGGCCGAGGATGAACTTGCGCGTGCGCGAGACTTCAATGGCCTCCATTGAGATGGTAGGTGCTTGGTTCGGGTTGTTACTATCGTTATCGTCGCCTGCTGAACAATCTTCGCCATTCTGTGTTTGTGGGTCTGCGCTTGTGGCTAGGCGCGGGAGACGGAGCTCTGAGCAGGATGCTACCAGGAGGAATGGCTGAAGGCAGCGGGTGCGTGATTCCAAAGGTATAGTTTTTAGCCGGGAGAGGGCTGTCACGGCAAACTCGGTGAGCCAGTTGTTGTATAGGGTTTCTGGGGTGGAGGTGGTCTGTTGGGTGTCTGGTGATGGCGGGGATGGTAGATGGTGAGGAGAATTGCGGTAGAGATTGTGAGGGGAGGGTCTTGTAGATGGAGAAGGGGCTTTGTGTCGAGAATTGGTGTTTTGTCCCGTTGCTGAACTGGGGTCGCTGAATCCAGCTGACAGGTTCATGCTGTCGAGATCGATTGGGAAGAATGGGTTGCGGGATGTTGGATCGGCGTTGCCAGGGTATTGAGATGTTCTGGATGTTGGAGCAGGCAGGCGCTTGTGCAGTAGGTCTGGGAAGACGCGGTATAGCTGCATGAGGCCGACACATCGATACGCTTCGGCCATAGTGAGGAGGTGCCATACTGGGGTATCGTCGTCACCAGGACTGACGATCTCGGCCTCGGAGGGATGGGCGAGACCCAAGAGGCGTTCTTCTAGTTCGCGGGCTTTCTCGATCGCTAACTGTGCACGGCTGATATCATCTTGGGAGGTGAATCGCCTTGAGTGAATGCGTTTTCGCTCACGGCGGATGAGTTGCCCGACCTCGTGCACGGTGAACTGGGTGTCGCGCGCGATGCCGGTCCACGGGTGTGGGACTCGTTGTAGGACGAAGGACTCGCCCGTAGATGAAGAGGTTCCCGAATTGTCAGATATTACCATAGTGTCATTATCTGCGACGAAAGAAAGCAGCATCTCCCAGTAAATGAGAGCTTCTTCGAAGAAGCGATAGTTATTGCTGTCATTCTTAGGGACGCTGAAGCCAGAGCTGTGTGATGATGAAGAGATGGTATTGAGCTGCTTGCGGAGCAGGTTGAAAAATGATATACCCAAGTCACTTGGGTCGTGCCAGCTAGCTGTCTGTCCAAGCATTAGCAGCGCCAGCAAAGACTTGTCGTCTATTACTGCTTCGCGCGTGATAATCTCAACGGCTTCATCACGCATCTTTCGGCCCATGGGGCCGAACTGGGGAAATTCGTTGACCAGCGTCGCAGCAGCCATGCTTTGCATTGTTCGACACATTGCCAGCGAAGATCCCCATAGACGGGATACCGTGGTTCGAAATGGGTTCATCTGGCTGTCGTAGCTAGAGAACAGTGCTGCCACTTCTTTGAAGTAGTACTCAATCAAGGTCCATGATGGATTGTTCAGTGGACGAGACATTGACATGAAGCTATGTGGTGCAGGGCGATGGGACGCAGGAGGATAACTGCGCACAATAGCCGATGGTGAGAAGTCTCGGTAAACATTGTCAATCTGTTCCTCACTTGGCGTTGGTCCGATAAGTGACAGAAAGTGCGATAGATCTAAACCGATATCTTCTAAATGTTCAAAGTCATGGAAACTGTCTCTTTGGTGTGTGAAGGACGACGATTCCGCCGCCATCGGAGACGGTGAGCATAGATCTGTCAGTTCGGGCAAAGACTCATGACCGGGATGCTCCCATATATTGTCACGTAGACCAGTTCGTTCATCTAAGACAAAATTTGTAGGAGCTGCTTCCTGCGTTTCAAAAGTTGAATCATCCGGCAAATCATTGTCGATTTGGCTTGCCGGCTGGCCAGGAGCAGTCGACGCAGAAGCCGCCGGACTCGGGCTTCCCACCTCCGAGACCGACGCCGGTACGGCGGGACTAGACTGCTCATACTTGGTAACCCAGCGCAGGGATTGTGCATAGCCAGGGCACCGGACGCCTAGGCGGGTACAGCGATTGCAGTGAGGTTTCTCCTCGCCGCATTTGACCTGCGAATGTTAGTGATATCCGATTTTCCGGGGAAACGGGAAACACAAACCCGTTTACTCTTGCATCTTGCACAACCATTTCTAGACTTCTTAACGCGGCGCATTATAATAGAGAATATGGTTCTGAGAAGATCCGACAACATTCAAGTTGCGGAGTATAGGCTGAGGGGGACACCGTGCGGGGAGTTAAAATCGACCTTATCAAGATAAACGGGATTCTTTTGCCTCTTTTGGTAGGTAACAAGATATGATGGTATCTGACTTGACGAAACTATATATATGTACTATATGAAGGACTATGTCAAGTATCTAGAGAGTATACATACAAAATCATAATAAGTAAATACATAATGACAGGACGGGGAAAGGGTAATCCCGGCTGACATCTCCTTACCTCCATCTCTCCCATCCTTAAGTATTAAATAAAGCATTAAATTCGGTGTTTATTGTGGGTAATACTAAGACCATTAATACCTAGGTAATCACTGATAACCGAGGTCATCGGTCTGGTGTAAAAGTCACGTGGTATAATACATTTACCAGACTGATGAGGTTTTTGGACAGAGCTCCGCTGACCTGCATCCTGTCTACAGTTCCAGCGCCTTGACACCTAACTTTCCAGGCCAAAAATATACCTCCGCCGCTAATGCCCTGCGTCAGCGGTTCCCCCACTTCTAAATACTATAATATATATTGGGAATTGATACTACGTAGTACAGTATGATATATGATATAACGCGATACAGTGGCCTTTAATAATAGTTACGGACCTCAAAGATCTGAGGGGACCGCAACTTACAGATGGACCACCAAGAGCCATCCATTCCCGGGTACCTCGCATTAGCGCAATCACGTGTATCTCCTGATACCCAGGAAGCTACGACAATCATTCAACCTACTCTCGGGGCACTCAGGGACCAACAGGGACACTGAATCCAAGAGGGGTGTAAGGAACAAGAAACGGCCTCCGACTTATCGTACTGACATGAAGTCTACACATGATATCAAAGTAGGGGGGTATGATGCTCAGAAGGATTCATCCGCTGCTATAAGATATCTACCTTACAATTCCGGAATTAGAAACGGAAAACCTCATTTTATTGAATCTGCCCACTCGAAGAGTGGCGTGAGAACTGTTTGAAGCAATCATATCATTGACCTCTAGAGACAAGTGGCGTGACAGGCTTGTGTTCGGAATCATTCGTTTCATTTTCGCATTATGCCGGGTTCTGAAATAGGCTCCGCATAAGTCACCGAAATGTTTGACAAGAGAGTCCCCGGCCGCCTGGTCGAGCACCTGATCGGAAATTGTCATGGTGAGACAGAGTTGCCGCACGAGGTACGATCAGAACATTAGCCGTGTCCGATGGGCGGTTGGGAACGCTATAGAGAGTTGATTTTTTCAGCTGTGAACCCATCGGAACACACACGAAGGCTTAATTTCAAGGTTCTGGAACCGTATAAAGCTGCCAAGTGATGTGCCGGTAGGCCATGATGTGCATTGACGTGTGATCTCTTGGAAATCCAAGTTTTCGAACGGCATTGTCTTACTATGCTGCCGTTGAACCTGGTCTAGCAGTTCCCTCATGACCATAGATTCTGCAAATCGTACACAGACGGGAAATGTTCATGCAAGGTCCAAAAGACCACTAAAAAGACTACTAAAAAGACTACTAAAAAGACTAGACTACCTAAGAAGACCCCGGGGCCACCAGACTACGGCCGTATAGGTGGCCGACTATTCTTGTCTATAAATATCTCAATTTCTACAATCTTAATTTCTACAAGTGTCATTTTCCACTCTATCGATTTCTATCAATTTCTATAGTCAACAAAAAACTCATACAAGGATCTCTGGCCGCCTCTCCTTCATTTAGCACCCTCTGCGTTTGAATGGGTTCTGAACCGAGTCCCTTTTAATCCGAGCTTCAACAAAGGCGACTACCAAGCACTCACGGATGGAGCACTTCGGTCTCGGTCAGACCCGAGCAAAATTGTCGCCATTCTTGAAGTCAAAAAACGGGATCATTTCATTAACCAGAGAGACATCGCGATACAAGAAACTTGCCAGTTCGTGTGCTGGATCATGAACTCCTCGCAGACTGCTGCGCAGTTTAATGGGCATTTTCTAAGTCTATCCCAGGATTGGGACGGGCTCTTTCTTACGTCTACCCTATTTGATGCGGATCATGAAAGGTACCTCATGGGCATAGGTAGACCTCAGGGCTTCCTAGAAATGCAAACAACATTTGGCCCGACGGGTAACGCCGAGCATATGACCTTTTTTTAGGAAGAGCATGCTGGCTATCATCGACGTTCTACAACAAAAACAGCTAATATGAGATGGATTGTCTGTTCAGTGGGACCATGTTACCATTTCAAGCAATTACCTAGCCCGAGAGATACCTGTGGGAAGAAGCAGTTTGTCGTACAGTTGATCAATTTCTCAATTCCAAGATACCATTGTGGACACTCGCATCGATCTTCACCTCCCTCCATTCTCATCGACGAGCTGGGTCACCTCCATTCTCATCAACGAGCTATTCTCATCCATCTCATCAACATCCCATCTCATGGACTCTTGATCTCAACTACAGCCTTAGCTGCATCAAGCAGAAAGGAGTGCAAGCATCATGGACGATGATTTCAACTCTTCGGACATTGACCTCGGGCCACCAGATGTTGACAAAAGAACTCGTCTTGTCGGACAAAAGTCGATTGATACGATAATCCAAAACTCAGCAGCGAATCGCCTTGCTTAAAAGCAAAGAGTAAAGCAGCTCCAGTTTGGTCATGCTACTCCGGGATCCCGTAGGGCTTAGGATATGTGGGTTGGGCGTTTCATCACCTATCGCCAACACACTCTGCGAAAGGATCCCTACGGCTCCCTTTACTGGCGAGGAGCTGATACGGTTCTTCGACTCGATCATCGGTGAGAATCTATCGTGGCTCATTACCGTCCGTCTAGTTATTGAACCGTTCGTGGTAGATATAGTCAAGCCAGCTCCGAACACCACTCTGGTTACCAGTGCTTTCAAAATACTTCTAAGCTATAGCGAGTTCACTTGGGGTGAGAGCGACGGCTTCAAGATCACCCGACATAACGGGCGCCGATTACAGACTTTCATCGATGATTTGATCAAAGCGGGCTGTCTGGTCAAAGGCTCTTGGGGAAGCTGTACCTAGATCGGCTTCGTCACTCTATCTCGAATGGTTAGAGCGTTCCTAGAGCACTACCTAGCAAGGGGGTGCGTGAGCTGGAACATCGTCGTCAGCAAGTGCCTTTCACTTACGTTGGTCTGTACGCTTGGGATCCGGAGCGGAGATGTGGCGCGTTCTAAAGGATATGATAATCTCCAATGCCTGCAATAGAGCCCCATAAGAACCAGGTCGGGCACCCAGAAAGCCCCCGAAGGGGCCGGGGACCGAGGGCTTTTATACTTGGTAATTAATATCTACATATGTACTATATGGAGAAATATGTCAAGTAGCTCGAGAGTACACATGCAAAATAAAAATGAAAACCTCTAATGCTTTGACCTTCCAAGGTGGGAAAATATCCATGATTACTCAGCTACGGCCTTCGGGGACCCGGGCCCCACCTGGGCAGACTGGGGGCTTTATGCTTGGTAATTGATATCTACACCTGAACAGGGCTCGAACATGGCATATCTAGTGCGCAACAAGGTAAGTAAATGTCGAAATGAGGACTTCTATAAGTCTAACGTTAAGATAGACAATTTCAAAGGGACTTTTTCAGAGACTTGCGACTTTCAAGCCAGTGGTGATTCCGGCTAACGGCCTGATATCAAGCCCAAGTCTCCATATAAATCCAATTGGAAGGCCTCAATTGCAGAAGAATTCCTACAGAAGTACCTCTTTTCGCGGGTTTCACTCAACTCCCGTCACAATGGCAGGATCCCCCGACCTGAAGCAGACTTTGACACCAACCCTTCTTGTTGACGTGCACAAGTTGTGGTTCGATCATCTGAGCAGCGAGGAGTCACTTGTCTTACCCGGATGGAGCGAGATGGGGAAATGGTTTTCTCGTGATGAGGCTTTTGACAAGGCCTGCGTGTGAGTGACGATTTGTCTCTTTATTTAAGACGCCAAAATGGAAGACTAATGAGCTCAAACAGGACCGAATTCCGCCCTGCCCTGGAAAAGATTGTTGACTCCGGAGCATCAGCTTCAGACATTCTATTTGCAGTTAGCCCGTCCTCGCCGATGGATTGGCTCGGCATCATTATTCTACTTGATCAGATTTCCCGCAATTGCTTCCGGGGAGCCGACTCTAAGCTGGTGTTTGGACGCTTTGACCCATTAGCCGAGGAGGTTGCCCTTCGAGCAATTAATGAAGAGATACCGACGCAGTCCCCGTATTTCAAGTATCGCATGGCTTACCGCACTTGGTTCCATATGCCACTTATGCATTCGGAAAACTTGGCTGTGCATGAGCAAGCCATCAAGGTGCACGAGGATACAGCCAGAGATATGAATGAGCTTCTGGCTAGGAACCCATCAACTCTTACGGAAGAGGAAAGAACATGCCAGGGCGTTCTAAGCGAGAAGGCGGAAGCACTCCAGGCATTCTTGAGCAATACTTTTGACTTCGAGAAGAGACATAAAGTGATTATAGAGCGATTTGGACGATACCCGCATCGCAACCAGGCACTGGGAAGGTCGTCTACCCCAGAGGAAATTGAATACCTGGACAATGGCGGGGAGACATTTGGGTGAAGCCAAACCGAGCTTGTATATACTCATGAGCATACCCATACCTACATATGCAATCATAGTGTACAATATTGATCCATGGGAAGAGTCAGTCTCAGCAGACAAAAGCGTCGAATTATTATTTGGCAATAGAAATTGGCAACCCTACATTCCATGGACAATTTGGAATTCCATCCCAAAGCAGTAGGTGAGCACATGCCCCTTCACACTTCACTCTTCATCCCTTGATAGCTCGCCTCTCCCCTTTCCTGTTTAGTTGGAGGCTACATACCTTGATCTATCCGCCCAAGCGATGTTTAGGTATAAATAGGCAAGAAATTGAACGTCAAACCGGTTTCAGACAGTGAAATAATGAACATACACCGCATCTGTTTTTCATTCCCTGGTGGAATTTGATTACTAGAATGGGATTGTTATTCTTCATCTTCTTAATTAACAACACGTCTCCCTGAACACGAGACGCACCAAAAGATTCGCAGTTGAACCCTCGGTAATATAAATTTATATTCTGTCTCATATAAGAGCACTTGGATTCGAGAAAGGGTGACTTGGAGGCAACAATGTGCAATTCGGTCTTTCCAGGTCTTTTTAATTCGTTATGATCATCTCAGGCAAATCCTTTCTCAGGCCCTTCATTGTCTCGCTTTTGGTTGTCTCAGTGACATCGTCCAAAGTGCTTCATCTTCTCCAACATGCCTCTTCTCTCCCCGACGGTCAATTTGCGCTCTACTTTCCGACATTCTTCATTCTTGAGGGTCTTCTATGCACAGCCGCGTGGGGGTTGCTTTTCAAATTTACTGGCGTGAAGTCTCTTCTGGGCACTGCGGTGACAGTTGCCGTAACGTAAGTGCTTCAATCTGCTTTCACTAGGTATAGCCAATGAGCCACATCCAGATTTTAACTGTTACAGATGTCTGAGTTTCATCTTATCTTCATCTCAGATCGGTTTCTACTTTGTGACTGGCAGTGAGATCCGCTGGGATGCAGCCACAGCCGTGGGAAATGACCCGGAAGGGAGAAAGCTGATGCTCAGCGGGCTGAGATCGTTTTTGGGAGCCGCGAGTGCGCTTCTTCTGATCTCATGGCTACTCAAATATTGGACATGTGTTCTCATAGGCCATTGGATGTCTGCACTATTTAGCCCGCAAACCGAAAAGGCAGATGAAGAAGGCATTCTGATCATTCCCCAAAGAGAGTCACGGGGAGCGCGAATCACTCAATTTTGGACAGTGTGCGCCACGGTAGTCATTGGAATATTGCGCTTGACTCGGCCACAGGTGCCTTATAACCATATGTCCCAAACTATCCCCTTCAGCTTTTTCCAGGCTCTGGGTTCGAGAGGTGCCGAGCTGCATCAGACTGGAGACCAATTATTTCCACTCCCTGACTTGATCGACGAGGCATACTGGGAAGGCCCACGGGATCACTTCAAGGGTTGGACCCCGGGAAAGCCAGACTCCAACACCAAAAGAAATCGGCCTGCATGGGCGTCTGAGAATTTACCACCAGGATTCGAGCGATGGAGCGACGGAGAGTTGGCCGGAGATGAAGGAGAGAGCGTTGCTCTGGATGGGAACGGGACTTCTCGGAATAATATTTATAGGCCTATGGATGACCCTCTTCGAATCACTAACCTCGACCGTGAAATGTTTGAGCCCATAGCTCGGGCTCTCAGGAAACATAAAGTCCCCATTACACATGTCGTCCTTGTCTTGATGGAAAGTGCTCGGAAGGACATATTCCCCTTCAAGGCAGGCTCACACCTGCACGAGGAGATTCTATCGTCCTACAATACCCAAGACCCCGAATTACCCCGAAAGGTCAACGCCAGATTATCAAATTTAACACCAAACGCCGAGAAATTGACCGGTGAGGTGAGTGGATTTTCGACAAATAACAACATTTCCAGCCCCTCTAGTGGGTGGAATGACACAACAGAACCAGGAATGGGTGGTATCAATGTCAACGGTGTCCTCACTGGGAGCACTCTATCGTTCAAAAGCGCAGTCATGAACTACTGCGGTGCAGGCCCACTGCCAGTGAACTTCATGGATGAGGTCAACTCCCACAATTATCAGCCGTGCATCATGCAGATCTTTGAATTGTTCAACCAACTCAAAGTGGACTCGACTGAGAAGGGTACAGTGAATCGTAAAACTGGAACTGGGCTTGAGTATATTCATGATCGAAACTGGAGCTCTGTGTTCTTGCAGTCTATCACAGGACAGTACGACGAGCAAGACAAGCTCAACAAGCAGATGGGGTTTCAAAGGTCCATCTACAGCGAAGACATTGAGCAGCAAAGTGCCAAATATTATCACGAGGGCATGGAGGAGATCAATTACTTTGGGTAAGCATATCATTCTCCCGATGGATGACTATCTCAGATTATCCGCGCTCACGTTGCTAACACATTACCTAGATACCCAGAGTACGAGATATACCCATACCTGCAAGATGTGGTGAACAAGACAATCGAGAACAATGAGCGACTTTTCTTGTCTCATTTCACGAGCACAACCCATCACCCGTGGGGCACGCCCGCGGCATACCAGGAAGAGCAATACTTTGCCGGAGACGGTCTCATGGCGAAGCATGAGGACATCAACAAATATCTGAACACAGTCCGATACGTGGACACATGGCTTGGCGATATGATGAAGGTCCTCGACGAAGCCGGGATTGCAAACGAGACATTAGTTGTATTCGTGGGAGATCAGTATGTTGCACCTACTTAGCAACTCTGCACCACAACCAACATGTACTAATCCTAAATAGTGGCCAGGCGTTCCCCGAAGACGCACGAGTCTCCGGCACCTATGAGAATGGACATATCAGCAATTTCCGCATTCCCCTTGTTTTCAGACACCCGCTATTACCCGCACTGCAAATCACAGCAAATGCAACCTCGATGTCCGTCGTCCCGACCATTCTCGATTTACTCGTGAACTCGGGCTCGTTGAACGACAGAGACTCCAGTGCAGCTCTAGACATGATGGATGAATACGAAGGGCAGTCACTAGTGCGCCCGTACCAAGCTACCCACAATGGCCGACAGGCATGGAACTTCGGCATTATCAACCCCGGTGGTACAATGCTCAGTGTTGGGTCTGCAGCAGTCCCGTATCGACTCATACTGCCGCTTGCTCAGGACTTTGAGTACGTCTTCTCTAACCTAGACACCGACCCGGATGAGTTGAGCCCATTGCGTGGGTGGTCCCTGGAGGAGTTGATCGGCCGTGTACAAAGGAGGCATGGAGACCAAGCCGGGAAGTGGTTGGCAGACGCGGAGAAAGTGGGAAAATGGTGGATTGAGGAGCAGAAAAGACTATGGAATTACCAATAATAATACGAATAAATCTCTTCGAGCTATTAAAAGGACAAGAGAAGAATAGGAAGAGAAGCGGGTTTCCTTGATATTGTTCGGTTTCTTTGTTTGCGCCTGAGGCAGACACTCCCGCCCCACCTCCACCTCATGTTTTATATTCGCCGCATTTCGCCTTCGGTCTTTGATTTAGACAATTCTCTTTTCAGTTCAATTGATCGAGACTGTACGCCTTGACCCCGAGACAGAGCTGAGGCTTAAACCGTGAGACGTCAACCCGGACTTGTCCTGTGCATCTGACCCTGTAACCACACCACTTGATTGCATCCCGGCAATTATTCTTCCGCTCTTAAGCTTCTGCGCCGACGAATAATGGAGGGAAAATATTCCACCGATCCCGAATGGGCATCAGTCACCCCAATTGACCTGGACGATGGCTCGAGCTCGGGCGCCATGCCGCTGGCGACCATCGCCTACCCAGCCGAGTATCTCGAGGCGACCTCGTATTTGCGAGCCGTGATGGCCGCGAACGAGATGTCTGAGCGGGCATTGAACTTGACTAAAGATGTGATCTCGATGAATCCAGCGCATTACACCGTATGGTAAGTTGGCTAGTAATAATTTCCTCGTGATATGCCGATATCTGATGTCGTATACAGGATCTACCGAGCAAAGATTCTATTTGCTTTGGACAAGGACCTGAATGAAGAATTGAGCTGGCTGAATGATGTTTCATTGACGTATCTCAAAAACTATCAGATTTGGTATGTCACTATCACCCGGCAACCCCCAAGAACAGAAAGCCAAGAAAGAAAAGACCAAGAAAACAGAAGATTAGAAAATAGACCTAACGACTCAAAAAGGCACCACCGACAAGTCCTGCTATCATCAAAAGCACACTTCCCAACATTCCCACCCAAAGAAGCAGACTTCCTAATGGAGATGTTCGCCCAAGACTCCAAAAACTACCACGTGTGGACCTATCGCCACTGGCTCGTGCGGCATTTCAAATTATGGGACCAACCACGCGAACTCGAAGACGTGGAATTCCTCCTGAAAGCCGACGTGCGCAATAACTCCGCCTGGAACCACCGGTACATGCTCCGTTTCGGACCGCGGGACACATCGCTCCCGGATGCCGGGATGGTGAACGCAGGTGATCTTTCGACTGCGCCGACCGAGAAGGGCAGGCTGTCCGTTGTCGATGAGGACTTGGTTGACGGCGAGCTGAAGTTTGCGCAGGAGGCTATTCTGCGCGCGCCGGAGAATCGGAGCCCGTGGTGGTATGCCCGTGGTGTGCTGAGGGCTGCGGGGCGTGGGTTGGGGGAGTGGGAGGGGTTTTGTGGTGGGTTTGTTTCGGAGGGGGCGGTTAAGAGTTCGCATGCTGTTGAGTGGTTGGCAGATGTTTTCGCTGAGCGGGTTGGGAAAGAGGGGGAGGCTGTGAGGATGCTGACGATGCTGAAGGAGCAGTTTGATCCTATTCGGAAGAATTATTGGGATTATCGTATTCGGAAGCTGGATCAGGCTGTGGCTTGATTTGGGAAGGGCATCGCAAATGTCGCCGCCACGTGGAGGGTGGAAAATGCGTGGTGCTGAACAACTTCATCGGACTTTCATATTTGTTCTAGGGTCGTGGACGTTTTGTTGGAAAAGTGCATCTAAATGGCATTCTTCATCGAAGTAAAAGACCGCTGTATACATTGTATGACTGAATGAACGATGCGAAGTCCAACCCTTATCTAGACGATAGTAATTAAAAGGTCCAACAAGAATGCTGCAAATCAAACGCCAAATTAAAAACAAAAAAGGTATCCAAAAACAAAAATATATCCATCATCATCAATTCATGCCCATCCCGCATCCAGCATCTTGCGCCATTCGGAAGCCATATCAATAGTGACATAGCTGCCACCGCAGACAATTATAACCACTCTACTCTGCGAGTTGAGACCAGGAACAAGCTGCTTGAGCTTCGAGTTGAGCTTGTCGCCGACCTCCGGGTCAACCTCCTGGTCCGTCTCATTGTCCGTCGAGATTGATCGGTCATCTCCATAGCCCTCATCGCGGTAAGTAACAGCAGTCTCATCCGAGGTCCTCTTCCGCTTCTTGATACTCTGAGCGCCTGCGTCGGAGACTGTCGATGCAGGAACAGCAGTGGCAGCATCGCCGATGGCCGCCTCGATGCAGACACCACACGCAAGCTCAACTAGGAGTCGTTCGTCGCTGGCGAGGCGGAGAACGCCGCGGGCGGCGTCTGCATCTGAGAGGACGGTGCTGTGCACCTTGATGCCTGGGGGCGGGGCCACGGCGTACTGGAAGGTCGTCTCCGAGACGCGGACAGCGCCGAGAGAAGTGGCCTGGGATGTGATCTTTGGGAGGGAGACGAGGGATTTATTGGCAATGGCCGCTGCCAAGGAATCGGTACCGGCCGTTTCAATGGCGAGGAGGTGAATGGGGTTTGGTTTGGGGGAGGAAGAGGAGGTGATTTGCTTCTTTTGTCGTCGCTTTTCGATGCCCATAACGAGGCCGTTGAGGAGGCCGCCACCACCGACACTGCAAAGGATGGCGTCTAGGGGAAGGGCCCGGTCATTGTAGGCTTTTTTGTCTTCGGGGCTGGTGGCGGGAGGAAGCTGGGTCTCAAGCTCGTCGATGATGGTGCCGTTTCCTTCCCAGATAGGCTGGTTGTCGAATGGGTGGAGGGCAATCTTGATCACATCCTGGTCATCTTCGCTGCTGGTCTTCATGATAGTTTCCCGCATGTACTCTCCTGCTTGTAAGAATGTCTCGCCATGACGGATGACGTCTGCTGCACCTGCCGCCCGGATCTTGTCAAGCATCAAGGGCTTAGTGGCCATGGGAACCACGACAGTGCATGGGTAGCCCAGGCTCCGGGCTGCACAAACGGCTGCCAGCCCGGCGTTTCCTCCGGACGAGGCGTAGAAGTGGACTCTGCGGCCCATGTTTGCTGGGTTGCGAAGATGAGAGAGGATTTGATTGCCCATAGCACGGGACTTGAAGGAGCCGCTGGGCTGCACGTTCTCCAACTTCAGGAAAATCCTACACCCAGCTGCCCGGGAAAGGGACGCAGACTCGACCAGTGGTGTCTCGACCCATGGCGTTTTGAACTGCAGTTGATCGCAGGCGGAAATGTCGATGCTACCCATTTTGATGTGTTGAACAAATGGAAGAGAAAAACGGCTTTGTCGTTTACCGGAGGAGTCCTAAGATAAGAAGTATAGAAATGATATCCCCAAAATAGTAAACTGTTGAGTCGAGTGGTTACACGACAGGAGGGTGTAAATGCACCAAAATAGAGAGATAGGGAGATATCGGGAAGAAAAAGAAAAGCGATATATACTGAAACTCCTAACTCCAGTATGCAGATATTAAGACATGTTTTGATATACAATGTGAGCCTCCAGGGCTAGGCAAAAGCTTCCCGACGGAAAACTCCAGTTTCCCGCCTGATAGGACTGACCGCAGTATCCACGGTTCTGGCCCAGTCTTTCCCGTCGATAACCTTGAGGGAAACCCCAATCAAAGTGGGTCGGCCATGATGACCATGACATACCGTTTGTATTGGAGTGGACGGGCGTGGAAAACCTGGCGTCTCAGCTTTCGAGCCGTGGAGGACCCGGGGAAAAAGTCCCATTGAGCCTGGCGCATCCGAGCGGAGAAAATGCACATCTTCATTCAGACGGGTTTGTCGGTCGGCTATGATTGGCCATCGATCGATTCCTCTTATCAAATCGATAGCTCAAAAACAGGCGCATTACTCCTCAGTAAGCAAAGGAGGGAAAAGAATACCTTTCTTAACGCCCTCACCGTAATCTGGATCCGAACCGTACGCCGTGGCCGCGAATGCCCGCTTGGAGGGGTCCGAGGTGTTTACACAGAGCAATTCTAGAAGATCATGAGACTTGCCGGGCATGAACGGTTGCAATAAAATGCCAGCGATCCGCAGCGATTCCGCCACGTTGTAGATCACTCTTTGAGGTTTGGGAGTTTTCCACGGCTCCGCCGCATGGAAGTACTTGTTAGTCTAGCAAGAAAGACCGGTCAATACTCGCCGAACCCGTGTGCGGGGATGAATACCTCTTACCTTCTCGATAATGCTCATAGTTTCCTGCAGCGCGGCACGCGGGTTCAGATTCTGCATAAGCTCGGCAACCTGGCGAGGCGTCTGCTCCAACATTTCCTGATGTTCCAAGTCCTCAGGGGTAGCAGCTGGGAGTTTATTTGATCGGGCGTCCATAATGTATGAGCGCAAATTGCCACGCGCACATCCAACTGTACGCAGAGCAAGGTTTCCGATGCCCCCCTGAAGCAATTTCTTGTAATCTCGGATGATAAAGGAATTGTCAAAGTCCGCATCATCTGCAAGGCCACCCCGATACGCTAGAAAAAATCGCATACCATCGACTCCGAACCGTTCAATGGCGAAAAACGGGTTCACAACATTGCCTGTGGACTTGGACATTTTTTCACGGTTCATCGTCCAGTGTCCGTGCACCAAGACGTTCCGAGGCAGGGGAAGATCAAGTGCCATGAGGAAAGCGGGCCAATAAACACAATGGAATCTGCCCACTGATTAATTTTGCATGCACTTCGGGAGAACCCGTGGACTCACCGAACAATATCTTTGCCAACTACATGCAAGTCTGCAGGCCATACAGATGTGTTTTCCTGTCCGGGTGGGAAAGGATATCCAGCTTTGGTCAAGTAGTTGACCAGCGCATCTAGCCACACGTAGATTGTCTGTGTGTCATCGCCGGGAACAGGGATGCCCCAAGTCAGACGTTCCGTGGGGCGGGAAATCGAGAGATCCTGTAGTCCCGACTCAACTCCGTTGACCACAGCAGCTGTATAGGAGGTAGGGGTGATGAACGGATCTTCTCTTTTGTACAAGTCAAGTAGACGATCCTTGAAGGCTGAGAGACGGAAGTGGTAGTTCGTTTCTGAGGACCACTCTACCTCTTTACCCGTTTCTATTGAGACCTGTGTGTGTTTAGTATCCGCACTCGTTGGATAACTGACAATTTACATACCATGCGTTTCTTCCCTGTTGATGGATCTAGGGAGTTCTGCACTTGCGTTTGTGGGTAGAATGTCTCATCGCTGACCGAGTACCAACCTTCATGCTTCGAGGTATAGATATAGCCCCTGTGTTGCAACATTTCCTACTCATGATCAGCCATATCCCACTATGAATGGAACATAGTCGCCTACCCAGAAATATTGGACAGCATCTCGATGCGTTGGGTCGGTGGTCCTGATGAAATGATTGTTGTCGATGTTTGCAGCCTTCGCTAGAGCCTACAACAAGAACGAGTTAGAAATGCCCTTGGATATAGCAAAGGGGACTCGCACCTCAAAGGTTCGGCAGTTCATATCGCAAAATGCCTGGGTATCCATGCCCGCTTGGATGGCAGCTTGCTGGATCTGTCACCGATGTCAACGGCCATTCTCCACCTGCAATCCCATCCATATGTAGTACCTTCATTCCGTGCTCATCGGTTCCGGTCAGTAGTTGAGCATCCGTATTCCCGAGCAAGACCTGCCACCGTTTCATGATATCGGCAATCACCATTGTGTATAAATGGCCGACGTGAGGGGCTAAAGGCAAATGTTTCATCAGCAAATCAGTTTGTGTACGATATTGACTATAATCCTCACCGGCATTGACGTAGAAAATTGGCGTTGTTACATAGTAAGGCTTGTTGGACCTTTGCGGCGTAGTCGCAAGTCCGCGCCGGGGAGTCGTTGCCCATCCATGCTTGCGGGATGTACAGTTCCACGGATGCCTTGACCTCAGAAGCTGAGACGCTCTGAGTAACGAGCGAAGTGGCGTCCTTGTTGTAGCCATTGGGATTGTGATGACGGCAAGAAGAGCGTTTCATGTTATTCCGCACATCTCGGGTGGTCCGAGCTTCTCCGCAAGTCTCGGCCATTTTTTACCTAGGTGCATCGTCGCGCTTACATCGTCATCGAGAACACCCCACGATCAACAACCATATATTTTTTATCTCATCTGAAACATATCCCTGTATCTTCTTATATCACACGCAACTATTCCCCATTTTTTGCCAACTTGAAATACCGATCGCGATGGCGACAGCAAGCGAGGATACACTGACCAAAGTGTCGACTGAGGGTACGTCTCAAATTATAACTTTGAAAGCTAGTTTCATCCCTTATGTTGGCAACCAAGCTAACCTTTCGTTTGCTTCCATGCTCAGCTGCGACCGAGTTCGTTAAGACCTTCTATCCAGCTTTGGGATTGAACCGCGGATCTCTCAGCTCCTACTACTCTCTCGAACCCACAACCATCCTATTCAATGGAAATCGTGTCGCAGACGGCGCCGCAGTGCAAGAAATCTTTACCAATCAAATGTCGCCAACACACTACGAAGTCCAATCATACGACTGCCAGATCATCAACAGAGCATACCCCACCGTTTTGCCGGATGGCGGACTAAAGCCTCAGTCAGAGATGGGAGTCAAAGACATGTCATTTCTCATTGTAGTCAGTGGATCTGTACGCTATGGCGAGGGTCGCGATCAGCCTCAACGCGGATTCAGCGAGACCTTTGTGCTGGTTCCCAATCCATCCGCAGAGAGGGCGCGGGGCCGCAAAGATTGGCTCATCGAAAGCCAGAACTTCCGTCTTGTCGTTTGAGCTACCACACAACATTTGATCCAACGAATTATGAATCAGTCACACGTCGGGCTAAACCATGTGACACGGAAGTGAAAGAGAACTGAGGCCTGCCCACCCACCAAGGATGAATGTCTGGGAGATACGATGCAAACAATGGCCCCACTGCTTGAAATTGCTCTGTTGCTTCAAAACTAGAGCGCTGGACGCCACGGGAGGAAGATGATGATATTTTCCTCATCATCATGGGATTATGGGGATTAGGGGTATTATGGCCCAGCCGATGTCTTGCGCGGTATGCGGAGGTTTGCTTTGACTCTTTCAAGCAGCTCCTCACGCGTCGCAGCCTCACTCGGTAAAAGCCCTCTCTGAGATGTTTGGTCAGTGTACCATTCTCAAGAAAATGTATGATTATCTGGACTCAATCATGGCTGAATACATCGCTCAAACATACCGCTTGAAGCCATCTTTTCATCTCATCCATTGTCCAGTTCTCGGGGTCTAGCTTCTATTAGCCTGTGTTTGATACCTAGTAATACCTACTCTCACCGCCAGTGGGATCTGCTTGCGCCGGGAGAACATCGCTGCCAAAGATGGTATAGGCTGCCACCGCAGTGACCATTCCTGCGAATCCTATATAGGAACATTGTGGTCAGAGACGTTGGCGAGTGCCTTGACTTGGGATTATCTACCAAGGAATAGATTCTATGGCGTCCAACATTAGATATATTTCATAAAATATAAACAGATATGTAATACCTTGGAATTCAACGCTCGATCTAAAGGGGTCGGCATTTTCAAAGCTTCTTTGAATTTCTTGAGTTGATTCAAAAGTCTCGTTCCTGCAGAGTTTGAAGAGAATAAATAGAAGGAAAAAAGGTCTCACAGGACACGTGCAAAAGACAGATATTCAAGATGAATACTAGAGAACAGTTCGTCAAGACGCGGGTTACACCGCCACACGCCACCCTCGCTGCTGCCTTCGAACTATACAGTTGCACCTACTTCAATGACTTCAATGACTTCTGAGATCGGTTGATGGCAGTGATTATATAGTAAACATAGAGTCATCATTATTACCTAGTTAGAAAAATATAATGCCAACTTTGGAACTCTTGCTCTCACTGTTCTAGCAGCCAGTGCATCGCATATCTATACCCATCAGTCCATCATTATTGCTCAATCGTTTCAAATAACTTCAAACAGCCTAATTTGATAAAAAAACATGGAAGCAGTCATCATCTTATCTTCGATTACGTTCGTTATTGCGGTGGGAGCTGTCATCATACAGGGGTATAGTTGATCATCATTGCAGTATCAAGCCAGACACTGACCGTGTTGACAGCATAGCCTTTTACAGGCGATACCGAATCCACCTGCATGTCACATCAAAAACTATGACTCCTCCACGGAGTTTGGACCTGGAGATATTCGATCCTGACGAAAGCACACACGTTCAACCGCCGCCGAAGCTGCATCGCCATTCACGATTGGGGAGCAGAAATTCGAGGTGGCCAGGATATACTGAGCGACGGGGTCCACCATCGCGAATAATGGCGGACCATTTTACGTCCTATCGTGTGCCTGATGCAGAGACAGGAACTAGTATCCATCATTTCCCGCATCCGCCCCCGAATCTCCCAGCCACATTTACGGCCCCAGTTGCACGAGCCACAACACCCTCACCAGCCACTGAAATTACCCCGCCTGAGGCACCGACCGCAAATCCCACATGACTAAGCAAGGGCTTTTGCAGCTTCAAGCCCTAACGTGATCCGCACACATTCACCTTAGAGGCCAGTGTCGACAGTGAGCTTTCTCTTTTGCACCTTGCTTCAAAACACCCGCAACCTCATCATGCCTGCCGAAGTTTCCGATATCAAGCAGTTCATTGAGATCTGCCGCCGGAAGGATGCCTCCTGTACGTTACGCTGCATTGATGGACTCCCGAGATGAGACTTGGAGATGATCATCGATGCTGACTGTTTACGCCTTTAGCCGCCCGCATCAAGAAGAACGGCAAGCACCAGCAGACCAAGTTCAAGGTCCGCTGCCACCGCAACCTTTACACCCTTGTCCTGAAGGACTCCGACAAGGCCGATAAGCTCAAGCAGAGCCTGCCCCCTGGTACGTTTCGATCGCATTGTTCCACCATTCTGAATTGCTAGCAAGATGGAAGGACATACAACTTAAAAGATGGAATTTCAATGAATTTCAATGTAGCTCTGAACCTATGCTGACAATTTCTTCCTGAACAGCCCTCAAGGTCGTCGATGTCTCCAAGGGCACCAAGAAGACCAACTAAATTCGGTAACAACGGAATGAATGGAGAATCGGAGTGCGGCGTGAGTGGTTGTCGATGATGCAAGACCAGCTGTTGGGGGATACATGGCATGGGCTTGGTCCCTCTGCGAGCCGACACGGGGAAGACTCCGTGGCGTGGAACATGAATCTGACGCTGGGGGAGTTTCTTTGCGCCTTTGAAGCCGGCTGCTGTTATTCACCGGCCAGGCGACTCGCATTTTCTGGACGCACTCGAGGAACACTTTTGTCGGAGGTTCCAGTCCCTACAATTCAATGAAAAAAAAACAGTTGAAATATCATTATAACATAGGTTTCTCATTCTCAGTCGAGATTTCCTAATCCATTATCCTCACCATGGATGTTCTCCCGACTTTGGTCTTGTCTTCCGGGGCAACAAGTAGACCGGATAAATACTGGCTTGAATTGTCCCGCTAGCAAGCATGACAAGGGCCTCCGGCCTTTATTCTTGACTCCACTTCAAGCGAGACCCTGTCGTGATCTCTAGTCAAATAATCTCAAACTGTCATTGTGACTACAGTTCTTTCTTTCCTTTGATGGCTCGACTGGAAGCAATCGCAATACCTATTTTTACCCGGCATTGAGTTCTTTGATATCGGGTTTGTGTCCTTGTTCGAGTCTTTGTTCGAGTCTACTTCATAGTCTGGCTCGCACAATACCATTGTTGGGGATTATTATCTCCCAAGAACGGGTGTTTAGAAAGGCCTTCGTGATTCTTTTCTTCTCGTACAAGTCAAAGGAAGGATGCCCATAGCATCAATTGATGTCTCCTCGAACCTACCTATATAAATCTACTCGGAACCTCGTCAAAAACGAGACTATCAACAACATTGACATTATTAACATCGCATTGTTCCCTACTCATCTCGGTCAGGTGAAAATATATTCTTAAGAATCTCATTCAGTTTCCATCAGGGCTCCATTCAAACAACCCAGCAAAGGTAGGACAGAGATATGTGCTACGAAAAGCCATTGGTCCCTGCTATGGGCAATCTTAGCATGTTCCCACCAGAGATCATCTTCAATATCCTAGACGAAATTTTGGGGAGCTCTCCCAGACTGACACACGGAAGCTTCCATGCCATTAACCAGCTGATGAGAACTAACAAAACACTAGAACAATGCATCAAACTCGGATGGATGGGTAGCAATATATCGAACAGTTTCAAGCAGCGCTTGAATGCCGTCCAGTGGTACCCTAACATCGACAGTGCGAATACAGTTCTAACCCTCCAGGGCGTAGACCCCAAACACCCCATGTCCATCGCAGGTCCCCACGGCGGCCCTGATCTCCTCACCGGCATCATTTTCGACGACTGCACCGATTGCTTCGAGTGTTTCTCTGAGGTGCTGCCTCATACCCATATGAGCTGTTGCAACGAGGGCGGTTGGTCATTCCTTTCTCTGGCACTATACGCTAAAGCTGAGAAGCTACTTGATCTTTTCTTCCTTTCAGGCTTCCCTCACGAACCGAAGGAATTTATCATCGGCGGTGCTAATGCTATGGGAACAGGACCGTCAATCCTTGGGATGTCTGCCTCATCCAGGGATCATCGGTCTTTCGCCAAGCTCTTCAAGAAACTGAAGGAGGTCTTGAATGGGCATGGCTTCCAGAGGACTCTTAGAGATAGACTCAACCCCAAGGAGCGAGCAGCTATCAGAAGTGTTGCTCCTCAGTATCTCCAGAAGATGTTGTATGAAGCTGGTCTAGCCGCTATGCATCCAGCTCTTCGTTATAGTCCATACTACTCTGGTAAGCGCACCGAGATGTACTAGCCTTCTCAATCCATGGGTTGTATCTCCGTGGTTACGTTTAGGACAACTACTGACATTTGAGAATATATATCTCTCTACGTCTTTCCTACTTTATTTTGCATTTTCAGGCGTTAGTATCCACCGTTTCACAATCAATCAGAAACAAAAGTTCTCTTACCTCGAGTATAGTAGTCGTATATGACCGGATACGTTGGCTATGCAAACCTCAATCCTTTTGATATTTAGCCAACGCAGTAGCTAGGCCCAGGAGACTTCTGTAGATCATTACTCTTCAGGCCACGGCACTTAATTCCTTAGAGATATTACTCTCCGCATTGCTTGGCATGTCACAGCTTCTCTTGGCATCAATGAACCCATACGGTGCGGAGAGAATGAAGGTCCTATAGGGATACATACTCCGTTGCAGATTCTATATTCCCGTCGGCCCGCCACCCCGGGTTAACCCCTTAATTGCCGTTCTTGGCTGCAGAAAATAGCCACAGCGGCTGGCACTTGTACCCCTGGGTTCCGCATCCCAAATACATACATGTGGATTCTATTTTCCAAGACTGTGGCGTAACTAGTTCTCTTTCATTGAGATGGAAATAGCTGACCCCATGACTCTTCGTAATATATCTCTTTGATGGCTCAAACGCCGAGAATTTTTCATTCAGACCAATAAAAAAAGGAAAAGCCTGGGCTTCGGCTTCGATCTATTATTTTCCACCAACAAGTTCCTACAATAAGCCTTCTCAGTTCACACTCGATGGTACCTTCTGTGCTCAACTCGTGCAAATTGATGCAATTGTGTTTGGCACTATTCCAGGATCAGAACGGACCTCCTTCAAGGAAATAACGGCCGGCTAAATCAATAGTCAAACAAAGGGCCAAAGAAAGACGAGGTCTGGGAGGGCTGTGTATATAAAGCGTAGGCTTTGAGGTCAAAGATATGTCCTGCACAGACAGAAAAATCTACTCTATTTCTACCGGACAGCTAAAGAAAAATGACACTTTCAAAGCTATCTACTCTCCTGGCCTCTGCCTCCCTTGTTGCAGGCCATGGCTATGTCTCCAGCATCGTAGCTGATGGCAAAAGGTAAATCAATCTAAGAACCAAAGTCTCCATACCAACAATGAACTAACCTCATCATCAGCTACACCGGGTACCTCGTTGACAAGTACGCCTACATGTCAGACCCCCCTGACAGTGTCGGTTGGACAACAACAGCAACCGACCTCGGTTTCGAAGACGGCAGCGAATACCAAGATCCGAACATAATCTGTCACCGAGATGGAGCCAACGCAGCTTTGAGTGCCACTGTCACCGCTGGCTCCAGCATTGACATCCAATGGACAACCTGGCCAGACTCACACCACGGCCCTGTGATCACGTACCTCGCCTCGTGCAACGGTGACTGCAGCACAGTGGACAAGGCCACGCTGGAATTCTTCAAGATTGAAGAAGATGGTCTTATCGATGGCACGAATCCTCCTGGCACATGGGCTACCGATGATCTGATTGCTGCAGGGGGTAAGTGGACTGTCAAGATCCCTTCTACTATCGCTGCGGGTAAGTATGTCATGCGCCATGAGATTATCGCTCTGCACTCTGCTGGCCAGTCGAATGGCGCCCAGAACTACCCGCAGTGCTTCAATTTGGAGGTCACTGGTGGTGGAAGTGATGCACCTGCTGGCACGCTTGGTGAGAAGTTGTACACCAATACTGATCCCGGCATCCTGTTCAATATTTATTCTACCCTGACCTCGTATGATATCCCGGGACCCGCTTTATATGCCTAATTCAGGGTTATAAGGAAATATGAGGTCGAGGATATCTTGGAGAGATGTGACTTTGGATGCCTTATGCTAGTGCTTGCAAGTACCGTGGAATGAATGCCATGTGCGTGGCTCATTCCACTACAATAACTCCAAATAACCAGAAACCTCATAAACCATTGAACCAATTCTATTCTTTCCTCTCATAAGGCAAAGCAATAAACCCACGCACCTTCGCCCCCTCAAGCGCCGCATCAACACCACCTAGACTCATATCCGTCTTGCGCAACTCGAACTCCCCAAAGAAATTGGGCTCAGCAGAAACTCTCTCAAACCCAAGCCCCTCAAATAAAGCCAAACTCCTCAAATTCGCCTTTCCAATCTTAACACTGAGACACTCAAGCGCCAGCCCCTCCGATGACCCCGTCGTCTCAACACCAGTCCGCAACTTCCGCACAGTCTCAACATCAACATCACCACCGCCAACAAACTCATCCAGAATAGCCCCCTGGTTCTGAACAATATATCGCATAAACATGAGTAGAGCAGCGCGCCCGAACCCGCGTCGCTGATTGACTTTCTCAGCGATCATGAGCTCGATCTCGCCGACTATTTGCGGCGGGCTGTCACCCTCCTCGCCGTCGTCGATGCGAAGGAAGAGGTTGATATCGCCGACCATAGTAGCTGGCGAATCACTTTCTGTTTGCAGCTTTGTCTGGCTGGGGATTTCGTCCTCGGTGCCTGTTGTGATCGCCCGACAGACGATGAAGGTTAATTTGTCGGCGTCTTGGCGCCAGCTGCGTTGCATCGAGTATTCTTCTTCTAGAGTTAGGGGCTCTGAGGCTGTTGCTTCTTGGATTTCCTTGGGGTCTGTGAGAAAGAGGTGGGTTATAACTAGGATCTTATTATTCTTGTTTGCCTACCGGGTCTTTCATCCATTCATGATATCGGGGTACGTGCCATGATGAGTATGGGACTAAAAGGGCTTTTGAGGAGCAGAGGACTATTCCTCAGAAATTGAAATCAGTTTCTTCCGTTTTCTTATGGGCTCGATATGCGATATTTCTGTGGAAAGTATATATGTGGGTATGGGCATAGAGCAACGTACCGATGTTGGCATTGAGTAGCATTGTGGGCGGATGATCAAAAATGATCCTCTTCAGTGTGAATGATTCAGAATTGTTCAATTTGTATGTACTCTTCCGAAGAAAGGCTCACTCGATGTCTATCAGGGTCTCGATGGATATAAAACAGAGGAAGTTGGCGGGATGGATTCTTCCAATTGTGGGTCTTGGCGCGTGGAGCCACTCGGGTTGTATACGATGAGCAGTGATGGGGTTATATAAATGTATCGATACATGTGTGATTTGACAAGGTGGTTATTCCATTAGTACCATTGATTGGTCGGTTTCTCTATCAGCTCATTTTTGTTCTTCTTGACCCTTGAAAACTCCAAACCGGACCACCTCGACCTCTAGCGTCTCGGTATCAACCAGAATTAACTCCCCAGTTTCGTTGAACTTGGGAAGTGCCAGCAGCCGAACACGGGCTGCATCAGAGTCATCAGCGGTACCCGTCATTTCAGTGTCGCCATCTAGGCGGAGAGGGACATCACCCTCAATCGTGGCAGTCTTGAACTGTGGCTGATTGCCAACGAAAAAGATATGCGGACAGGACTCGATAACATATGGATCATCTGATTGATATGGATATGACCCTAGAGAGTATTGTTAGCAAAAATTCTCTAGGAGATTCGTGTGTCCAAGCATACAAATTGTGTCCGGCGCAGTGGGAACGCCGCAGCGCCAGCGAAGCATGGCTTCCATGATTCGCATCCGAGCATCAGAATCTGTCTCCTTGTCTGGGCTGCTATTGCCGCCCTCAATACTGATATACCGCAGAACATCGTCGACATTCTGACCGCTGCATCCCCATAGTCGCCAGCCTTCCACGTCGCCGTCCCAGGGGTTCGTGACACTGTCGAACCAGCCTGCTTCGGGCTTTTCATCTCCCCTGACAGGAGGGGCAGAATATGCCCTTGCTTGAGGGAACATAGTACGATGGATCCCCTGCTGAGGGAGGGAGAAGTTCGCGGGATCTTTTTCGCCCGGCATGAGTGTGACTGGAATGCTGGGCAAGATCTCCGCTAGGAAGTTATCGAGTCGTGTGATAGGTGCGGCATTGTATGCAGAGGCGTCATAGCCATACTTTTTCGGCTGGGCTTTCTTCGCCGCAGCGTCGCCAGAGTTTGTTGACGCGACATCTCCAATTACGCTGGCTCCAAGTGAATTACCTGCGATGACCAAGCGGGATATTTTAGAGGAACCCAAGGAAGGACTGTTGTCGTCGTTTCCCGAGAATCCTGTGTAGCCCAGAAGATAATCTGTCAATAGCTCCAAAGCAAGGGTGTCGCTTGATGTTCCTGTGATTTCCAGGCCACTGACGAAGGCGATTTTGCCGTGTTCCTTTCCAGCCGCTTGGACTCCATTTTCTGGAGCATTGCCATTCCACCGTCGAAGCTGCGGAGCCAAGTCTGGCAGCTTGATATCAATAACCTCGAAATCTCCGTTCGCATTCTCAGTCCCCAAAGCTGCAATAATGGCGCCTGTCGCCAGCTGTGTAGACTGCAAGAAGTTCCCAGTGAGCCGTAAGCGGCCGGACTCATCTTCCAGCATAATTCGGGTCAAAGAGGGGTCCGAAGGGTCGGTGTAGGTGCGGAGAGGAGGGGGCGCAGAGGTGAAGTTCTATGGATTATCAGTGAATGAAGAAGCAGTAGCAAGGCCAAGAGACTAACCTCTCTGCTGAGATCCTCCAAAATATTCGGCTTCATTGGTAAATGCATGTATACGGTGCCGGCCACCCAGCACAGCTCGCCTTGTCGGACATCGAGAACTCGATCGACACGTCGCACCTTCTCTCCAGCGATCTAAATTTGCAAGCAGCTGTCAGGAAAGTCCATAGCTGAGTGTGTGAATTATTTCCAAGGACCAAGTGCCCTTACAGTAAGGCCATCCCACGCATCCGTCGCGACTTGTTCCACGGTGGGCTTCAACTTCGCGAGTCGCAAAAAGTACATGTCGCCATATTGCTGCTGATAGTGCCGTCCTGTGCCGGCAGGTAGGTGGAAAGTGAGACGAGGATTGTAATTGGAGGGTGCGCGATAAACCGGTTCCTGTTCCTGTTCTTCCTTGCTATGGAAACAGAGTGCATTCAATGGTTAGCTAAAGGTCCCCGGTAGGTAGCAGGTTGAGGCAGGGTGGACCAAGAGGTATTACCTGGGAGGACACAAGAAAGTGTAATTCTCAGCATCCGGTGCCATGTTTTCCGGAATGATGCTGAGATCTCGTGTGTCGGGGATGGTTGGGGTGATGCAAAGAGATGTGTTTGACGCGCCCACGCGTCAGTTAGCGCGTTCAATTACATTCCCGCTTCGGGATCTCATGGCAACTGGTCAAGGTAATTTTTATATGGGAACAATCGCATTGTCTCCTGAAATCTGCTATTATCTCGTTACTCTCATTAATTACACTTCTTTCATCTTCTAATCCAAGTGAAGATCGAATTAGGCTCAAAGCGAAAACATAATGACAATGATATCCAAGTATGTAGCGACAGATCACATTAAGCCGACAAGGGAGTCACCTATGCTCGGTAATGCTGGAAAAGACTGTATATTCGCAGAAATGCGTTCATAAAGCAACGTATATTGTATACTCCGTCTGAGGAGCTGTGAAATGTAGATCGGCTATCAGCTGCCTCGGTCCGTACATAGCTTAGGGCTTCCCCGCATTCTCTATTCTTCAACAATATATGATTCTCATATATTCTCCGTGAAAGAGAGCATTGACGGCCATCTCTGAGTTCCACACAATTCTACTTCTGACAACGTACCACACAACCCAAAATGTCTCTCCAAACACCACTATGCTCTCTCCTCAAGATCCAACACCCAGTGCTGCTAGCTGGCATGGCCCGCGCATCTGGAGCTCCACTAGCAGCAGCAGTCTCTAATGCCGGAGGCCTAGGTACAATCGGCGGACTGGGTTATACACCAGCGCAGCTATCAGAGATGCTCACAGAGCTCAAGTCACTCCTCCGGGACCCCTCTCTCCCCTTCGGCGTGGATCTCGCCCTTCCGCAAGTCGGAGGCTCAGCGCGCGCAACAAACCACGACTACACACACGGCCAACTGGACGAGTTAATCGAGGTGACCATCTCGCACGGGGCCAAGCTCTTCGTCTCAGCCGTTGGCATCCCGCCAGCGAAGACCATCAAACGACTCCACGAGGCCGGCGTTCTGATTATGAATATGGTCGGTGCTCCGAAGCATGCCCACAAGGCGTTCAAGGCAGGCGTCGATATTGTCTGTGCGCAGGGCGGCGAGGGCGGCGGTCATACTGGCGAAGTGCCGTTCTCCGTTCTCGTACCTGCTATTGTGGATGTTGCGCGGCAGTATAAGAGTCCGTTGACTGGCCAACCCGCACTTGTCGTTGCAGCTGGTGGTATCAATGATGGACGCAGTCTGGCGGCGTCGTTGATGTTTGGTGCTGCCGGTGTTTGGGTGGGCACGCGGTTTGTGGCCTCCGAGGAGAGCGGTGCTAGTCGCTTGCATAAGGAGGCCGTCATCGGGGCGCAGTTTGGTGAGACCAAGCGCACGCTTGTTATCTCTGGTCGTCCGTTGCGCATGCTGCCCAATGATTATATTAAGGAGTGGGAAGCGCGGCCTGCTGATATTGCTGCGCTGACGTCGAAGGGCGTTGTTCCTATGATGCATGATTTGGAGAACGAGAAGGACATCGACATGCCGTTCCTCATGGGCGATGTCTCGGCCAGCGTTAAGCAGATCCAACCAGCCGGGACCATTGTGAAGGAAATGGTTCAGCAGGCTGTCGAGATGCTCAAAGTCGGAGGCTCATATATCACAGCCACAGGGTCTGCGAGCAAACTATAGACAATCTAGAGGGGAATTTGGATGAAATAGGGGTTATCAATGGCCCTGATGCTAGTGGAATAATGTTTGGCATATGTTCTTTTTTTTTGATAATACCATGACATGTACTTGTATAAGACTTGGGAACCAAGAAGACTTGAAGAACCAACGAGGAAGATGGATTATGCCTGGGTAATTACCGAGGAATATCGTGAAACAGACAAAAATAGATGGCACAAAACTTCTACATTTTCGAATTCGACACGAATCTTTGGATCTGTGTAAGCCACAAGGCAAAATGGAGCATTTGCTTTGGGAGATACAAAGCCGAAGACCGTATCTTCATCGAGGGTAGCCAAAGTCGTTTCAATCAAAAATCGACATCAAATAAATTGGAATAATCTTAGAAAACCAGGCCATTGACTTCCGTAGCATTGCCATTCGCTCGAGCCTCCAAAAGATTCGGGGGCGGGGTGGGACCGAAGACAGGCTTCTCTGAGGGTTGTTCGACCCGGGTAGGTGGTTCGAGATCTTCCTCATCACTGATATCCTCCTCGTCGTCTTCGTAGTCATCGTCGTACTCGCTTTCAGTGCCTTCATCATCACCCTCTAAATGATCATCGCCTTCCGCTAGAGCAAGCCCTTCGCCTCGACCCTGGGCTTGCATACGCCGACAAAGGGCTTCTAGATGGTGGCACTTCCGTCGCCATCTTTCAAGTTCTTCATGGTTTCGGGTCCGTTCCTCTGCCATTTCCAGGATATTGCGGTTAGTTTGCTCGTGCTTCCGGTTAAGAGTATGATTCTCCTTCTCCAGGCGCTTGGTTTTCTTGGACATTTCTTCCATCTCCTTTCGGAAGGTAAGGAAAAGATCGTTGCTGTTGTTCAGAGTGTCCTCGACCTGGTGGTCTTCGTCAGCGACCGGGGAATGAGAGGGGTTATAGGAACCCTTCTGTACCTGTTTGAACTTTTCCACGTAGATGTTGAGTTGGCTGCGCAATTCCGCCTCGGTATGAGAGAAGGTGGAAACTTGGGAGGTCAAAGCCCGGCTTCGGTTGGCTTCAACTTCACCAGCGCGGCGTTGCTCCTCAAACTTAGAAGCGAGACTTTGGATCTCGGAGTCCTTGCCACGTAGGAGGCCCCTGTAATGCAGGTCGCGTGCGTCGAACTGCTCGCTGATGGTCCTAAGCTTGGCGCGGAGTCTATACCTTTCTGATTAGTAAACCCAAAGCTCGAAGAAGGAAAGGGAATCGAAATCGTACGCTTCATCCAAATCGACATCCACCTTTTCGCTACGGGGGTTCCCCTTGGCAGCCATGACGTCTTGAATGTCATAGAGGAGCGAGTCGAGACGTTCGTTCACAATCAAGCGCGCTTTCTTTTCAGTGTCCTCCAGCTTCTTATTCTCATCCTACCAAATCGTTTAGCTGGCAAGTCCTCCACGGTGTTTGGCGCAATCGTCCAGAGGCACATGCTCATTGACCCACCTTGACCTTCTTGTTCTCCTTCGTAAGTTCTCGACACAGCTTCTCCAGCTTGTCCTTCATTGTAACGGTCTTGTTGAGATCAGACTTGCCCTTGTCCTGGTCCTTTTGCAGCTGATCGGCGCGCTTCTTGCTCTTAGAATAATCGCGATCCAACTTCTTCATATCCGCCAACAGCTCGGTATACTTCTTGTGGACGGTTTCCAGTTTGGTCATAGGGGACTCAATGTTGCTCAGAAGCTGGTTGAGATCACGAGTCGCCTTCTTGACCTCGCGCTCTGTGTATCAAAATCCAAGTTAGTGACCCTAAGTTCCAGACTAACCCCGCAGCCCAGTGGCACCAAGCAAAGAGGAAAAATGCCGCCGCAGAATACAAAGGAAGTCACGCACCAATTTCTGCCTCTTGGTCTTTCTCGCCGGCGGCATCTTGCTCCAGCTGGGAGATCTTGGCGGCCAAGAGCTTAGACGTCTCGTTTGGGTCGGCCGCTTTCTTCCCCTTGTTTTTCTTTGCCATCGAGGTGGACGACATTTCGAGGTGTTTGCGTGGAGTATTGCAGAAACAACGTATTTGGCGGTTCGAATCAACGGGGGTTTGGTACGGAGGCCGGAAGCCGAAAATTTGCGCCAAATAGGCGAGATACGGGGTAGGATGTAGACGGATCAATCACAGGGAGGAGATATCCCAGAGGCAAGGCTCACGAGCGAGATCACTGGCTCTGGGATGTAGGAATCGTTCGTTTGTCGTACCTTCCGGGAAAGAGCAAATGTTGGTCTTCGGAGCAGAACTTCAACGAGCGGGCGGCCAGTGAGGCTTACGCTAGCATAGATGATGTAAGCCTGGGCAGTGGAACCTCCAGGGCTGGACATTTTCGACTTCTGGGGTTGCGATCTGGTTCTTTACGATCGTCAACTACCCATTATAATGTTGCGCTCATCGATGCGCCTCCGTGCGCCGCGAGTGCCGAATTCTAACCCGCTTATCAGTCGCTCGTTAAAGTCAACACAAACGATCCTTCCGCGCACGACTTGGAGAGCTGCATCGACAGTGACCAACTTGGATAATTTCCCCAAGGTCGGCGAGAAGCTCCACGGATTCACCCTGCAGGAGAAGAAACATGTCCCTGAGCTTCATCTGACTGCTGTCTGGCTGAAGCATGACCAGACCGATGCGGACTACATGCATGTCGCTAGAGATGATAAGAACAACGTGTTTGGAATCGGGTTCAAGACAAACCCGCCGGATGCTACAGGTGTGCCTCATATTCTGGAGCATACCACACTGTGTGGCAGCGAAAAGTGAGCGACCCCCCATTATTGAATATTTATGTGCTTTTGCCGACCTTGTGCTTCAAGATTTCCAATCCGTGACCCATTCTTTAAGATGCTTCCGCGCTCCCTCTCAAATTTCATGAATGCTTTCACAGCTTCTGACCACACTACATACCCATTCGCTACGACCAACCAACAAGATTTCCAAAATCTTCTTTCTGTTTATCTCGACGCTACTCTGCACCCTCTTCTCAAGGAATCCGATTTCCGACAAGAAGGATGGCGCTTGGGTCCCGAGGATCCGCGTGCTGGAGAGTTGGTCCCCGGACAAGCTGAAAAGCAGCTGTCATTGGAGGACATCGTGTTCAAGGGTGTTGTCTACAATGAGATGAAGGGCCAGATCTCTGATGCAAACTATCTCTACTATATCCGTTTCAGAGAAAGCATCTTTCCTTCGCTGAACAACTCGGGTGGTGATCCGGAGTACATCACGGATCTCACTCATAAGCAGTTGGCAGAGTTTTCGAAGCGCAACTACCACCCTAGCAACTCCAAGATCCTTACATATGGTGATATGCCTCTGGCTGATCACCTGCAGCAGATCGGTGCAGTTCTAGATGGCTTCCAGAAAGGACAAGCGGATACTGATATCAAGCTACCTCTGGATCTCACAAAGGGGCCTATTAATGTGACTGTCCCTGGCCCCATCGATACGTTTGCCAGCGAAGACAAGCAGCACAAGACATCCACGTCCTGGTACATGGGTGACATAACCGACGTCGTGGAAACCTTCTCTGTAGGGATCGTTTCCTCGCTTCTCCTCGATGGCTACGGCTCACCCATGTACCGAGCCCTTGTTGAGAGTGGCCTTGGATCTTCTTTCACTCCAAACACGGGTCTCGACCCATCTAGCCGGACTCCCATCTTCTCAGTTGGACTTAACGGTGTGACTGAGGCGGAAGCCCCAAATATCAAAAATGTGATCCAAAACGTCTTCCGGGAGTCCGTTTCTGCTGGGTTCAGCGAGGAGAAGGTTCGTGGATTCCTTCACCAGCTAGAGCTCTCACTGCGCCACAAGACTGCAAACTTCGGAATTGGTGTAATGGAGAAGACCATTTCGACTTGGCTCAACGGCGCAAACCCGATGAAAGAGCTGGCTTGGAACGATGTCGTCGACGAGTTTAAGAGCAGATATGCGAAACCTGGTTATCTCGAGTCTTTGGTGGAGAAATATCTCATCAACGACCAATGCCTGACCTTTACCATGGTCGGTACTCCCACTTTCAACAAAGAGTTGGACGAGAAAGAGCGGGTGCGAAAGAATAAGAAACTTGCCCAGCTTATCGAAGAGCACGGGTCAGTTGAGAAGGCTGTTACCAAGCTTGGAGAGGAAGAATTCGAACTTCTCAAGATCCAAGAGGACGCCCATAATGCTGATCTGAGCTGCCTCCCATCGTTGAGGGTCAAAGACATCTCGCGAGAGAAGGAGCGCAAGCCTGTCCGAGAGTCTAATGTCGAGGGCGCTGACGTCGTCTGGCGCGAAGCTCCCACCAATGGCTTGACCTACTTCCAGGCCTTGAATGAATTCGTCGATCTACCCGATGAACTTCGGTTGCTCATGCCCTTGTTCAACGACTGTGTTATGCGTTTGGGAACTGCCAACCGGTCGATGGAGCAGTGGGAAGATTTGATTAAGCTGAAGACCGGAGGAATTTCGGCCTCGTCGTTCCTTGTGTCGTCCCCAACGCACTTGGATCAGTTCAAGGAGGGTATGCAGTTCTCTGGATTCGCTATCGACAAGAACATCCCCGAGATGCTGGAAATGCTCTCGGTTTTGGTTACAGAGACGGACTTCACGAGCCCTGCTGCGCCGGCGATGATTAAAGAACTCCTACGGATGACTACCAATGGGGCTCTGGATGCCATTGCGGGAACTGGTCACCGATTCGCAGTCAATGCCGCGGCTGCTAGTCTTTCCCGGAGCTTCTGGATCCAAGAGCAGCAGTCTGGTCTTGAGCAACTGCAAGCTACGGCTAATCTGCTCCGGGACGCAGAGTCCTCTCCCGAGCGCCTCCAAGAGCTGGTCGAGAAGCTTCGCTTGATCCAATCCTTCGCTATCTCTTCGTCCAACCTTCGCGTCCGCATGGTGTGTGAAAAGGAGAGTGCTGGTAACAACGAGTCGATTTTGCAAAAATGGATTTCGGGACTGCCTCAAACACAGTCACCAAGCGCAAATCTCACCACCTCTTCCTTCAAGTCAGCCGACAGGGCGTTCTATGACATGCCGTACAAGGTCTATTACTCTGGCCTGGCTTCCCAGACTGTACCATTCGTTGATCCATCCAGCGCTCCTCTCAGCATCTTGTCTCAGCTTCTCACCCATAACTACCTCCATCCGGAAATCCGAGAGAAGGGTGGTGCTTACGGAGCGGGTGCTAGCAACGGGCCAATCAAGGGTCTCTTCACCTTTATGAGCTACCGGGACCCGAACCCTCTGAACTCGCTCAAGGTCTTCAAAAACAGTGGTGTCTTTGCTAGAGATCGTGCTTGGTCTGAGCGTGAGATTGAAGAAGCCAAGCTTGGCATCTTCCAAGGTCTTGATGCTCCTATGAGCGTGGATGACGAAGGCGCCCGATACTTCATGAGCGGCGTTACCCATGAAATGGACCAACGCTGGAGAGAACAGCTTTTGGATGTTACAGCCAAGGATGTCAACGAGGTCGCTGAAAAGTTCCTGGTGAATGGCTCGCGCCAAGCGACTTGCGTCCTGGGTGAGAAGAAGGACTGGGCTGATTCGGAATGGGAGCTGCGCAAGCTCTCCATGGATGCCGCCGCGTAGGCGATATCGCCGTTCAGCGGTCTCTTCCTCTTTCCTTTTTTGAACACTTTCCTCTGAATTGGACACGATCCTTGTTTAGGGAATTGTATCACCACTTCATCTTCCCGTGTATTTCTATTACCTTCATCTCCCTGCACCACGTCCTACCTTGTACATATATCCGTGTATATCCCATCTGTATACATCTCCATTCTTCTCTTTCTCTCTGTTTTCGTGCCTATTCACCTGCCTTCACCCTCAACCGCGCGGAAGATATTCATGTGCTTCGGCACCGAGCTAATCACATCTACAACCAGTCACCACCTTTGGTTGAAAGATGTCGCATTCATTTCCGGATGCTCGCGCAAGAACAAAGGGAATGTGAACCGCCAGGTACACTTCTCTTCTCCGTTTTCAGACCCGTCCTGGATCTATAAGCCTACGCAGGACGGACTAAAAACGAGGGAACATAAGCATTGTCACATAATACATAGAATTCACACAATTCGTAGAATTTGTAGAAATATCAAAGTAGACAAATGTCTCTCACATGTCTGACTTGAAAACGAGGAATAATAATTGGTCGAGCGCCACAGCTCAAAAGCGCAGAAACGGTAATTCCCCCCTGATAAGCCCGATGTAACTGTGTCTGCTTACCTTCTTCTCCCATTGTTCTGCTCAATTACCACACAGAGAGTCATGGGGAGTTACTTTGAGTAGCCATGAAGAGATCAGGCGCCATGGTCGGCCCGAAGCCGACCAAGGCCTGTGGTGAGTCCGGGCATTGGCATCCATTGTGGAGAAAAGCTAACCAGTCAAAGTAAATTGCCGACGACTGAAGGTATAGACACAACTACTTTCCAACGTAGTAGGAGATGACTCAAATCAATCAGATGAAATGCGAAGTATCCGGGCCTCCTCCATGTCGCCGTTGCCGTCATACTCGAACAGCCTGTGTCTTCAAGCCCCGGGCCAATGTGAGCAAACATTCACGGAAATATCAACCCAGACACGGAGCTGACGTTTTATCCAGGCATCTGCGATGCATGAATTGATGGAGATGCAGCAAGACCAAGCTTTTGCTGCTCTGCCAGTGATCCCAGATCACCAGTCGATTCTGAACCGGCTGGCCAGGGTCGAGGCTGCGCTCGGTATCACCGAGGACCCCCAGGACCACGAAGACGAAGCTAGTTTGTCTCGTGAAGCCAGTCTCGAGGAAGACATGGAAGCCGTGCCACTGCATGGTGTATGGACAGCGCTTGCTCATTTACGAGTCATTACTCGTCCGCCTCCAGATGATACTGTCTGGTCGCGATCCGTTGTCCAGCAGCTATGGACCTCGTATGTACTATTTAAAACATGACTTGACGGTGGATATCTAACACTATCACAGATTCTTGAAAAATCTCCCACTTCTACACTTCCTAACAGACCATAGCGCGTTCGCATCTCCGACCCCTGTCCTGCTCGCTTCTGTGCTTTACATATCGGCTCTGCACCATCAATCTCCTGGGCTAGCATCGTTGGACTCGGGCTATTTTGCCGCTATGTGCAGTGCTATCGCCGAGTTTGTGACTCCGGGTCTGCATGCAAGTTCCCTGCAGATATTAGAGCACAAAGACGAACAGCAAAATCTCTCACCACAATCCAAAAGAGAGAAAGCATTTCACAACATCCTTGGATTAATCATGGCTAGTCTGAGCTGTGAGGCTTACGTTGCTGCCTCCGGCTCGTGGATTGCAATGGCATATCGTATCTGGCTTGATTATTGTCCAGCAGAGATGAATTCCACCACGAAAGACTGGCGTGGCTTGTTCTCCGGTCTTCAGGTAGGGACAGCTATCAAATCCCGAAATTTGGATGTTTATTTACATTTGTTTGCTTCAGGTCATTGATATAGAACACGCCTCAATGCACATGTCTTACCCACTCCTCCCACGGCATGCTGCAAATCCAGATATACAGAGGCTGGATAGCCACCAAGGAAATGCCTTCCAGGGCCTTGCAGAAATGATGCACTTTGGCCTAAGTCATTTTGTCGGCCGTGGACTACCGAGCATATGGTCCTCTCTCAATGCAGATGAAGCCGACATCGTGCCTACAGCTCGGTCCCCATTTACTGAAAGTGACTCGCAGGTCATCCGGCATTGGGCACGAAGACTCGATGATTGGCTGGTACGATATAATGGCTCATCCCGTGAGTGTCCAGGAGCCATAATCCAATTTCGGAGCTGACTGTTGTTAGAGCCCACTCCGTCTGATCGACAAGGTATCCTCATTCTGCTCCAGTATCACCTGCACAAATTATATGTGCTTTCGATCTATCATCCTGCTCGCGGATTCGATCTCAGTCCTGCGAACATTAGTTCTTTTGAGCGACATGAATTGCTCGTTTCGGCTCGGGCAGTGTTGCGGCTGAGACAAGATGATGCGAGCATATGGTCCAATTGGGACTTAGTTGTGAGTCCTGCCCCAGAACCAATAATGCTCTCTTTAACAAACTAGATGATTACATGGGCGGCCGTATTGCTCCTTCAAGGTGTTGAAGACGGCATGACCCACCAAGATGGTATGACAGTTGACTTTCGAAAAGCAAAATCATCAGCCCCTTCTAATGCTTATTCCAGATCTACACCTCGTCCAAGCACATCTTCAAAGCCTAGAGCGAAAAAACCAGTCCGCTGCAAGTATCCATACCATTCTATTCCGCCGACTCGAATCTAGCATGCAATCCATGCATACTCCGCCAGAGACAAGCGTGGCATTAGCATTCCCAGCCCCAAGCGCAGACGACTCATGGACTATATTTGACCAAGAAATAATGTCTCTTGCGAATCCACCGTGGTTATTCGACGAATCGACGCAGCTGCCACAGATCCAAAAAGCCTCTGCAGTGCACCAGATACAGTCCGGACTTCCACCTTTCCAGTACGACTCTGCCATTCTAGCATCTACACCCCAACATTTTGCACCAAATACACAGTAGGGCTTCACAGCGGCGAGTTTCTCGCGTTAAAGCAGATTCCCGGTGTACTATCATTACCCCTGAAGAGGATCTAGTGGTGCATGAAGAACCACCGCTTGATGTGATCTAGATACATGCTATATACACTTTAAATCACACTTGACCCAAGAGACTACTACAACTTCCGAACACTAAATCTCAGCTTGAAAGTGTCCATCCCCTCATGGTAGTCTTTCATCATCTTATCCGCCCCAGCCCACTTCTCCATCCTAGTCTCAACCTCCCATTTCGTCCCCGTTTCAGCACCCACCTGCCCCCAGAACTTCTTCCACGTAGCAGGATCATGACGATAGTGCTTTACAGCGGCCTCCTTATCTTCCGGAGGAGGAGGGTTAACTAGACCAATCTGTCGCCCGATTATTAGGGAGTCGGGTTTATCCTGCAGTAACCCGACAAGCCGCTTTGCAACCAGAACCTGCTGGTTCCAGTTGAAAAGATGGAAGAAGGAAGCGGCGTTCACAATATCAATTCTGTTCGTCAGATTCTTGACTAGATCGGAGTTGTCGTCGAATATGTCTGCTACAATGAACTGGGCTTTGAGGTGATCGTGGTCGTTGAAAAGGTCGTACCCAATGTCGTAGAAGTCTTGGCGCAGGTCTGAGGCATAGAGGTTCTCAGAGGGGACGCCGTCGAAGACCTAAGTTGGTATGTTAAATTCGCGTTCGTTGCCCCGGACTCTGTACGAGCTCTCTAGGGTCTTACCAATTGACGCAGCTCTTGCCCGACTGCACATCCGACATCGAGCAGTTTCTGGCCTGACTTCAGTCTATCAAGGACTTCAGGGTATAGTGGTGATTGTGGGATGCTCAAATCCAGGAACCGGAATGATCCAATACAAGGGTACGGGAACTAAGAATCTATCAGCATCTTTGATCAATGATAGGCTGGGAATGTGAAGACTCTGTAGCCATCGATTGCATCTGACGCTCATCAAGCACGCGAGGTTTCCAAGCCACAGCGCTCTATTGACAGAGTGTCGGTAAAGAAATATCTACTTACCACAGCGAATGCTCGGTCTCTCTGGTTCCATTCCATAGCCATTAGCATGTGCACTCCTACCATGAAATGGGAAAGACTCACCACTTTCTTCACATGTGCCACCTCGTGCCCGGGTGGGATTTTGCTGTACTTTTCGAGTAGAGACTTTGCTGGCTCGGGAACCTCAACCAGCTCTGGCTCGTACCAGGGGAACTCGTGAGGATCGAAGCCGCCATCGAGGATGGATCTGAGATCGGACTCGGCTTTGGCCATGCTAGAGAGAGGGATGAGTCGAGGCTCTTCTGCGGTGCAAAACAGGTGCAATTGGGCGTCCTGTAACTTAGATATCGCAGACTATAGTGTTAAAGCAGATTGGAAGGGCGATTCGGGTCTCGTGTTGAGGGTGCCCCGCGTGGGGCGTGATGTGCCGACGCAATTTCCCGGCCGCACGGGGGTTGAGTGGACGTCGTAACCGAAGCTCATCTCAATGGAAAATTCAACTTCATCCTGGTTGAAAGTGAAGTACGTTCCAAAAGAGGTTGGACCTCATTCTAATTAAGGGTCGGAATTCAAGATGAAGAGGTGGTAGTTGACATAATTCACAAGCGAGTGGACCACCCTAAAACACATAAAATGCGATAAATTACAAGTTGCAACTTGATATCTCAACTGTAGTCTATATGAAGGTTTCCTTAGAGACCATTCCTTTTAGGTGATATTTAGCATGTTTAGAGGGTTTGAGACAAGGTTATGAGTTTGTGATTGCAATATATATACCTTTCTCTAGTTTTTAGCAGTTTGGCGACATAATTTTCGATCATTTTTGAAATGAGATGACATATCCAGGTACTTAAATTGATATAACTATGGAATAGTCTTACCAATGACTAACAAGTAAGGGGACAAAATACGAACATGGTTGATTTACAAATGTAGGTAGGGTATATCGCATTTACACTGTGTTTTAGGGTAATCCTGTGACTGGGGTGACAAAATAATGGCCATTTCTAAAATATACGTGCAAAGTCTATGCATTCTGATATTTCAATTACATGCATAACTGCATCGCCAAGGACGCATGAAATCAATACATACAAGACGCGACAAGACGGAACCCGATATATCCTCTATAGTGAGACTTTAGCAAAGGTAGTCTTTGTTAGGTGCATAAAGTCTAAAATAAATTATGGCCAGGGTTATTGTATTTATTTTACGAAGTCAGCACTTCCAGTCACATTCTAATTTATTTCCATCTAAGAGAGAACATATTAAAGATAGCCTTGCCTCACGAGGATCTGTCAAAAATTCAACAACCAAGGGATTCTAAACGAGATCATGAATATCCTACGAAATATCCTAGGAAACTTCAAGTCACAGAGGGTGCCAGCAACTGTACCCACAGACAAAATCGTCCCCATCTCTGATATTGACTACGTGTGTGACCAAACCATGGAGTTGATATTGAGGTTTGATGATGTCCTTGACCCAGAAATGCTTCGCCAATCCCTTGAACGGCTGTTGGAAATCGGAAATTGGAGGAAGCTCGGAGCACGCGTGCGTCCCAAGGTGAGTTTACACAAGCCGGTTGACTAGTTGAACCGTGATTGGCTTACAAGGGCAACCAGGGAGATCCTGCCGAAAGGAAATTCGAGTATCACATCCCAGAGAAGTACGATGCTGTACGCCAGGGTTTCATCTATCGCGTGTCGAGACACAGCGGCGGCATCAACAGTCATCCGATAGCGGCCCGACTGCCTAGATACAATCATGGAATTCCCATTCTAGGCTCTCCACAAGACTTCACCTCTCTAAGCCTCCAGCCAGAAGACCCAAGACATCTCGCAGATTGGACATATACTGACCTTCCGCAACTGTTCTTCCACCACATGACCTTTACCGATGCCACGGTAATTGCAATGACATATCCGCATACTCTCATGGACGGTGTAAGTCACGGAATTTTCCTCCGTGCCTGGATGTCTGTCCTCCATAAGCGAGAACACGAAGTCCCGGAAGTGGGTGGCTTTGAAGACTACCGACGCCCCTTGGCCGAGAAGACCTCTGCCAAGAGTTATGTCCTCTATGATAATGTGCTCGGCCGATTCGAAACTGCTATGTTTATTGTCAGGCGCTTTCTCGAGAAACTATGGGTTGCAGAGGAGGAACGGATTATCTGCGTCCCCGGAGAGTTTGTTCGGGAGCTAAGAGCCCAAGCCATCGATGAGCTTGACTCTAGCAAAGGAAATCAGTTTCTCAGTGAGAACGACGTGATCCTTGCATGGTTTACTCGAACCATTCTTTCCGCCACTAAGACACCAGGAAACCGATCGGTCGTCCTGATGAATTCGTTTGACATTCGCTCGGTTGCCCTTCCACCCAAAGTCGAACATACGTTCAACGCAGTAATTCCCTCATGCACAATTGTTCCTATCTCGAAGGTGCTACAGCAGCCATTGGCATTCCTGGCAACTCATATCCGTCACTCACTGGTCCAACAACGAGTTTCTGAGCAGATTGAGGCATGGTATTCATTGGTGGGAGCTAGGTTGAAGCAAGGCAGGTTCCCAATGATTGGAACCTCGGATGGCCTCTCAGTGATCTACTCCAATTGGGATAAAGCGGGAATGTTTCGTCTTGATCTCTCGCCGGCAGTTACACACAAAGGTCTTCCCCTAGACCAGAGGACTAATATGGTTGGCTATCCATCATGTGTTTTCTGTGTCACTCCTTTCTCCACAGTTGGAATCAGGAGTGTAGGAGCTTGCACCGGTAAGGATGCAGAAGGAAACTGGTGGTTTCAGTGGCTTCTTCAAAAGCGAGAGTGGGAGAATATCGAAAAATATCTCGGTCAAATCAATGGGGATGGCCTAAGACGTTCCTCTGAGAACTGAACCTTTCGACATTACCTATCTGTGTTGAATGTGAAGGATTTAATAAAGCATGTTCACTACCCATCGTTGTACGGATGTTGTTCGAACTTATGACCATAACCAGATAATTTCGATTTGTCCTATAAGCTGAGAATGACTCATGGGGAACCTTCTTCTATTTCCACCGAAAAGAAGCCTTTGGCCAAGTGTAACGCCTCCATTAGGAGTTATTCAATCTCCGATTCTGAATAGCAATAGTTTCTTCCTTCTTCATCTCCATGGTAGCTTGTAGCTCCATCAGATGCATTTTATCTTTATATCGCCGCTTCGACCACGGAAGAGTTCTGATTATGTTACTTGGTCAAACCAAAACACTCCTGGCCATTTAGAAATTGCACATTGCCTTGAATGAGCACTATCCTTTGTATTCGTAAATGAGTGAAAATATTATGGCCATGATACGGGGAATTCTCAAGCGGTTATTCCCGGTCATCCATAGACCTGGCTGGATACTAACTACTACTGCAAATCCCGCGTCAACCGACACCGAAGCGAAAACGCAAGGAACAAGCCGCCTTATTCAAATCCGTTTACTTCCCAGACCGGATTGAAACTATGATTGTAGAGGGTTACATAAGCTCCACCATCCTTGTAGGAGAAGGAGATATATGCGCAAAGGTGAGCGGCTTCATCCAAGTCCTCCCCAGGGCTAAATTACGAGAACTCCGGTGTCAGCAAATAATATAGTAACTTGAGGGAGCAGATGTGAGATGCAACTTACTAGTTGGCCAGGAAATTAGCTTTGTAGTGTTTTGCCATCTCCTCCCATTCGATTTGTTCAAAGAACCGAGTCAATCCGTCCATCACGTCGCGCGAGTTGACCCCGAACATGCAGATATATAGCTGCGGTTCGGGGAAGGGTGACTTGCCATCGAAATTAAAATGGAACATTAGCGGCACCTCGAAGCCCTTTGCAGGTTTCCCTAGCTCACAGTGCTCACTGGGCATGGGGAAGAAACCCTCGCGCACGGGGAGGCAATGCCAGAATTGTTTCAACAGTTCTAATCCTGCGATAGCATCAGGATCAGTGCGTTGACCGGAGAAAGTCCAGATATCTTCGACAGTCTGCAGATCGACTCGCCGCTCTCCCGCGTAGAACTTGACGCGAGACTTGGCGGGATCGACAAGATCACAGGCCAGGAAAAATGGGAAGAAGGAGCAAGAATCAAAGACCTCGTCCGCAATAGACGAGTTTTCGTCCTTCTTCCTATTACCATGCTGGCGGGATGCCAGGTATTCCTCTAGGCTGGCCAACTGACGGCCAAATCGTCTTTGTTCGTGATCAACTTTGCGGACCGCGTCAATCAGAAGTTTCTGAGTTGGAATCCCTGTCACGGCCGATTTCAGCTGAGGGTAAAAATATGCCTTGAGAAGGATTTTCCCCGATTTCTGTAAGTCCATTGCCGTGATAGTTTGGGTTTTCCAAGGACTCTGGAACATAGTTGGGTTGGCAGTGAGCGTAGCCTCTTCCTCTTTAGTGATAACAAGCTGTTCAGCAAATGCGCGGAAGCGAGCAAAATCGACCCCAAGGTCAAGTCTCGAGACGTGCTCCAGGTATTCCTCGATGGCGGCAGTATTAAATGGATTCTTCGATGTTCCGGCAAATAGTCCAACAGGCTCCACTCCGATGCGAATGACAGCCTGGGTGACGTTATTGCTGAATTCAATAGGCAAGGCTGTGAGGACGATACAAGTCTTCCAATGGGGCTCAATTACATCACTACCCTCCTTCTTCTTGGGGTAGGCTCCCAATGCGGGGAGCACTAGCTCACGATATAAGGATAGGTACTTATATTGAGCATCCAAGTCATAGTTGGAGCTTATAAGTAGCCTGGATAGTATGGGAGCAGTGCTGTGCCACCATTGCGCTTCGTCCTTTGTGGCAAACAGAAGGACTTCGCTCAACGCCCGGTACGGGAAGGGTGAGTCGGGTGAGGGCTTTTGATCGGGCGGCGGGGGAGACATACTGGGTTTGGCAAAGGAGATGGATGGTACTGTGATGAGTGGCAGCTTGTTTGAGAAGTAACTAGTGATTTGATCAGATTTCATTGTCGTTTCGGTGCCAAGTATGACCATTTATCCTCATGCTCGCAGGTTATGAGGTACCACTGGAGTGATATGCGCTGCATATTGGTCTATGACTTCAACAGCACACTTAGCTCATAGCCGCAACACCCGTAGTATATCTATGCACGAAGTCCTCATGTCTCCAACATAATCGTATTTTTATCGAGTTAGGTGTGGCCTCAGCTCATTTGGTTCTACGACTTGTGGATATGCGCGCAATAAATATGCAGCTTACTGCGTGCATATCACATCAATTTCTCAGCGTGACATACACCATTTAGTGATGGACCCCTACGGAACTTAGACTAGTTTATGCGAGTCCCCCTATACATAGCTTCTCGTAGCGAAGTGCAGGCGCCAAGACGTCGGATATCTCGGGCAGCAAGAGCACCAATTACACGCCAGAATGTCCAGGCGAGTGCAGCCAGGAAACTAGATTAGGAGGAGATGCGCTTCGGGTGAGAGTTCGACTACTGAGTACAGCATAGTACACACCACGGTACGCGACCAATGACAGTGCCTAGGGCAGCAATTTCTTTACATCTCCTTCGTTCGAAGCTTGCATGGCTGCATAATACGACCTGATCCCCACCGGAACCCACAAGGGTGCCCAGGTGTCCATGAAAACTTTGCAACCTGGCAAATTACCGCTTTGATGCCCTAGAGTTGATCCGGCTATCCCGTAGACATAATAGCTTCCTACTGGCTGAGACGGAACTGGCCGATAATTGCGTTATATATATTTAGGAAACGAATAGGAGTTTTGAGAGTATATTGGAGGACGCGACTGATCTGTCGACCAAATTACTAGAAGAACATTTCCGCCTCAATAGACAGACACAAGCACATCTTTTGTCCGGGATTTCATCATGACAGAAGATATACCTGATGAGAAATGTGCTCAAAGTACCCCTGCACCTATATCAACTGGTATAGTTGTCATTATCGTCGGCCTGGGAATCGCAGGGCTCACAGCAGCAATTGAGTGTCATCGGAAGGGCCATTCGGTTATCGGGTTTGAGAAGAAGCCAGACCCCTATCAGTTCGGTGAGTGGGTAAACAATACAACCAAAAATCCATAGCTAACACTTCCAAAGGTGATCTGATTTGCCTAAGTGGCAATAGTGTGGGTGTTCTTGCTCAGTGGGATAATGGTTCCGTCATGGGTTTCCTAAAGGACAACCGGAGCTACCTGCACTCCATCGAGGCCTATGATGAAGCAGGCGATCTCAAAGATAAAACTCCGGTCAACCCAGACGACGCAACGCAAGGCTTCGTCCTCCGAAGGTCAGGGCTCCTCAAAGGATTGTATCAGTATGCTCAGAAACTTGGTCTTGATCTTCGCTTTGGAGTTCAGGTGGAAGAATACTGGGAAACAGAGGGAAACGCAGGTGTCATTGTCGGGAAAATTAGAATAGGTGCTGACTGTGTGATTGCCTCGGATGGAGTCCACAGTAGAGCCAGGGGTATCATTACCGGCGAAGATCCCGCTCCTCAAGAGACTGGCGGTGCGATCTTCAGGTCTCATTTTGATGCTCATCTAATTGCAGATAACCCAGAGGCAAGATGGATCCTAGAGGGCACAGCCGAAAAGGACCGTTTCGAGGGATATTTTGGCAAGAATGTCGCAGTTATGGTGGGAACACTCGGCAAGGGACAGCATGTGTTCTGGAGTTGCCCACACAAAGTAAGTCGCCGACCCCTCCAGTGCTCCTTTCTAAATATACCAAATGTCCTAAACCAATGTTGACTTGTGGTCTAGGATGTTAAAGGCGTCTCTGAGGCTTGGGCTCAAGTTGCTGATGTGAACCCTGTGCTCGAATACATCAAAGACTGGCCAACAGGACAGAAACTCGCAGCCATTATATCTAAAACTCCAAGGGGAAACTGTTTCAATCACTTGCTTCTTTCAAGGGATCCATTAAATTCTTGGGTGTCCAAGGGTGGTAGAATGATTGTCATTGGTGACGCAGCACATCCTTTCCTTCCACACACAGGCCAAGGTGCAAACCAATCCATTGAAGATGCAGCTGTCGTTGCTATATGTCTGGAGCTTGCAGGTAGGGATAGAATCCCATTGGCCCTGCGTGTTACAGAAAAACTAAGGTTGGTGTCCTACGTGCTTTTTCGATGACCTGATTCCTAACGTGAGATTTTAGGCACAAGCGAGTCTCAGTAATTCAACGAGGCTCCATAGAGGTCCAGAAGAACGACCACAAGGCAAACTGGGATTCCAGCAATACTGAAGATAGACCGAGTACAGCCGCACGTCCAACTTGGGTTTTCTCCCACGATTGTGCCAAGCATGCCTATGAGGAATTCAACATTGTGGCCAATGCTATAACGAATGGTCAAGACTATATTGAAACGAATGTGCCAGCTGACGGGATATTTCGCCGTGTTGACGACTATCACAATACTACGAGAGGGTCCAACTAAAGGTGCATATTCAACAGTTATAAACGATTAAGGTGGGAATTCACCTTGTGGCGGTTCTGGTATCGCTTAAACCAGTTTATGTTTATATTTGTGACGCTTCCTTATTTCTGGTCACAATAAAATGGCTAATATTCAGCGGGCAATCTTTGAGCTGTCAAGCTCCAGCGAATGCTGATCAATTGTGCATCGGCCCTCATGTCTCTTCCTTGAAGTAGCATGATGAAATATTATGATAGCAAAGTGACCTACCTTATTTATAGGTGTGTTAAGTGGGGCCAGGCAGATCTTTACCTACTCAATACTAGGTTTAGTAGTAAAGACTGTCGCATGCTATTCTCATACCACTTTAGTCCACGCGGGTAAGTTTAACAACAAGCGATTAAAACACTGCAAGGCTGAACCTACATGCATATTGAAATAGAGTTCAGTTCTTCCATGGCCAGATCCAGCATATTTCGTTTATGGAAAGTAGATAGCCTTGGTGCAGAGTCCCCTATCGGGGCCTATTAACCGGGAGTCGATACTTGGTAAATCGGGTCCTCTATCGTGGTAGATATTATCTCGTACTGCCCATAAATTGGAAAATAAATAATGACAGAAAGTTCCACTAAGCGTGCAGAACTGGTGTGACACAACGGCCCGTCCGATTTACAACACTTCGCACACATGCGTTATGCATATGTCTGATAATTTGATGCACGCCAGTTCACTAGTTCATGCTTGCTTATGCAAGGATGGGCTCACCACGCTACCTGGTTATTGAATAAAAAACATTACACGCAGAGCCTGGTTATAGACTTGCACGTTGCCAAAGCTTCACATATCTCGAGCTGACACAGACGGGGGGCGTGCGTACATTATGCATTATGCAGTCAGAGCTAATGTGGCGCGTGTGCATGTCCTGTGAATAAACGACAAGTTGAAGTAATCGGACGTATCAATTTAGACATACGTCCTTAGTAGGTTCCCAGGGCACCCATTCGCGACGGGCGTGAAGTATTGAAACGCGTGCGCATCGGCATGGAGCCTGTCAGACAACAGCCGTCCTGGCTCTCAAAGCTCTCAATATCCCAAGCATCCATCCGACTGACGAACATTTGCGTCAGCTGTCATGTGTCATAGCTGGATTTCCCAGATTCTATTGACTGTAAGCAGCCTAAATTGAAATTCCTATTATACAACATGACGCAAGTGGTATGCAGAGACTGGCGATGCGAGTGTCAAACTGTATCGACGACAATAATCTTGTTTCCATAGGGGTTCAAGATTCCTGGGAAGCTAGGATGAGAAAGAAGGGTGAGAAAGAAGGATGAAGACGGAAGATGGTGAGAGCTAGCTAAGAAGAAGCTATGGGCGAAGAGCATATGATTTGCTAAAGATCTTGGTCCACGGCCCTACAAGTAGATCAAGTTACCTAGGTGACAATGCTAGGGATATTGTCAGATACCAGATACCCACGACATGGAAGGTCGTAAAGTGAAATTACCAGATCGAAGAGCATGGACCATTTGCAACATGTAAATAGAACCTTGTTTTTTGCAAACTTTGATATAGGTGTCTACTCGTGATATTTGACTTGGATGTATCTATGGTACCAAAGCCTCTCAAACGGACATCTACAGATGTCTGTGATGTAGCATAACATGATCTCTGGAATTGCAACGATCCTCATCGCTAGATAGATCCATCACATGATCGATCACTATACGCAACACTTTACCACGCGTTCTGCTTTCCACGACTTATAGGTTGCCTTGCATACGGGGACAAAAGTGATTGATTCCCTTTTATCATTCGAGAACAAGGAGTTGGCTGGCGGAATCCCCCTATGTAATATTTCCGCAATACAAAAAATAAATAACTGACCGGAAGCCCGCTTAAGTGTAAAAGGGGTGCCTTGATTATTCTCCAATGCATAATTTTTTCGATCATCATGAATGTTTTCGCACTCCATCCTGGTGCTAGAGTCCTAGTGACAGGGGCAAACGGATTCATTGCATCCCACACCATCAATGAGCTTTTAAAGCTGGGATACCGGGTGCGAGGCACCGTGCGGAACCCCAAGCCCTGGCTCGATGATCATTTTACGCACCGGTATGGCCCAGGCATGTTCCAAACTGCCCCAGTTGCAAGCTTTCAGGATTCCCGGGAGATTGATGCTGCTTTGGATGATGTAGATGGGATAGTTCACCTGGTAAGAGGGAAAGTATCTGTCGACATAAAGTGAAGTTGATCTAATTTTTCATCCCTTTCAGGTTTCCGATGTGACAATGAGCGATAACGTGAGGAAGGTGGCTCCGTGGGCACGAAAAGCGACGTTAAGCGTCCTCGAGGCCGCATTGGGAAGACCCTCAATTCAGCGTGTCGTTCTAGGCTCATCGTCAATGGCGGCGTATACGCCTATCCCCGGCAAGCGCGAAATACGAGTCGACGAAAGTAAGGAAGCATCATGTCCATCTGCATAATCACATTCTTTCACTAAGCCTCATTTTATGCACCCCAATCTCTCTTATGTTCTTCTCTCCCTGCATGCTAACAATAATAGGTACCTGGAACCTCTCTGCTATACGTAAAGCTTGGGAGACGGATAGCTACACCACGAGTACGCCGGATGTTTCTCACCTGGACTGGAACAGCCTATCCAACGTCAATAATGCACCATCTCCACGAAATCAACATGAATACGCCAAAATGCTTATAACGTATGGCGCTTGTAAAACCCAATGTGAATTAGAAGCGTGGCGGTGGGTTCGGAGTAATCGATGCTCTTTCGGGTTCAACACTGTTCTCCCAGCATTTACAGTTCGTTCACATTTCCTATTTCTTACCCCTACCCGCAATATAGAAATCTGAATTGGAGTCAGTAGCTAAAATTAACGTGTGCAGGTGGGAAGAATTCTACACCCGCAGATCCCTGGCTCTACCATGGGCTGGGTGCGCAGCCTGCTCATCGGCAACAGAACACCTCTATCGCTCATCCCACCCAGTAGGCCCTACCCATTCGTTTACTCTATACTAAAAGAGGGAACAGTCAAAACTAAGCTGACTTTGTACCAGAATGGTTCGTGGATGTGGAAGACGTGGCGCGTCTATTTGTAGTGGCATTGCTCGCACCCAGTGTGACCTCAGAGCGACTGTTTGCATTTGGAGAATCGACAAATTGGACTGACGTGGTGCGCATTCTACGACAATTAGACCCTGGGAACACACAAATTCCAATCCCTCCGGAGAGAGAAGAGCGAGACCACGCCGAGATCGTGCCTCGAGGGAGAGCAGTTCGGCTGCTGCAGCAGTTCTACGGCCAGTCCAGCATGACACCGATCGCCACCAGTATTGCAAACGGGATTCCCAAAGACAGACTGCTTGGTACAGTTTGAGGCCAATGGAATGCCCATGCTTTCTGGGTGTATGTAGCAGCACTATCTGGTCCATGCCGCCTCCGTATAACACCTGTAAAGAGATATATAGGAACGCTAGACAATGCGTATATGACTAGGCAGCTAGTTCGGGGTCTCACTATTCTGTGTTATTATATTAATATGTTTAGGTATTATCGTAGAATTTGTGGAGTCTCTATACTGCTTTCCTTCCCATCCTTCATATCAATGTCTAAGGTTCTATTCCCGATCTTCTCATACATATGAATTCTAGGACCATATACCATACTTCTACAAATTGGAGTGTGTAATAAGGGATACCGCAACTTCGATCTATGTAAGTTATAAAAAGATGTAACTCTATGAGACACAGTATATTCACAGAGACAGAGTCGTAAGTCTGCTCTGCTAACAATTTGTGACCAGTGATATTCCGAAAATTAATTTCCAGCCGTAATCATTCTCATATCCATGCAGGGCATCTGTCTTATTTCAATATCTACATCGGGTCTAATTCTTTTCTAGGCAAATATGGATTTTTCAACGTGACACTGAAATAGATTGAGGTATATCGCATCATACATGCAGAATGCACGAAATCTTTTCTATTTCTCATATTACCAGTATTTCTGTCCTAGTTGCAATACAGTCTAGGGATCAACGAGTAAGCAACGGGACAGTAAACGCAAGCTTGCATCCATGATCAATAGTCTCCCAATTGGGAGTAGGTCTGGATACTAATTATTTATGATTTCTTTTTCGATCTTACGGTCCCGAAGGTCCCATTTGTCATATATGATCTTATGTACAGCAATAATACTGTGAACTAACCTTCCTATCCCGAAGGGGAAACGTGCAGTCCATCAATCCCGTCAAAGTACAAGACCAACATGAGGAGTCAATGGTTCAGTGGACGCAGCTGGGCGCTTGCTGGGCTGCAGGATGAGTGAGTTGGTCTGAGCTGGGTAAAAGGATTTGCATTTGATATTTTCTTAAGTTGAGTTGAAGTACAGATGCCTTGCAAGCCTCCCATGTCAATGCCAATCCAATCCTCCAGTCCTTCTGTGGAAGTATCCTCTTTCCCTAGTTACAATGGACTTGACACCCAGAGATGCAGTTCTACTACTGTTCAGTCGTTCCGTGCTCAAGTTTCCTCACCATGTTGCCATCGAAGATGGACCCGATCAAAGGGTGACATATCAACAACTGGACGAGCGGTCAACAAGTCTGGCTGGGCATCTGGTCGCAATCGGAGTTCGCCCTGGAGAGATAATTCCCCTAATTACCACGACATGTATCCAGATGGTTGTTGGAGTTCTGGGAATCCTCAAAGCAGGTGGAATCTATGTTCCGATTGACCGGGAGCGGTCTCCACCACATCGCGTGGAGTACATCATGCAGAGAGCAAACAACAAAATAGTCGTCTACACGGGGCGTAGTCTCGAACCCGGTACCCGCCACGCGGTTCAGTTACCGCTGGCTTCGCATAACCATTCGGGCGATTTCGAGCCGTTAAGCGGGCGTAGAAATGATGTGATGGCTATCGTCTTCACGTCTGGAACGACAGATAAGCCGAAAGGAGTTCAGATTCGCAGCAGCTCCGTGGCAAGATTCGTATGCTCGCCGGGGTTCAATTATGATGTCACGGAGACGGACCGGGTTCTCCTCACTTTATCAGTTGGGTTTGATGGTGTGTATAGCTCTTTCTGTAGTATGATTGCTGCATGCTGACCACATTACAGCTTGTCTGGGCACCATGTTTAATACGTTGTGCAATGGAGGTACCCTTGTGCTAGCTAACCCGGCGGTTCTCTTGGAGAGAGCCCGGGAATGCACTGTGATCGTTGCCACGCCTTCAATTATCTCGAGCCTCGGGGAACCGTCTAGCGCGGAGTACCCACAGCTATCTCGGATGTTCATCGGTGGGGAGACTGCATCCCAAGCCTTACTACAGGCCTGGGGAAAGCTCCATGTGCCAATTTGGCTTGCCTATGGGCCCACGGAGGCCACCTGTGCCATCTTGACTGGCATTATCGAGCGGAATCCTACCACGGGGCAGTTCCATCCGACGCATCTGGGGCGTCCAATCCCGGGATCAACGGTGATGCTGCTAGGTCCTGAGCTTTGTGTTATCGAGGCAGATGATGAACCGGGTGAGATATGTGTCTCCGGACCGTGCCTGTCGGCAGGGTATCTTGAGGATGAGGCAAGGACAAAGGAGAAGTTCGTTAAATTCCGTGGGAGAACCCTTTATCGAACAGGGGATACTGCAATTTGGTCCCGGACCAGTGAAGGAGATCGAGTGCTAGAGTTCAAGGGTCGCAACGATCGAATCGCCAAAATCCACGGATTCCTAGTCAATCTCGACCAAGATGTTGACAGAGGCATTCTCCAAGCATTTCCCCTTCTTCGAGAGTGTTATTCTCTCATTGTGGACCACATGCTGTGCACGGCGGTAGTTGGGGACGCGTCGGCGTATCCGGACGATTTGCTCATGACATGGAGGGAGATAGCAGCAGCCTATACCGTCCCAGATCATATATTCTGGCTTGATACGCTTCCATTGAATTCCAACGGCAAAGTCGATCGCGATCAGCTGCTGAGCGTTTTTGAATCTTCTCTGGCGCAAAAGAGCTACCACACCATCCCGGCCGCATTTGAGACTTTGGAGAGTGCGATTCAATTTTGGATACACCGCGAAATGCGGCTTTCCTCAGAATTGGTGAGAGCGGAGGTCTCCTGTCTCGCACTGGGTATTCACTCTCTGGCTGCAGTCCAGTTAACAACTTTCTGCCGGCAATTTGGTTATCCTGTATCAGTTGCGGATATCCTCTCTGGCTCTTCCATTCGCGCCCTCAGTTTGAAAACGCCCAAATCCTCCGCACAGACCAAATCCGTTGGACAGGGGAAGCCGGCCACGTCCTCATTTCTTACCCCTCTTCAACACAAACTGGTCCTTGAGACAAAACTTGACACCAGTCTGAACTATGCTCAGCATCTCTCTCTATACCGCGTTGGAGACATCGCACATATCAAAGCCGCTTGGCAGACGGTGGCCGCAGAAGAGCCATTGTTTCGAACGACCATTCGAGAGGAGGCAGAGCAGCTCGTTCAAGAGATCACGAGTGAAGTACAGTTTATCTGGGACGACGTTTCCGTTGCCTCTGCTCAAGACAGGCAGCATGAGATCGTCGCAGTCAAGGAGAAAACTAGACTAGGCTCACGCTTCCTTGCCATTCATTATAACGGGCGCGACCCCCATAATGACGAAGTTTTGTTGGTATGGACAACACACCGGGCGCTTCTGGATGGCTTCTCCGCTGCAATACTGTTTGAGAGAGTGGACCAAGCCCGACAGGGGATCCCCTTCCCGGCCTCTACCCCATTCGCGCAGGCTGCGAAGGAACTAGATCAGCTACGGATATCGTTGAAGTTGGAGGCCGACAAGTTCTGGGATCAACAGAAAACTCAAGTTCCCGGTGGTACTGGTGAGTTCAACATCTCAAACTTACCGTCACGCGAAGCGCCTGCTACAAATATCGACTATAACCTTAGTGAGCCCATCAACATGCAACAGTTGCGGAAGAGCGCTCAGCGGGCCAACGTGACGCCCGCTGTAATCCTGCACGCTGCGTGGGCTTTGGTCGTGTCCACTTATACGAACAACGATTCTGTTATATTCGGTATTGTGTTGTCGGGACGAGATCTCCCCTTCTCATGGGCGTCATCCGTCATCGGTCCATTAATGAATCAATTACCGTTCAGCTGCCGAATTCGACGGGAAGAACCTGTCGAGTACTTCGTGCAGCGAGTCCAGAATGACCTCCGCGAGTATTCCCGATTCCAACCCATGGATGGTCCGTCAAATATGCCTCCTGTCGCCACAATGCTGGTGGTGCAGCCTCCCGGGCTGAAACTCGCACCCATCAGCATTGTTCCCATAGAAACGCCCGTCATGAGAGATTCCACTTCCGTGCCTCTTATTGTTGATGTCGCCGGCTCCGGTGAAGTCCGACTGGTATATAGGACGGACCGTTTCCTGCCACAGACGATTCAAGATATAGGAGCTGTGTTCCAAAACGTGGTTCGAAACCTAACTAATGAGCCGCAGATAACAATTCAACAGTGCCTGAGCAAGCGTCTCTCGCACTCAATGAAACTGCAACTTTTGAAACGGGGCAACGGAGACCGGACTGAGACAAGAATACATGAAACTGGTGAGACATTGAGCAGCCTGTTCCGGGCGACGGTCAGAGCAAATCCAGACACAGCTGCCATCCACAAGAATCAAACTACCGTGACCTACATTGAGCTCCTCAATAAGGCGTCTCGTGTCGCACACATCATTCAGAAGCTCGTTCGCCCAGGAGAGGTCGTGGCTGTTCTTGCAGATAGGTCCATTAACTGGATCATTGGCATCTGGGCTGTCGTGATCTCCAATGCTGTATACTGTCCAATTGACGTGTCTTATCCAGCAAGCTATCAATCCAAGCTCCTGACAATAAGCAATGCATCCCTGCTTTTATTGCCACACTCAAGCCAAAAGCCAAATGACTCATTAGAGGGGCCTATTTCCATTGATATGGAGAGTGTATTACAAAGTCTAGAGTCAGCAGACTTCGAGCCATGGCGAACTCAGAGACCTTCCGATGTCGCGTACATCTGCTTCACGTCCGGCAGCACAGGAATGCCCAAAGGTTGGTTCTTCCCATAACCTCCCTTTGCCTACTTGGGTAATCGATGCTAATGGTAATTCATCGGTTTTACAAAAGGCGTCATGTGTCTACATCGCGGACTTGTTGCTTTACAGGCCTCCGAAACAACACGACTGGGTAGCCAGCCCGGGCGAAGAATCGCGCAGTTCCTCGCTCCGGGATTTGGGGGGTGCCTGCATGAGGTTTTCTCTGCGCTTTGCTACGGGGGAACCTTAGTGCTACGCAAATATGATGATGATATGTTCTCACATCTTGATGATGTGGACGTCGCGATCATCACCCCTTCGGTGGCTGCGGAGGCGGATGCAACTCAATTCCCAAAGCTCCGCTATGTTAGTTTTTATTTTCCTTCCCTCCTAACCTACTTCCCAGTCATTTCCATTGACCAACTTCAGGTTTATTTTGGCGGCGAGGCAATCACCGAGCCAATTGTTCGGCGGTGGTGGTCTCCTGAGCGGCACTTGTACAATATCTATGGCTCAACGGAAGTGAGTAAACTTTTTCTTGTTTGAAGCTATTATTTTCCTATTCTGATAATGGGTTCCAGGCAACAATTTTGAATTGCCAAGGGTCACTGGCACCCGGGGAACCAATCTGTCTCGGTGGTCCCGTCCCATCGTCTCGTTTGTATATTTTGGATGACCATCTGGAAATGCTTCCACCAAACACAATTGGTGACATTTTCATCGCCGGCGTCCAAATGAGTAGTGGATATATCAACATGCCCGAGCGAACAGAGCAAGAGTTCATTACGGATCCATTCGTCGGCTGTGATGAGAAGATGTATCGAACAGGAGACCTGGGCTACTTTGACCATGAAGGCAAGCTCTGGTATTGTAGCCGAAAGGATCGTCAGGTGAAAGTACGTGGATACCGCGTAAATCTTGACGATATCGCCCTGGTCATCTACGCCGCAGTCGCCACGGTTCGCAAAGCCGTGGCCGTTGCTCAACCACAGGGCATTGCTCTCTTTATTTGCCCTTCCGGAGTGGACAAGGGCGCTATCAAGAAAGCATTGCATGCCGCTCTTCCTCCTCATTACCAGCCATACCGAATTTACACTCTGACCGACATTCCTCTGTCACCAAACGGAAAGCTTGACCTTAAGTCCCTAGCTCACTCACGAGAGACACAGGAGGACGACATGGAACTAGATGAACTTGGGACCGAGCCCCTTAATGACACAGAAAAAGCCATTCAGGATCTATGGAAGGAACTACTTCATCTCGATCCTTCTCAGAACCTCTCGCGGCCGAGCGACTTCTTCGCACTTGGAGGTGACTCAATTGCAATGCTCAAGCTGGTTCGCCAGATAAACGCAACCTTCAATATTCGCTTGACGGTCAGGGATATAATCCTCCGCCCGACCTTAGAAGAGCTGGCTACTCTCGTGCTGCAAGAAGAAAGTGCCGCACGAGGCGGTTCTGCGATTGCAGAAGAGTTTGGCCGACCCCTCGGGAGGTCCGCACTGTCTCCACCTGAGTTGCTCTGGGCACATCTCTACAACAATTCGCAATGCCAGAGCTCGTTCAATGTACCTTACCGTGCCACATTATCACCGACAGTCGACCTTCCTACACTAGTGTCCAGCGTCGAACAGGTTCTCAACCATCACACCATCTTGCGATCACGGTTCCGAAGAATGGCCGATAATACCTACGAGCGTGTGATATCAAGTGATCCCATCATAATTTCGTCCCAGGTTGATAATGTTGACGACTGGGTCAATCGACCGTTTTCTCTGGACGAAGCTTTGGTACGGGCCGTCGCGACACCCGACACTCTGCTGTTCAATATCTCACACATTCTATGTGACTACGGAACATTGGCTATCCTGTTGCGAGATGTTGGGTCTGTATATTATGGGAAACAGCTCCCACCGGCCACTCGCGAGTACTACGACGAGTCATGGGGGTTGTCAAACCTAGGAAGTCATTCTGAATTTTGGGCTACGTATTTGAAAGGGCTGCAATTCCCTCGGGTGTCAAGACCGAGAGAAGGTCGCTCCTACTGCGGTACATCGACTTTGATCGAGATCTCCGGAGATACCTATCATCGGCTGCTCACACTGGCCTCAGACCGGGTCTTCACGATTCAGCAATTTGGATTGGCCACTACTGCGACTGTGCTTCAAACGTTGGGCGCGACAGACGATATATTGATGGGCTCCGCTTATCTCAACCACCCAAACCCAGAAGACGACGGGGCGGTAGGTCTCCACCTCGAACCACTCCCGATTCGGGTCCGCGTGGAAGATACAGCCATATCTGTAGGTGACCTCCTGCGTTCTGTTGCTACATCTTCTCAGAATGCCGCGGCCCATGCTCTCCCGTGGCATGGCCTGCTGTCCCAATTGGGGATTCCATTCCCGTCAGAACACGATGAGGTCTTTGACTGTGGCGTAACCTTTCACGATCGACGAAGGTCAGCGCATGCGCAGCTGGACATTGAAGGTGTGGATCCTATGCCGGTTTGGCCTGAGGGATCCTTGTTTTCTATCTTGTTCGAGTGGGCTTGCACGGAAGACCAACTTCTTCTCCGGCTGCAATACAGCACCGATCGATTTTCGGAGCGCTTTATGAGTGTGGTTCAGGGGCTGTTGCGGCTCGCCATTGATCATATGCTAGATACTGAGCTGTCCCTAGCGGATCTGCGCCTTGCTCTCCAGCACTGTTTCAAGGATGCTTGTGAGGATGCTGCGTTGTCGGCCACGACTGTTCGTGATCTCGCGAGAAAATATCTCATTGGACCAGTATAGGTATGAGGCTTTTGGAAAGTGGCATTTTTCGAGGATGAGATGTTTGTATTGGTGGCCTCAATTAGCTCAAGAATAGACAACAGCGATAACTAAAACACGAAAGCCCCTACAATTCACAGGGGAAGATATTGTCATCCCATTTAGCTTCCCACGGTTTGGATTTTAGGGATAGTGATAGGCTCCAACTGAGCAATTGTCCACCTCTGAAGAAAGTATAATGATCCAGTGTTTGTTTAGTTTCACATTCTAAGACGTTCTTTGTGTTTCTGACGATGCAATTGATTGTCTAGAAACAAACAAAATGGCTCTGGCAAACTAATCGAATGTGAAGATATATATACAGCGCCTCTGGTGTAATTCCTGGTGTATTTTTCATTCTTTTCATTCTTTTCCACCTTCCTATCTATCAGGCATTATATACTTTCTGACTATCCAAGCACAGACATTGGGTTTTCCGTATGTAGTGTTGGATGGATCGCCACTGAAGGAGATATTAGTGGAGGACTGCATGCGACTCATATAGCATGAAGTGCACAAGGGGAGAGAGACAGAGGAACTGTCAGTTTTTCTACCGGATCTGTCCATATGGACCTAAGCCTACATAAGGTGCCTGAAGCTACCAGCAAGAGTCAACATCAGTGAAAGACTAACGACAGAATCATAGCTGCAAACCCAGGCCGCAAAAACCGGAACTCAATGGCTACGAAGGACAACCGAGAACATACTCATGAGGAAGCCATGAGCTGTATAATATAGCATCCAAACAACCCCTTCATGATGTTAGTTGCAGCCAAGCACCTTCACCAATATTCTACCCAAGGCCAAGCTAACCCGCAATGTGAATAGGACACATGTCGTCGAGAGGGCAACCTTCGGAACGGATATGGAATGGTTCTGCTGGAGCAGGAAACAGGAACTTGTGAACCCACAAGTGGTTATTGTCTGCTCAATCAGCAGTCAATCAACGACAACGCGAAAAAGGTGGACGAAGCTCTGCTAAGAAGTTGTTCCCAGATGGACCATGGTGATTCACATGCATCCGCTAGAACTCGAGTACCTTATGGTGCATGGTACCCTATAGGGCATCAAATACCTACATGATGTGTGCGGGTGCTTCAAATCTGCCGTGGATGACAGACCTCTACGACTTATTGGAGGCTGTGACGTTCATAGGAACTATTCCATCGCCCTATTGCTTGGGAAAAAGGAATCCATCACTTCAATTGGATGTCGAGGACGACCATGTCACCAATGAGCCCCTTATCCACGTTAAATTAAAAGGGAAGAGCTTCGATTTCCATGTTCCAAGTGCCAACTATCGAAATTAACTTCCTCAACAATCCCATGTGTGCTCTCACGCATACATCTACATGTGTTAAAGTTGCATGCTGTGACATTTTTCTATTTTCCTCAAAATTATTACTGCACCCTTCTCTGTTTAGTCGTGGTCTATACCATAACGGCGCAAGCGAAAAGCAGACTTCACTACATGTTGCCCGAAATTCCTCCGCTGAGAGGAAATCAAGCGAACAAGGATAATCAGTTCATCAATCTCCCTGGAGCTAGATCCTGGGTTGATACCATCAAATAGAAATTCTCTATATTTAATGGACAGCAGTAGGAAACAGTGTAAAATAGATAGGGAGAAAAAGCAAAATTCCCTTAAAAGAGCTTCATTCTGCTAGTTACCCTGGGACATCCCCTCCTAATCTTCAAACACCATACTACATATATGTACTAGCACCAGACATAAGTCTCAGTATCCAGAGCCATGTCTAACAACGGAAACTTCAGTGAGCTACGTTTACCCACCTCCATCCCCTCCCCACCTCCATCCCCTCCCCACCTCCATCCCCTCCCCATCGAACAGCGTTCCTGTACCCCAGTACATTTGCGTCCCCGCCATCAAATGGCTCATCAGAAAGCTCCACAACGACAACGACAACGCCGAGGCGGACGGAATCGCCACCTGGAACGCGATCCTGAATCTGCATTTCCCATCTACACAAGGCTTCCTAATTCGCCCCTACATGCACCACGCTTTGCGTGGATATCCAGGCTGGTTCGAGCTTCAAATTTCCCACCTGAAAGACGGTCTCCAGAACCCAGTTCTTGTGCTGTACTATCAACGCGCTGATAGACGGAACGATGACCAGTGGGAAAATGCACAGAGAGAGCTACAGCTGTATCTTGCGTTTCGGTATCGCAACCTCAAAGAGGATGCGATACCCATCTATGGTATCCTTGCAATTGGTGCGAACTTGAAGATCTTCCAGTACGACAATCCCTCCCGGACCATCGAGCGGTTTGTTCCGCCTCGGGATTTGGAGCGTCATGATAAGCAGATCTGGAACGTGCTCAGGAAAATCAGCAGGAACCATACCGGTGGTGGCTGTGAAACGAGAGGTGTCAAAACCGAGTCTGGTGGACAGGGGACTAAGGGATCCGAGATTGTTTGAGGACACGGGGTTTACTGCGAAAGAATCGAAAACTCTGGATTAGCCTTCGCTTCAGCAGTGGCGGGAGACCCTAGAAACGGTATTGACAAAATGACGATGCTGTGTCGATGGGTGTTGGGGATTGTGCAGCAGAGAGCGGACACGATGCCCATATGATATTCATCGGTCCACGGGTGAAGAGCGCTGAATAGCCTGAGAATCATATCAGTGTTTACCATGGTTTTGTTAAGTTAGCAATTTGAAAAGCTCAAGAAGTTCTGGCACTCCTGAGACTCTTGAATTCATGGGGGTATAGTGTAACAAAGTCGCTCATAATATCATACAAAATAGGTGATCAATGGCAGAGGCCCACAATATAATCACCCAAAGCAAGTTACAGCAATGCATGTGGAGGCCCATTGAACGGTCAATCGAGGGAAGTCGTATTTTTACCAAGCTCATGGGGAGACGTAGCCCTTGGCGAGGTTTTCGATAAGCCCGGAGAATCCATGGCCAAAGATGAAGGTGACATAGATAGGCGCGGGAAGGGCTCGGCCTGGTTGTCGGACATACGGCGGCTTGATGACTCGCTCAAGGTCTTTCTCGGGGTATTGAACTGTTCTGGTGATCGGAGATTCGGACTAGTAGATATTGCGGCAGGCTAAACAAGTAGTCTGGTTAGTTTCTTCTTCACTGAGAGAGGAAGATGGATAATCTCATACTTTATCACCGCCTCCGGTATCAAGGCCTCGACTCAACGCCAACTCGTGTGCAGCAAGCCGTCGTCTCGCAATATCTGCTTCTTCTTCTAATTCCGCGCTCTGCTCTTCTGTCTTCAAGTCTTCCATTGATGGCGTGTCGAGACTTTGAGCAATGGTGGTGCCGTTGTAACTAGGCGATCGTTTTGGAGACCGTTTCTTCTTCCGCTTTGCTTTGTTTGAAGACGCGCCACCGAAGCTGGACGCAGATGCAGACTGTATATTTTCAGACTTCGCCCCGGACTGATCCTCTGATTCCAGGCCCATTCCCCGGTGCCCGAAAGCAAGCGCAAACTCATCGTCAAGAGGCACTGCATCTTCCTCATCACTAGGGAATAGGTCTCCACGCGAGCTGAGGGAGTTGTCCGTTCCGCGGGAAGACTGCGTGGCACTGCGATTCCTCCTATCAGGAGTAGAGGAGAATTGATCTTCATCCTCCTCCTCATCATCATCCATAGCTTCCATTAGCGGCTCATCTTCGTGCGCATAGCGTCGGGCGCCGGGGTGTTCTTGGAGATCAGCAGCCGAAGGCCGATACTTGACTCCCCTTGCACCGAATCTCCACGGAAAGCGCTCGAGGAAGCCGAGAAGAGAAGAGCTGGGAATCACAGTCGGGTCTGCGCGATTATCCGGAATGTGCGCAGTGCTTCTTCGCCTAGGGTTGCGTGTCCCGTAGCTCATCCTCCTGGGCCCATGTGGCTGGTCAGCAGCTCCGCGCGCCAGGCCACTGCCAGCAAGGAGCCGGTCGAGTTCACCCGTACCCCATCCAATTAAGCCATCATCTTCTTCTTCGTTGGCCCAGTCGTCGTAGAAATCGAAGTTGGCCTCGGTTTGGCCGCGGCGTCGCCGCCTTAGGTGGTCTTCTCGGCTCGGGAGGCAAGGTGCTGTACATGCAGTCACGCAATTTCCAATGGATTCAAAACACGGGGATATGTAGTTGTGGGAGAAAGTATAAAGCCCCTCTTGCGCGGTTTCGTTCGCGGTCTCAAGGTTATGGGAGATCTGATTGATCCGTTGTCGGATGCGGGGGTCGCGCGGTCGCATCATGTTGGGCAACGGCGTCAACAATAAACACTGCTAATGTCATATTTTTTGCAATTCGCTGCACCAGCTCTCGCCGGCGACATTGGAATGGTACGGGGGTAAGCAGAGGCAAGTGAAGTCGCAACATGAACGATGTCATTCCTTGCTTAGTCAGCGCGGGTAATTTGGGGAATTTGGTTTAATGAAAAGAATGTCTAGGTGAGTTTAGGATGGAGAGGCATTGGGGGATTTGGGAAAAGCATTGGTGTTCTATATCTACAAGATGGTCTACTATGTTCGATTCCTGAAAACTGCCAGGATCCAGCAACAGAAAGGGTCCACCTACCTCTCCGCTCTTATCTGTATCACTACTGATCTGGGGGACTTTTCTCACTGAAGATGTCGGTGGTAATAGCTGAGAATTCCTCCCAGGTTACGTTTCAGAAAACGACAAAATGGAATGCCAGTAATCGAGAACTTGCTATTACCCTGGGTCCTCTCCCATCCAAACTGGTCCAGCAGTCTATGGTATTGACGGTTCAAGTGCCTCGCCCATCAGGACACCGTATAACCCAGTACCCCCCAATACCATTAGTGGTTGCTGCAACAAGTGCTTCATTTGGGCCTCAGTCGACACCAGCGGAGAAGCTGGTGCAACGGCGGATTCAGTACGGCGGCTGTACACCATTCCCCATGAAAATCTGGGAAGAGACAGGAAATAGCATTGCTCGACACATATGGTAAGCCACTCTTCTACTTTGCCCTTGGTTTTCCCCTTCGAGGTTCTAAACAGGGATATTTTCCGGGATGCAGGCCTTGCAACAGTTACATATCTTCACATGATCTGGGCGAATATAAGGCGTAACGACAAGAGCAAAGGCACTGAACCTAAAATACCAGCTTTGAAACGGGCCTATCCAACACCCACAACCAACCTCTTCAGGTAGTTGAGCTCGGGGCAGGATGTGGGATACGGGAATTATGTTGGCATCAATGCCTCCCAACTGTTCGGTCTTACTCACGGACCTCCCTGAGGTTGAGGATATAATAACACGCAATATTAATGCTGCCCAACTCGCAACCATGTCCGGTGTACACTATCAAAACCTCGACTGGGACGATCCACTGGATGATCTCTGCCCCCGGCCCATTGAGCTCATTCTTGTCTCTGAGAGTACCTACAATGCAGACAGCTTGCCAGCGCTAGTCTCACCCTCGACCGATTGGTTCGGACATCCCCGGAGGCAATCATTTTGGTCGCTCTAAAGAGACGACATGACAGCGAAACGCTGTTTTGGACTTGATGCGGTCGGCGGGATTTACGGCGGTGCAGGTTAGCATTGAGATCCCTTCCCAACATGATGAGGTGGATGAGATTGAGTTTTACTGCTACAGCCGGGCAACAGGAGGAATATAGCATGTAGAACATTGTGATCTATGGTTGAACGCAATATAAAGGATTCCTCTCGGTCGAAAGGAAAAAAAGGCCCCTAGAGCTAGCAACAAACAATAACGTTCAAGCATAGAAAGCAAGAAGCGAGAGAACGCAATATCAACAACCTTGTTTGCCTATAATCGGCCTGTATGAAGGAACCCTCCAACTACGAGAATGCGGGGCTTTCGCCTCGAAGATTACTTTTATCACTCAGAGAGGGGATATATTCGGATCGTACTGCAGACTACCTAGCCCTGGAGGTAAGTACTGTGGCTTAGATGAGATCTAAGCATCGAGGGTATAAAGCAAACATATATACAAGTGCGACGTTTGCTTTATATCCACCAACGGAAGCTCATATTCTTCGGTTTTACTTTTGTGACTGAATGCCTTGAGAACTCTTAAATTGTGCGTATATGTCGGAACTCTCTTCGGTGTTAAATTCCGGGGGTTGGAAAGTTCTCTGGTTTACGAGCCATGGGCATGTTATTTTTGTATCAAAGATCACTTTTTTGAGGGTAGAACCGGGTTTGTGCTCAAGTCCGCTCCAGAAATAGGAAATAATACGAATTTCCCCATGGTTGAACCAGGGTTTCGCAAATGTTGATAAAGACCACTCTTAAACTATGTATTGGAAATGAAGAAAAAAATGGTTGATCTTGTCTGTGTACGGAAGTGGAATCGAGTCCACGGGGATCAAAGATGCGTCATTATGGGTTCTCGCCCAAGGGCCCATATTACCCAAGAGCTTGATCCCGACAGTTTCGACAGTTTAGGACACATTTCTCGGCATTGTGCATACTGTCACCTGCAGGTATATCACATAGCTCGGTGCAGAACTAAAAATATAAACATCCGGGAAGAACGCAAAGTACTGCCACGTATGTACCTGAATGTACGAAGTACCTGGATTCTAGTTCAAAGGTTTGATCATCAGGGATAGACTCCCGAGGTCTGATCAAGGACAAATCACAGACAACATATACACCGCCATAATCCAGCAATCCCGAGGACTGCATGGGATCTATCTCCTGCATCATGCAGTCACGCCGAGGAACAGAAGCTCGAGCTGAGCGAGATATTTAATAATAATGCCTAACAAGGGGCCCAAGATTTAATTCGCGCAAGTCCGAAAGAGTAACTCCGTAATAGACAGGCTGGCTGAGAAGTACAAGAAAACCTTCCAAGGCTGGCTTTTCCCGGCTGAGTAAGCACCGCTTTTTCCCCCAAAGGTCCAAGGGCTCCGTCATCTCTCAGCTCTCTTTCAAGACTCTCCCTTTTCTATTTGGGTGCTCATACAGCTTAATTATTTAGGTGAGTCTTTTTATTTCCCAGTTAACTTGATTTGGTTGTCCGTGTGTGACCCTGTGCGGCGTTTTATTTCCCCCAATGGTCGTGTGCCCTAAGCTCGCTCACTGCCCCTCAAAAACGAAAAATTTCTCATCCAAAAATCCCCGACCTCTTCTTCCTATCCGTCCTTTTTTTTCTCTCATAGTTATCATAGCAAGACTTTACCAGACTTGCTAACCACTGGTCTACTCTTAGATCTATTCGGTCCTTTAGGTCCACTCCCTCAGACCCTGCCTTTGGAATCCCCAAAGGCGATTCGGTCACCACGGCTCCAGTAGCCTCCCTTCTGGTTCTTAGCCAAATTGTCTCCACTCAACGTCTCCGCGACACTCTTAACAACATTCCACCTCCTGGTCTTCTCTGAATTTTCGTCCGGTGCGCCTTTTTTCGTCCCGTTGACGTCCCCGGAGATTATTCCCTCGTTCTCTGAGCTGCCGCATAGGACTTCTTTCAAGGTTCTTCCTCTTCAGGGGGAAGGGTCTAGGAGGCTTGGTCCAGTCAACTACGGTTGTGACACTTTTCGTCCTCCCTAACGCGCAGTCGCCTGCCGGTTTAAAAACTCTTTATTATCTCTCTATTTTCTATTCAAATTGTGCTGAGTCGCAGCGGCATGGTTATGGCACCGACTGCGTGTGTATCGACTGCTGAAGTATGCACCTTCAGAAAAGACTATAATAGTCTGGACCATCTCGGTCTTGTCAGCAGTCATGGGGACAACAATTTGTTGCAATCATCGTTGATTGCCAAGGAGCTCGTTCTGGATGTGTTGAAGAAGCGTGCGGCCGAAGTGGATGTGGACCACTGTGGTCCTGGTGAGGAGGATGCCTTCTACGTGGCGGATATGGGTGAAGTCTACCGCCAGCATATGCGCTGGAAGATGAACTTGGGCCGTGTCAAGCCCTTCTACGGTAGGCCTCTCTCTGCCACTAGACCGCCCACCCTGGACCCCTGCTGACGAACACTGAACAGCTGTCAAGTGTAACCCGGACCCGGAAGTCCTCCGGCTGATGGCTCAGCTTGGAAACGGTTTCGACTGTGCCTCCAAGTCTGAGATCGATATGGCCCTTCAGACGGGCATTGATCCTAGCCGCATTATCTATGCGCAGCCTTGCAAGACCAAGTCTTACTTGCGCTATGCCTCCGAGGTTGGCGTCAAGCAGATGACCTTCGACAATGCCGATGAGCTGTATAAGATCAAGGCCACCTTCCCTGAGGCGGAACTCTACCTTCGCATCTTGACCGATGACTCGACCAGCCTATGTCGGCTGAGCATGAAGTTCGGTGCTTCCATGGACCAGGCTCGTCCCTTGCTTGAACTAGCTTATAAATTGGACCTCAAAGTTGTCGGTGTGAGCTTCCACGTCGGATCTGGCGCCGAGGATCCCCGGGCATTCCTCAAGGCCGTGCAGGATGCACGCATGGTCTTCGATAATGCAGCAGAGATCGGCCACGAGCTCCACACGTTGGATGTTGGCGGCGGCTTCTGTCAGGACACATTCGAGAAGTTCGCGGGCATTCTGGGCGAAGCCGTGGACACCTATTTCCCGCCGAACATTCGTGTGATCGCCGAGCCCGGTCGCTACTATGTGGCCACTGCCTATACTCTGGCCGCCAACGTTATTGCGCGGCGTGACATTCCGGATCCAGATGATCCCACTCGCGATGCCTTCATGCTGTACCTGAATGACGGCGTCTATGGCAACTTTTCGAACATCATCTTCGATCACCAGCATCCTGTCGCTCAGGTTCTCACCTGCGCCTCGGACGGCTCCCAGCCTGGTTCTCCGAACTCTGCGACTTCGGAGGACATTACTTACTCTATCTGGGGCCCTACCTGTGATGGTATCGATGTTATAAGTGAGCGCATTGCCTTGCCTGGCCTTCTCAACACCGGTGACTGGCTCTACTTCGAGGAGATGGGAGCCTACACCAAGTGCAGCGCCACCCGTTTCAACGGCTTCTCTGACAACCACGAGGTGATCTATATTTCTAGCGAGCCAGGTGCCTCTGCTTTGCTCAACTACTAGTCTGCAATCTGTTGTGCTTAACGATCTTTTACAATGTGTCTCTTTGTTGGAATCACTTTTTGTCTGTTGACCTCTGCCTTTAGGGGCTGTCTAATATCTATCGTGCGTTCTCGCTGCATATGCGGTCATGTCTTTCGCCCACTATATTCTAAATTAGAATAGAGCTGGTCTTGTTTGCATCAACGTCCCTTGTCTAGATACTTTTTGCAATATCTTTCGGTTGAACATCTTGTTCTATAAGTATCGTTAGCGTTCGAGCACAAAACATGGAAAGTCTTGATGTTCAATTACATGTGTATCATGCTCTATCATCGCATTTCTAAGGTATCATGAAAAATAAACCGCATAACAACATCTATAAACAGGAACCGGCCCCATCGAAAATCTAGACCAAGCGCTCCACACTTAACTCCACACCCTCACCCGCCTGCACCAGCCCACCAGCTTCAAGCTTCTTCTTCCACTTGGCGGACTCGTATCGAGCCAGAATCAACGTAATGCGGGCAATGACAGCCGGGTCTGCAGACTCCGCAACCACAGCGGAAGGAGTGCACGTCCAGCGTCCGAACGCCCAGTTGAGAATATAATACTGCACGCCAGACGTCTCGAGCTTCTGTCTGACATTCAAATTATCCGATGTCTCCACAGGAAGATCCTGGTTCGAGCAGCGAACAATCCCCTTGATGCGATACACCTCCTCACGAGGCGCGGACGCGAGAAACTTCTCGAGAGCAGCAACATCCACCGTCTTCCCCTCAACGTCGGACTTCAAACCCACAGAAAGAACCTCAACCTCAGACTGATGATCATGCTGGTGCTGATGGTCATGTCCATGGTCACCCATAGCCCCACCCTCGGACTCCTTAAACAAAGCCCCATCAATACCCAACATAACATCCATATCAACGCGACCCTTATTCGACTTAACCCAAGGCGTCTCAACCTCCAAATCACCCACGCGATCCAAACAAACATCAAACCGCTCAGGCAAATCCTCCCACTTATTAAAAATAATTAAATCGGTATACTTCGCCTGGATCTTCGCCGTGTACGAAGTATCCTCATATCCCTCCCAGTTCTCGACATCGATAACACTGATCACTCCATCGAGGACGTAATGCCCGCCCTGTTCGCGCGCGAGCCGGTTCACCTCCATCGCGAGTGTTGCGGGGAACGCGCTGCCGCTGGTCTCGATCACGATGCGGTCGGGTTGCACTTCGGCGCGGAGCTGGTCCAGGGCGTCGCTGAGCTGGCCGACCAGGTTGCAGCAGATACAGCCATTGAGCATTTCGCGCACGCCGCTGATGGATTGTGTTGAGGCTAGTTGCGAGTCCACGGCTACGTCGCCGAATTCGTTTTTGAGGAGGGCCAGCTTGTAGGTCTTTGGGAGTTGCGGGATTAGGTTGAGGAGGATTGTGGTCTTTCCTGAGCCCAGGAAGCCCGTCACTATCGTTATGGGGATTGGCGCCATTTTGGGGTGTTTGGCGACTTGTCTTGGGTCGGAGGTTGTTTGCTTACTGAGGCCGATCCGCGGATGGAGGGGGTGAGCTAGCCCTAGCTTAAGAGCCCTAATTACCGTTTAGGGCTGTCGGTATGTATATCGGTTTCGACTTCAACTTGAGTTTAAATCTCTCAAAAGAAGGTTTAGAGGGGCCATTGTCTCTGTCTGCATACGATTCAGGCAAATGAGACAGGAATAGCGGGAAGCCATAGTGTGTATGAGTCGCGCAGGCGTTAAGCCAAAGAGCGCTGAATGAAGCACCCAAAATGAACCGGAAATCGGGCAGCTGCCTCAATGTCTGCTAGGTCAAGCTATATTTTGACACTGGCGCTATCGTGATGACCCAGAGTCACGGTCACGACAGCGTCATACCAGAAACCAATTACGGCCGCCCTAGGCAGATGCTTACTCCCTCACCCCAACACGGAGTCGATTCGTATCCCCAGCGGTAGGTAGGACGGAAGGCTTACGTGTGATGCAACTTATCCATGGCTGTACCTACCAGCATACCGAGTCCCATACTATGTGGTGATCTCGGTGGTTGTACTGTTTACTCATATGAGTCAAGAGACAGGCTGACGACATGGACTAGTGGGTGACACCTAGGCAACCCCTGGCGGCTGGGGAAACACCGACAAGAGAAGTTCCGAACTCCTAGATCTACCTTCCTTCATGTAGAGTAGGGATAAAGGTACTCCAGTTCTCTTCCATCTGTGACAAGAACTGCGTACGGTGTACGTACCGTGCCATTTTAAGTTTAGGTTTACTTCCAGATACTGGAGTATACAAAGCCCGTCTTCCCTTTCAATAACAATCAGGCCGTCCCAATCTCTATACCGCCATTTTATAACCTACTTTATCTACAAGTCGCATTGCCTTTTAACTACCTGAAAACTAGAGGACGACGATCGACTCCTAGCATCCGTACGACAATGCATATAAAATCGTCTGGTTTAGTAGCGTTTAGGAAAGCTCACAGTCCCCATCTACCTCAACCGTAGTATAGCTAAACTTGCTGTTCCCGAGCATACACAGCTTGTGACGCGCCCTTGTCGGGAAAGAGGTCAAAAAGGCAGACATCAAGATACACGAATGCGAGAGTTGAGATTGAATAGCGAAAGGAGACTAGACATGCTTTATATACACCGTTCGGGTATGCAGGCCGGACAGGCCTACAGTAATTCAGATTTGGATGGCCTTGATACAATCAGCCTGCGCACAAGTAATCCCAAGAAATAGCAGTTACCCAAATCCAAGCCAGCAATCAGATGATATCGCACGAATCAATGTCTCGAGACGGACCGACTCCTCGACCCTGTCGTTCCCTTCCTCGGTGTATCTCTACTCCTTTCCCATGATCGATACTGAGACCGCTCGCGGCGGGAGCGACGTGTCGGTGCACCGCTGCTGGTAATCCCCGAGTGGTCTGTAGTATTGGCGGGCTGCGGATTGCGCTTTTGCTCGGATATGGCGTCGCTCTTATTCAAGTTTCTGTTTCGAGGCATTGTGTATGATAGTTTCGGAGGAAGAGGGTTCAGGTTGATTATTGTTAAGTCAAGCGGTAATGGGCGAAGTAGAGGTATTGGCCCTCTCTTATACAGAGTGGCGGCGGTGGCACACTTGATCCAAACATTGATATTTACTTCATTGTGAACGCATCTTGATGCAATATACAGAGGGGCAACTCGAGGAATTATTTTACCAACTCCTTAGTAGTGGTCAATAAGTTATTGCTTGATATACAACATATATACATATACTCCATACGTTTCCGCCGAAATAAACAGCATGACTAGGAACAAAGCCGAAAAGAATGGAGGTGGCCATGCCGATCAAAATACATATTCAAATATTGAGGTCTTTCATTATTCCATCGTATCAATGTATCTCCTCGCGTCGGGGTGGGATGACAATGACACGATGTGAATGCAAAAGAGGTGAAGGGTAAACTTTTCCCTGGACCTCGGCCCAGAGGGCTATGCAACTGCGGGGACGGATTTCGGACCTCAAGATCTGATTATATTCCTCATTTCTCCTTCAAATATCGTGCTTTATAGTCCCAGTCCCTTGGTACCATCAGTCGTATCGGGTTAGCTGAATACCTTCCACAATGTCGGGTTCCAAGATCACCTGTTACCTCGACATCGTCAGCCCCTTCGCATACATTGCGTTTCATGTGCTGCAGGTATGAAGATTGTAAATCTCGACGAAGCCTTCATCTATCTAACAAGATTCTAGAATTCGCCTGCCTTTGCGAAATGTGAAATCACATATGTTCCGATTCTGCTCGGAGGTTTGATGAATGCATGTGGCAACAGCCCTCCAATCAACATCAAGAGTGAGTCAACGTCGTGAATCCGAGAACCATTGGAGCAATGAAGTCTCATAAGGGTATTTACAATTTAGATAAGAAAGACTACTTGGGCCAGCAGCGGGTGCGATGGGCGAAATATTTCTCAGTCCCAATTATAGAGGGATTCCCTAAAGGCTTCCCCTTCCGCACACTATCGGTACAACGTGCGCTGTGCGCTATCTCCCAGAAATCACCAGAAACGCTCGCTCCGGTGATCGGGGCGCTATTCCACACGGTTTGGGTTGAAGGCAACACAACCATCGGCGAACCGGATGGGTTTGCCCCCGTCATTGAGAGCATACTTGGGAAGCAAGAGACGCGTGAGATTATGTCTGCTGTAAGTCCGCCACAATAACACCCAGATTGCAATTATTTCGCTAGAAATGCGACCGCAAGGAATAAGCTAACTTAGTGTCTAGATGAACAACCCGGATATCAAGGCCCTTCTGACCGCGAATACCGGTCGGTCTTTTGACTCGGGGGCTTTTGGGCTGCCCTGGCTTGAGTGCACGAACTCCAAGGGCGAGACCGAGGGCTTCTTCGGTGTCGACCATTTGGGCCAGGTGGCTGACTTCCTAGGTTTGGACCGCGCGCTCGACAGAGGGTTCAGGGCGGCTCTCTAGGATCTGAGCAGTATCAATTTGGATACAGTCTCGTGCATTGTGAATGTCACTCAGATAGTTTCAGTCTCTGCGACTTCTAATTATGCATGCTAAATAATCCTGTCCCCCTAGAGAAGAGATGCTATCAGCAATATCCGGAATGTTCAACAAGCCGCAAAAGAGATGAATGATTCTAGAACTCCAGTCAATGGAGACTAGAACCGAAAATGTTAAGAATGTTCTGTCATTTGTCTATTTCGCTGGCTGTGGGTGTTTATTGCTCATATGTTTCTCTCGTAGGAAGTCGCAAACCTGTTCGTTGCTCATTTTGTCAATGCATTCACGTTCCTCCTGGGAAAGCTCTATACATAACACCTCCGTCAACAACCAATTCATATATGCTGCCGGGAAACTCATGGAAGCAAGAACATACCTTGAGATACCGTCTCCTCGACTTCATTTGATCCACCTGAGATGGTGCGAATGTGACCCTGAACGGTACGTATCGCTCCTTGCGCAGCAGGTAACGCTCCCTCCATTAGAGTATCCTTAGCGGCGACAATCTTCTCTTGGGTGGCGGAGCTAACGGAATTCCCAAACTCAGAAATCGAGCCGCTAGGCGCCATCCAATTGAATTGGTTTTCAATGCCTCCGAGAGCACCTTCCTGCCCCTCGGCTTGGTGGGAAGCAGCATCATTCATGTTCATTTCGGCTTCGGACTGCCTCCGTTGTTCGAGCGCAACACTGGAGCCGAAGTACAATGAGTCGCCCGAGGGGGTTGGGCTCATGGTAAGGTGTTTCGGTTGCTTGGAGGGGGAATATTTTTCGGATTCTGGGAACGACATGGGCGCGGAGAATAACGAAGTGGAATTATAAGCAGTAATGGTGATGGTAAGCCGTAGGGCTGAGCCTGACGTAGGGTTGATTTCCAGTGATCTGTTCGGGATCGAATACTGGGGCGAGCAGGGTATGACTCTAGAGAGTAGGGAGATCGGCGACAATTGTTCTCAGTAGGCAGCAAAATATCTTTTAGGTAATTGACCTTGTTTCAGTGGACTTTTCCCACGTCCAAGGTGTTGGAGATCGTTCCTAGCAATGACGTCATTGGGTTCCACCTCTGGAGCTACCCAGGTGCGTTCATCGATGCCCTGGAGGGATACATTGCACTATTTTTGGGGGGATATTACACGAGTCTGAGGATCCTTAGGTAGATACTATCCTATTAGTTCTAACTTGACTTTAGAGTGAAGTTCCTTTTATGGGAGTATCTTGCTAGGAACAAGTTAACTCTACAACTCGACTTGTTCAACGCATTATTTTTGATCTTCTAATGACTTGATGAACAGTTATCGTAAATTCAAATACTGCATATTTCAATGATTGAATGTATTATGCAGCTCGTATACATGCAATTGTATCATAGACCTAGCTAGTTGTAGATCTTAGCCTGAGGCCAGGAATGATCTCGAGATCCTTCGGCTTGTAGGTATACTTCCCCTCATTGGAGACCTTGACATCACGATTTCTTCGCTGCTGCTGCGTCTGTCGAACGGTAACCCACTGCTCGGTCGTGAGGTGCTGGCCAAGTTCGGTAAATGCGTTGGTAGTCAAGCCAAGCTTCTGGAGGAGGGGACTGTTCTGAATGGGGTCAAGGACAACGTGGTTGTTAGGGCTGTATTTATTAGCCTACGAAGTCGACGTACGCAGCGTAGCCAAGGTAACTTACCGAGCAAAATATAACACACCTAATCGATCAATGTGAGCCTGGTCAGTAGGTGGCGCATGCACCCGATGAATACTTGACTTAATCAAACCCCCAGTGAGCGCTGTCAAGGCATCGCATGTGTTGATAGTAATGGTACCATCCTGGGGCTTGACCCACTTCCATTGACCCTCTGAATTGAGGATTTGAAGTGCGGCTACCGGTTGCCGGAACAGAAGAGTAACTGTTCCCAAGTCTGTGTGGCCGGGACTGTAGAGCTCGCCGACCTTCTTGTTCTCCTCAACGCTGCGGGCTGCATAATGCATATAGCGTAGATGGTCCTCGCCCTTGACATCATATTGATGGTCGCGGACTAGTTGATCTTCATCCGGCAACTCGAGCAGGATCGCAAACAGGCGGAGAAGCTTCTCAACAACTTCGGTGTGGCATTTCTATGGTTTTTGTTAGTGGAAAAGGTAGACGACGATCATAAAAGGGAAAGTACCCGACTAAAGGCTTCAATCTCTTTAATATTCTCCGCAAGGACAGAAGGCTGCGGTCGCTCGTGGCGACCGTCGAACTTTGGGATGTTGTACACCTGGACATTATCCTTGATTCCATTTCCTAGGCTGAGGTGAGACGTGTTAGTATTAGTCCAATTTGCCTCCGCAAGCCATCTGTTTCTTACATCCGGTGTCCGGCAGGACGGTAAGAGTTGTATTCACCCCTTTCAAGATCACTGGCGCTGTGGAACTTGAGCTTCTCTTCAAGTGGCAGAGCATAGAACTCCCGCCCTAAGGCGAACTGGTTGTCGATCTCTTCTTGACTGATGTTAAAGTTCTTCACATAGAAGAATCCTGTTTTCAAACTCTGATTAGCACTAAACCCCAAAGTAAAGTCTGATCAAAGTGCAGCTAGGACACGTCGCTTGTGTTGAAAGATGGATGGATTTCCAGCCTTGCCATGGAGCGCCAGGGGGCGTCAACTCACCGACGTTCCTAACAGCATGATTGAGCTGCTTGACAAGATCTTCCTTTCCTCCTGGCTGTTCATACTGGGCTAGGTCCAGTGTAATAAGTTCAGCCCAGTCAACTAATCCGCGTCTGTCAGCAAGACAAAACCACCAAGAAATCAAGCATCACCCACGGTCTTCCTTGGTCACAGGGACCTGGTCATATTTTTCAATGTATTTGCCTGGCATCTTGAACAGTCTATAAATTTCAAAGAGGTGGGTATTGAATATCTGCAGCGACTTCAAATTGTTCATTCCCACAACAACACTCCTTATGAAGAACAAGCCGTATATAAGTCCGCTTCGTTCCGATCATATGCCCCGCATCTGATAATCGGGGGGATTTAGCAAGAGCACGCAATAAATCCGTCCGAGGAGGCCTGAGACACCGGCTAGTTTTTGGCTTTCGTGTGGTAGGCCGGGATACGCGCACGCCATCATGCATAAACATGTCGCCTCCGCGGGCGCGTCACAGTGAACGGCAGATATGCTAGCTTTGGCCTGAGACGTGTTTGGTCTTGTGGGAAGCTAGCTGTGGCAATTCGGATTTGCTGAAAGAGCGATGGTGACAGCGGGTGGGGGAATTAGTTAACATCTCCCAGGTTAGCTGTTTTTAATACTCAGAGATGCTATAGAAAGACATGGTCCGGTAAAGAGCAATGGCGATGGTCTATAATTCAGTGTGATTTGTCTTCTGCACTTTTGGGCATAGCATCGGACGTGACTCAAGCCTGGCTCATGTCTGACCTGAAGGACAAGGCCAAGAGATTGTCCCCATTGGGACTTCTCAAAGAGGTGTTTAATTGGTATCCATCTTCTTATCCCGCAGAGGAGAGAAAGTGAGCTTATTAGTGTTAAGGAATATATTTGCGGGGATATGCTCACGGTTCTAGATTACTATTCAAGTTGGACTTGTCAATTTTGATATTCGCCTGTCTCTGCTGTAAGTAGACCAGTCAAAATGAGCACATGAGGAAAGCAACTGACGGACTTAGTCTTTGTCAAGTATCTGGGTAAGGCTATTTCCCCATTGATTGCTCTTTGACTAGAAGCCAACATATCACAGATCAGACAAACATTAGCAATGCGTATGTTAGTGGTCTGAAAGAGGACTTCGCCCTGTACGGCAATGAGCTGAACTACTTCAATATCTGCTACTTCACATCATATGTATTATTTCAAATCCCTGGACTACTGCTTATGTCACGCCCAAAGTTGTGAGTCTCAGTAATTGAAATGCCTCCCCACTCATATCAAAGCCGACTGACTGATTCCATAGAGCTCGATGGTTGTTACCTACCCTCGAAGTCCTGTGGGGTATCTGCACATTTGCCCAAAGTCGTGTCACCAACGTACACCAAATTTATGCCCTTCGTTTCTTAGTCGGAATGCTAGAAGCGCCTGTCTTTGCAGGAACTCATTTCATTCTTGGTAAGTTCAACAAATATATACGGTCTGGAATTGTAATAACCATAATGAAGGTTCATGGTACACGGGTCCCGAACTCTTCAAACGAGCCGGAACATGGTTTATCTGCAACGCGCTTGGTACCATGGTTAGTGGGTATCTACAGGCAGCTGCTTATACCAATCTCTCTGGTGTTGGAGGTATGCCTGGATGGCGGTGGCTGTTCATAATTGACGGCATATTTACCATCCCCGTGGCCTTGATCGGGTTCTTCATCTTTCCCGGTATTCCAGGCTCACCCAAACCGTTCTATATGACGGACCGCGATGTTGCATTGGCAAAGGAAAGAACTACAAGAGCCAAGATTCGCCAGCCTGGCAAAATGAGTGTCGACGTCTTTAAGAGAACTTTTAAAAGATGGCACATCTGGGTCTTTATCACTTGTTACGCGTAAGGTTGCAAAGAGTTTACCGTTGTCGCGGTCAACATCTAACGCTAGTTTTAGATGCATGATCATCTGCTCCTATCCTAGCAGCTATATGAGCCTATGGCTCAAAGAAGAGGGATACTCCGTGACTCAAATAAATCAACTGCCAACTGTCACTTATGCGGTTAATATTGTGGCCTCCTGGCTCGGGACGACATTGGCTGCAATCTATCCGGAATGGATCATATATACCATTGCATCGGCGTGTTGTCTATTCTCGACGTTATGCATGATAATTTGGAACATTCCCACAGTACTGAAGTGAGATACCTTCTTCATCAGTCATCAGATCGAGTTCGTGTTACTGACAAGTCTCTTCGAAGATTCGTTGCCTGGTATTTCTTGGGGGCGGCTGGATGCTTGAGTCCAATTTTGTACTCCACCATCAATGTAATAGTGAGGGACGATGCCGAGGAGCGTGCTCTCATCATGGTATGTCCATTTCCTCCGTCCTGTGAGAACAATAATACTGATCGAATTTTTTCTTCCACTGTAGGGCTCTATGATGACATTTGGATATTCGTTCAACATCTGGGTTCCTTTGCTGGCATACCCAACCGCCGGCCTCGATGGTGCGCCGAGATGGCGAAAGGGATGGCCAATATCATTCGTCTTTTTTTTCCTGCTATGGGCTGGCTTCATGGCCTCCGTGTGCATATGGCGAAGGTAAAGCCCCGTCGTTGAATATTAGTATCTCATCTTAGGGAGCAAAAGAAGGGAGCCTTCGTGTCACACCAGGAAAGTAGTGATGAGGAAACGGACAGTGTGGTAGTTCACGGGACCCAAGCATTGAAGAGTCGATTGAAATCTGGTGGAGGCTCGTGACATACCCGTATAATCTTCCACAGAGGAAGAAGGGCAACCGAGGGACGATGGAGCAAAGCGCCGGAAAAACAACTATGAGCCGAAGGGACCTAAGGAAAGCAGAGAGAGTAGGAATGATTCATTATCGAAAGATCACCGAGATAATAGCGAAAACTCACCGCCCACCGACCTTGCGCTGATGAGTGGGGGGTGGAGGCAGGAGGTTTTGTTCATATTCTGTTGGACGTATGTAGGAGGACTAGGCAGCCCGTAATGCACGACCGGAGCGCCAAAAGAAGGGGCATGCAGAGAGCCCGCACCATATGGCGGCTGGGCAACGAAGCAAACGTGGTACTCGCGGGCGCAGAACCCCGAATGTATGTCAAGCCGGGGTTGCCAATGCAAGAGAGAATTGGAAAGTTTCATATACGCCCGGAAAGGCTCATACTCCTTATTCTCCCCGTGCCGGTTCGGACCCCGTAGGTAGCAAAGGCAATGTGAGAACTTGCGCAGGATCAGCACAAGTAACTGCTTACGCCAGTTTTCTGGGGAACCTGTGGTACCAGGCTTGGCGAAACAATGACAGAAAGCCTAGGAAACTATGTCCAGATGACACCGAGACGCCAGAATCACGATAGCCTTTCAGTGACAGGAACTAGAAGACGAAGAAGTAACATATCAGCACCGAGACAGGGACAAGACAGAGGCCGGAGCTAGAAGGAGGGCTATATGCCCTCCGTGTCCGGTTGTCTTGCCTAGAATGGAAAACCCCTCTAACCCCCGGCTATTCAGCCACAGCTAGTCGCTTATGCGCTAGCCTCGTCCTTGCCAGTATCATCACCGCTCAATGGCCGCTCCCGGGAGAAAATCGCCACTCCTGGCGGGCTCGTGCCTACCACTTGAGTTATCTCTTGATTCATGTTGTTTTAACCCGACGAGAGACCTACGTGCATCTATTGGCGTTGCACGGCCAGTTCCAGCTCACGCTGGTCGTTGATGAAAGTGTCAGTCTAAATGTAGTCTTAGCCCTGGCCACTAAGGAGAACTGAAGGTGGTCATAGCAAGTTGTGCACCATGGATGGCTGAGATGGTGGCAAGCTCAGTGGCGGCCTAGTCTAGAGCGACTTTCTTGGAGCGAGTGGTGTTGGGGACGATGGGAAACCGAAGAGAAACTGAAGGGGAATTGAAGAGTCGAATGCCAGGGCCATAGTAGTAGAACCGATCATCTACCACCGATAGGAACACAGTTTTTTGGCTATTCTCGACTCATAGGCGGTATAAGAGAATTGATATACTTACGGTAATCGTGCTTTCACGCGTTCCGGCGAGAGCGTATGGAGCCATTGCCTATATCTCGTTAGTATCAACATCCAAACAAACAATTAACATGGGTCCGGACCGCCGCTCGGGCCTGCCAGTTGGCCCTGTGTCGGAGCCACATCTCACGGTTGAAAACTGCCTCGCAGAAAGGGGGTGTGTCCCAATATAAGGCATTGGGAGGTTCGTTGTATGTGTAGTGGTAGATTAAGAGATTCGTTGTGAGAGAATAGGGAAGCCGAGGAAAGCGAAAAGAAGAGAAGAGCTAAGAATAAGATAAGAAAAAAAGAAAGTGAGAAGAAACCCCTTTGTGACTTCGAAATTGTCAAAAGCAAATGAAATTTTCAGAGCATTTTTGCAGGTTATAATTATTTCTAGTACTAGTAGTTACTGGGCATTGTAACACGCGTCGAGCTACTGATGTCTAGCCACGCAGGGTCACACCTCACGGTATCCTGCCTGGATATGTCGGTGTGCAGCCTGCTCTTCTCCGTTCCGGTTTTGTTCAATGTCGTGATCACCAAACAGGCCGGTTCCTAGGGTGGATTGCCACTTTTGCCGGGCTCGGGCCTGTCACTCGGATTAGTCTATCGATTTATGCGCCTGTTTCATCATTTATAGGGAGGGAGAAGATGTCGTAAGATTTAGTGAGTAGGGGCCGGCAATATAAGAATAGCAGAGTGGATTGTTCGATCAGTTTAGGAAGCAGAGCTGATATGAGAGTGATAAATGTTGGACATCGTCGTTGGTGAGGCTCCACTCGTGCCGGTGCGAGGTGACAGCAGCAATAAAGTCGGGTATGAGTGCCCTCAGGCCTTCTGCGACAGCGCGACGGAGTTCAGGTGGGCTCACTGGTCCCCCGTAGTTCCAGAATCAATTAGTGTAACGGAGTAGGGCGAGCCGGTCCCACTTCATATGGCCGCAGGCAGCGGGAATCTATTGTGTTAGCAAGTAAGCTTCGTTTAAGGGTTAGGTGATATATACTGCATTGAGTGCAAGCTTGGTCACTGGCACGGCAGCAGCCAACCACCTTGGATCGCAGAATCCATGTCCGGCAAAGGGGGCCATGGTACAGATGTCGGGGGATGGGGGAGGCGGGGGATTTCCAATATATGTATGGCATGATGATGAATGTATTAGGCTATGTGAGGATATTTGACCTCGAGAATTGTGAACCCAGTTAGAGAAGAAGAAGAAATGAAAGTAAGGAGAAGTGAAGAAGAAGAGATTGGGAAAGTGGGATAGCCGAAGTGCACATAGGTAACAACCAGGAACCAAAGGCACTTCGACATTGTCTTTTGGCGTAGTTTTATAGTGACTTCGAAGTTTTACCTAGGGAGTCGTGATAAGAAGTACATAGGCAGATATTTAGAAATGAGAAACTCCTTAAAATATATAGTTTGCTCTCCTGAGAGCATAACTCTCAATTGGAGGTCAAGCGTGTTGAAATTGCTAGGTGGCTGGCGTGCAGAGCCAGAGGCGGCGGCAGACTAGTATTTATAGTGTTAGGGTCAATGTCTAACATGGCTGACATTTAGCAAACTAGCCATATCGTAAGCTGAAAGACGTCTTGCTCACTCACCCACTACCATGCTATGTCCCGAAATGCCCATAGAAAATAAGGGCAAAGATAGGAAGAACAATGACAGATCTTGCATAGTCCGAAAATGCACAGAATTTCCTCGACAATAATCTCATTTAGGGGTATCTGCAACTGTGGGAAAAGGCGACCATACTTTCCACGGCCGTTCTGTGTATACTATCAATGTGCCGGTCAAATTATTCCTCGAAAGCTCTCATAACAGCGAGGCCAGCAACGGAGCCCGATGCAACACGATTGTGACCTAAAGTACTACAAGTCAGTCCGTCGAATCCATAGCGAGGGCGTTTCCTTCAGCATACCACCGTATCGAATCCGTTCCCATCTAACTTTCTTCACAATCTCAGTGCCATCTTGATTGCTGATCTCATTCCTCCAGATCTTAACCTCGCTAGGGTTACCATCCTCGGCTTTGTGGTACGTCATAGCACCTGGTGCATCCTTGATGTGTACGCCCGTGGCAGCCTCCCAGACGCGGCGTCCTTCGTACCAGGGAATTTCGGCATCGTCAAAAGCATGAACTATCGTCAGATCAAGGCTTTTGTCGGTGTAGTCCATATCGACAGCGTTCAAAGTAGTATTGACACCGGTAAGACGCGCTAGTCTTCCAGCCGTGTCCCAGTGGTCCACAATATGGCTCAGCAGCCACTTCTGAAACCGAGGATATCCCATAATGGGGGACAGCATAGGCGGCGTGATGCCTTTGAAGCTGTAGGATTCGATGAGATTAGGTAGGCTGCTGAAGGACGCCAATAGGACCACGCCAGCAAATGGATCAGCGTTCTTGATGGCTGGTTGGATAGCTGTCAGATTAGATGATCCGAATGCAAAACGCTCTGCCACTGCAGTTGTGACCGCAGTTCCAAGACTTTGGCCCATGATGACAATGCGAGAAGTGGGAACCTTCAATGGCCCTGCGGTAAGGAAGTTAATGAGGGACACGCCATCCGTTATAAGACCTTCCTCTGTGGGAGTTCCAGTGCTAACACCAAAGCCGCGATAGTCAATTGCGAAGACATGGACTGGGTTTGACGGGGTAGACAGGCTCAGCATCGAGTTATAAGTGGCAGGGCGATGAGCAGAACCCAAGTGCGCCGCATTTCCGTGGACTTGATTGCACAAATGTTAACTGGTGACAGTGTGAAATTACGGTGTCTATCACCTACAGCTTACCACGACTCGTGCATTGGGGTCATTGGCGAGAAGCTTGTGAGCAACGGTCTTCGTGTAATTTTCCGCTGGGCCCGTAGAGGGATTCTCCATTAATTCCTTTTCGTGTTCCCGGCAAAGATGCAAGGGTATCAAGTGCCACCCGTAGATAGTTTCATTGTCGGGAGTTACCAAATGAAACGGTTGGACTTGAGTTCCTTTGGGGATTGGTTAGCAAACATACTTCCGTGGGCGTTCACCTGGAGACGCCATACTCAGAAAGCCAAATTGCTCAACTTGGTTGACATCCTGCCACAGGCTGGGGTTGATCTTGTTGGCATAAAGAACACTTTGTTATCTATGTTAGGTCACTCTGAGCATACGCGGGGATAGGTACATACAAACGTTGGACCTCTGGGAAGGTCAACGAGAGGAGGCACAACACATAGATCAGTCCACCAGCTGCAAGAGACCAGTAGGCCTTCTTAAAAATCGGTTTGAGCTCAACCATTATGCTTTCCGGGGTTGAGCTGATTGACACCGGAAGGACAGGAGCGGACAACCTTTCCAAGGTTGGAAGTACGGCGCTGATAAGCGGCGCGTTATCGCGTCTCTCTCATTTCTCCCTTCCACCCTTCTCCATCCCCCTCCAACCTTTCGCTATAGAATGTTTTTTATACTTCCATCGCGAGTATCGTGATTATCTCATTGAATCCACCATGGCCGAAAAGCGCAAGCTTCCGGCGCGTGACCGCCGCGAATCTGCAGCCAAAAGACGTGTCTCCGAAGCCACGCCGCAGTCTCACAAGAAAAAGGCGCCAACTCCTCGCGCTCCGTCGCCCGAACTAGTTGATGCTCCTTTACCAACGAAAGTCAAGGATGGAGATCCATTGCCTATCGTCCGCACGCAACAGCCACTTTCCTTGCCGGAAAATGAGTACCAGTCAATCGCGGAAAGGTTTGGCATCGCTCCCCCCCCATTGGTGTTACAGGACTGACATTCTCCGTCCTATCTAAACAGTGCAGTTCTCCTCGCTTCACTTGAACGATCTAAGAAAAAGTGGCTGAGCGATGGCATCCTTGTTCGATACTACACGAAGCCGAAGAAGACGAAGCGCGAACAGATCGAGAAGAACAACCCCTCAAAGGACACTATGGCAAAAGTCGGACCCTGCGACATCACCATCGGTCCCCATTTCTTTGATGCCATGATTTATGTTGTGAAAGATCCCAGTGCGCCTCCAGCACTCCAATACGCACCCCCGCAACGACCGATGGTTCACTATGGCCATCCTAATAACTTCCAACAATACCGACCGTATCCCACCCCATCCAATCAACAACGACCTACGCAGTATTCTCCGGCTCCTCCAGGTCGCCCTGGGTACACAGGCAGCCATCCTTCGCCACAGCAAGGTCGTGGCCCAAATCAAGGAAATGCACCATCTCCCCAAGGAGGACAAAAGCCGCCACAAGGGCCAAAGGGCCAGCCTGCCAAGCCCAGTCCAGATCCTGTGATTCAAATGCTGGCTACAAGGGCAGCTGCAGACCCTGAACTGAAGGCCTTGATGCGTGTAGTTGCCTCAAGCCAAGCATCCCAAGAGCAGCTCCGGGCTTTCCAAGCGCATATCGACGAACTCAACGCCATCATCAAATCAAGAGAGCAGCAAGAACAACGGCAGCAATCTTCAACAGGACAACCACTTACAGAACAGTCGACCCCTAGATCACAGCCTCAGACTCAGAAACAACAAGATGATGGGATGAAGTCAGTATCGCTGGAGAAATCCCCACCAACGTTGCAGACGCCATCCAAAGGTTCCAAGCAGTCACCCGTGAAGACGGAGGCACAACCCCAGACCCCTGCGCAGCCCCCACCGAGCCAGCCTCCTAAACCTCCCCAGAGCGCCGCAGGGTCAGGCATAATCAAGGAAGAGCAATCAGGCACAGAACAGAGCGGTCCCCGGCCTGCGCCGTCTGAAGCAGGGCGTCCAGTGGTACCGGCCAAATCAGCGACTCCTAGTACTTCAAGCACCCCAGCCCCTGCTTCTACTTCTCAGCAGCAGACTCCTGTGGCACACCCGACACCGCTAGCCAGCGCTCAGCAGCCAGGAGCACGACCAGGACCACCATATCCCCCCCACCAACAACCTTCTTACGGGTCACAACCTCCACTTCAGTCTCGACCACCTCAATATGGTTCTCCTGTTCCATTCCCCCGCCCGCCTCCAATCCCTTACGTCTCCCCACTTGGTTCTGCGCCGGTAAACTACAAGTCTGTGGTGTTTGAATTCACGTCTCCCTTGACTCCATATGGAAGCAGTACCTCGGGTCATGCTGGTTCGGGAGACCGCTACCTTTTCCCTGAGTACACGATTCTAGAATGGCTCCCAGCCGAAAACACGGTCATCGCCTCGTTTTTGGTAGTCCGGAAGGTTGCTCCAAACACACCCTTCCCTCTAGAAACCGCTACGGAAGCTGCCAACTCCAAAAGCAAAGGCAAAGGAACATCGAAAGCTAAGAAGGGTGAACCTAAAGTGAAAACCGACAAGGGCAAACTACCAACCGATAGCCCAGCCCCCAGCCAGCCAGCCACACCTGCAACGGGGACACCACAAAAGCAGGAACCCACCGACCAAACAGCTCCCCTAACCCCTGGCCTCCCAGGCACTCCTGCGAGTGAGGCAAATCTCAAGGAATACTGGCAACCAGTCACTTTCCGAATCCACGCCCCCAATGCCAAAATCCTCGAGCCTCTAGCCCGCGTGGTCAAGCCCGCCGACGAGGTCCGCAAATTCATGAACGATATCATGGACCGCGCTGAACGTGCGCCAGATGGCTACCTGGCCATGCGTCTGCCTCGCGAGGCAACCTCTGAATCGTTCGAAAAGGACGGGACACCTGCTTCTTCCGGCAATATTGGTACCGGAACGCGCAGTCGTCTGTCCCGTGTTCAGCTCGCTGGAGAGGAATCAGAGGCGGAGAATTCTGGCTTCGAATTCGAGGAGGATGAGGAAGATCTCAAAGATTTCTATGATGCGCCGAGCGGGCTACCGCCGTTGAAAGCATGATGACAGGTTCCCGAGGGCACATGGGTCCTTATGTTCAGTGGTTATTCGACAGCGCACGTAGCCTGCCAGAAAGTTCGGGTAGCTATATAGCACGGATCCGTCAACCGTTGACATACTAGCTGTTGAGAACGAAAAGGGCCCGGTGGCAACGGCCGTCACTACGAAACAGATCGGATTTATATGGAACTCTGAACCTTCAGGATGGTCCTGGGTTGATGTTTGTAAAATATATAGGTTCTTCTTGTGGCAGTTGTTGAATATACAATAATGAATATCTGACGCCCTTGTGTTTATATATGCACTGGTTATCATTTCTAACTCCCATGTTTCGCGGAAATAATGTCATCCCCCTCCCAACTACTGGTATGTTTAGAAGACGGCAACTATATATTGCATGAAAAGATGTCGCCGAAAATACTGCGAGCTGTGGGTGGCTCGAAAGATTCATGCCTGCTAGGCAGGTAATTAAGATAAGTTGACGGTAACCTCGGTCCAATCTGAATATTAGTGACCCCAAGATGCAAAAGGTATACCACAGGCCCGTCAGACAAACGCTTGCTCGGTTAACAGACAATTTGTAACAAACTGCTCAACCTCTCCCACCCGCATATCTCGCATCATCCCCAATAATACCAGCCGTCTCTAAAAGCCACCTTGCACTCTCGGCCGCCGAATCCCCAGCCCCAGCCTTGATATTGATATTACGACGGCGCTCAGCCTCCCTTGCCTCGAATTCCCACTTTGCACGCTGGATCTCCACCGGGCTCAGATTCGGGTCTGCGGAGAATGATGCCTCCGGATCTGGTACTATACCCCAAATCTCCAGGGTATACAGATCAAGCTTAAGCTTTGTCGGCGGGTCTTCGAGGGTTGTATTGGCAGCGGGTAAGAAGACGCCGTCGTGTCCGACGGGTGTGGCGTGGAACTCAGCTGTTTCTATGTTTGAGTCGATGATGAGACTGCCTGCTCCGTGCGGGGTCGGGTAAGTTTGGTGCGTGCGGGACGGGGCGGGGATTTGGCAGCCGATTGCTATGCCGGTGTTGGTTGAGAAATAGGCGGTCGGGGTGTTGGGCTTCTGTGCGGATGGGGAGGGGTTGCCTGGGAGGAGGAGGTGTTTTGGGGATAGTTGGAAGAGGCAGGGGAGGAGGTCGGATGTTTTTGAAGATGAGCTAGAGGTCGATGTGGATGTTTTCCACGGTTGGGGAATGCAGGCACCTAGAGTTACCAACTCATCGCTGGTTGAGTCTGCTAGAGACCCTTGCAAGATGAGGAGAGTGGCGGATTGCCAGGTAAGGACGTGGTGGGAGAAAGATGTTAAGGAAGAACCGTGCGCGGCCGTGGAGAAGACGGGATGTAGTTTCACGCTACTTCGGAGGATATTGATACCGGGTGATGTGGATGGGAGGAAGAATGAAAGATGCGAGGTAAGCGATGGGTTCAAGATGGCCGACTCGAAACTTCCCGGAAGTGTAAGTGAGGCTGGTGGTGAGGGATATGCCTCATTCTCCTCGTTCTCGTCGCTCTCCTCCCGTTCGGTCTCTGTGGCTGGACCCTTATGGCGACGTTGAGATAGGTTCAAATTTTTGCTGAAAAGCATGTGCTCAAAAAGAGCATTCAGCGGATCGAACAGACATGGCAGAGACAGTGATATCGTTCGGGCAAAAGCCTTGTAAGATATCCCACCATCGCTCTCTTCCGGTGAGAAGGCTGCAATAATACTGTCTACTTCTTTCTTAACCAATTCCATACACCGAACATCCAGTCCAGCTGTATATGCCTTCAAAGACTCCAATGGCTTCAGTGGTGCAATGACAAGGAGTAGCATTAGCAACCGGCGGAAGGTATCGATAGAAATCCGGGTCTCGTAAACGGTCTTGTCAACACGGTGGTCGTGTTTGAATACCTCGATCGCATCAAGAGACTCCAGGGCTGCAAGTGCAAGATCGTCATCCTCATCTTCATCGTACTCATCATTGGCCGGTTCATCTATGGAGAAACCCAGTGCATGGGAATGTCCAACTAAAGCCTCGGAATCCTGGGCTGTAGATTCTCCATTGGACTCCGCGGGGGTCTTCCTCCCGACATCAGCCAGGCTGCCAAAAAGTAACTTGATTCGATCCTTGTGTCCCCGCTTAAGCGCCTTCCCGTAACGTTCAGTCAACAGCACAACCACCTTAACCATGGCCTCAAATGTCAACACACTGGGCGCGAGTGTGTTTTGGAATGGAAAAGCTCCCAGATAAGAAACCATGCGAAAGACTACCGGTCCTGCGTCTAACAGCTGGTCGTTCGAAGAAGTATAGATACCATCTGGGATGCCCAAGAAGTCTGAGAGGACTTTCTCATTCCAGTACCGCAGGCCTCCCTGCTCTAACGCCCGAGAGAAGAAGTTGTCCTTAAAATGCGTGAGCTCTAATGGCGTAAAGCATTTTGTGGCGAAGCGCCCGGCGAGCACCGAGCTCAACTCCTCTGTTTATGCATATGGTCAGATACAATCGTTATTGACAAGACGGAGAGATTTCCAGATTTCCATGTGAAAGTCGAGGCCACATTGTTGACAGTAATGGTCGATCAAGAGGGTAGGACACCCATGCATCTCTTAAACACAATCATCACCGTATCAGGTAGAACTCACCTGGCGATGATGCGCCATGCTCATTCGACTGGCCTGCACCCATTGTCGATTGTTGGTGGTTGATGCGGGGACGACGCCACGGCTGGGCGATGGCTGCGTTCCGTCGCAGTTCTCAAGAGCTAAGATCAAGTGCAAGGATAATGGAGAAAGAGGCGAGGGAAGAAATGGTTTGGAGTAGTCAATCCATCACTAAGAAATGCAGCATCAACAAACAGCAGCAAGTCAAGCGAATTCCATGACGACGTCAGACAGCTGCCTGAGGCAATACTGTTATGCCTGAGGCTTGAGATTGTCACACCACATTACGTAATCCGAACACTGTTGTGTACTGGAGTCAGATTCACGTGACCACTAATACAATCACGTGATAAACCACCGGCACCTTAAATCACGTGACCGCTTCTGACATCTTATCTCCAATTTACCTCTCCACCTGGGCAGTTCACCACGTGGGCACTGTCATTTGTTTGCAACACCTCCCTTCGGACTTTTTTTGCTCTTTTACTGCCCCCATACTAAGCTTCCTTCTGTTCTATATTTAGCATGGTCCATTTCATCTTTATGCTTTGGCTGAGGCGCCTGTTGACTACATAACCTCGTGGCTCACTTCTGAACCAATCTAGAACCACCATCAAAGCCTATGGTGTTTCGGCGGGAGACAATGAGTTCTCGACAGAGACTAAGACCAATAATATTACCCTAAAGTCCATTAGCGCCAGCAGAATATGTGCCTTTCATCGAGGATCTCACCTCGACCACGGTCGAGACAAATATGATCCGAACCAGTGGACCAGAGAGGATGAACAGCCTTCTGTGTGGTATACGGGTCTCAACCAGCATGCTCTCGTGACCATCGGAGACGCCGGCGATGCTCTCTTCAAAAGAAGTGACAACGTAAGAATTGTCTTCAACTATTGATGGAGTCTGCTTGTTATCCAATTGGGCGTTAGCTTCCTATAGACTTGGTGCAGTTTATGTGGGGAACTAGCTGGCAATGCAACTAATGATATGGCGTCGCCTACACCTACTCCTTCTCCCGTTAGAGGCAGGCATTCGTGCACGGGGCTGAAACGGTCATCTTATTTTGACAACCAAACGAGCCTGTTTGTTGAGGCTGAGTAGTAACTAACTAATATATAATGCTGTGCTGACATGTGGGTCGAATGAGCTTCAACGTGATCCACAATGGAACCTTGAATAGATTGGGCCATATGCTGAATTGGGAGTATTTCTTGGATGTTGACATACGGTTCAGCATGTTAAGCATGTAAGGTTCCTATGGACCCCACCTTTGGCCCCATGAAAATTTAATCCTTGTGCTCATTACGCTTTCGCCCTAACGCAGATATCATGCAACCTAGTGTCTTCGGGAAAGATGAGACATTTACTCCGTAACGCCGGCCGTGTCTACTCTAAGTGATACATACAAATACGTATGACTTGGCGTAGTTTCTACATATTCAGGTAACTATACTACATGTAGTACGTGACTATGTACCTTTAACCCTGTATAGTTACGGGTATGAGTAGATACATGTATGTTGTGTGTCGTCTCTCTGGGTATGTAATATGTATGTACCTATCCCGTCATATAATACAAGTTATGACAATACCGGCGTAATTTAGCCCCCATCCAAACGAAGGTGTCTGTATCTGTATTGGTATCCATGCAGCACATATAGGGCAGGGCGAGGGCAGAACGTATTATAACTAGAGCCGACTGGCGTGCATACCACAGGGATCTGGACTCCATCCCATTAGTCGCTAGTCTCTCTTAGGAAGTTGCTTAACAGATCAAACAAGAATGTCAGACGCCCAACGGGCTAAACTACACTAAACTGACTACCTTGTTAGCGCTGATGGCTTTTCAACCTTTGAGTCATTATATTTAAAGTAATGGCGTTATTTTATATGCAAGCTACAGCGTGTAAGCGTTGTCTGACACATTCTTCCCGAATGCATACTCTGACAGGCTGGATTGTTTCGCGTACAGCGCGAGGACGCGTTGTATATCGAGTAATAGAACACTTGTATTGACAGAATCACGACAGTCACAGTCGAATTACTACCCATTTCGAGGGAAAACAGAGTAAAATACATACTAGTTCTAACTAAGAGCTATTAGGATATTTTCATTGTCTAGCCAAACCGCCATTCAACATCAACCCACGGCAAATTGCCCTGCACGTATGAGACTAAACGTGGCGGCATGAAGCTAACGTTTGGTGTTGCCAATATGATCTGGACTCGACACAGAAGTTGCATACGAATTTTCCATATGGGTTCACTTCACCGAGATGTGATCAAAGTAGAGCACTCCTTCTATTGGCTGACATGTATGAAACACTGCCTACTTGCTGACATGCAGGCAATTGATAGGTATTATTATCCTCTAAGCTAGAATGAAAGCGGGATTGATGTAGATGTAGAAAGGTGAAGCTTGCAAGCAACGAGGACATAGAAGTACTTGCAACTGTGCCTCCATAAATTGCCTAAAGGAATTTTAGATCATTCTTTGTTCGGAACCCATTGTACTGCGCTGTCTGTCTCGGCTTACACTAACAATTGAAAAGTCGCCAGTATCTTTGATATGTCTCTTCCAATGGTTGAACCTGAGAGTCCGCAGATTTCAACCAGCGCTGAAGCTCCGGTTTCTGCAACGTTATCTATTGGTAATTGAATATCTACTAGTGTCTGTTGTTTATAGACTGATTCCCCAGCAGATGACGGTGATTCAACATGCAAAGGAACACCAACATCAGACAATTGTATCGCGATTGGCTCGCCCAACAATCTTGCAACTTCATCTGCTCAGGAGGAGAGAGCATTGAGGCCCAGACTCATTGTACTGAGCGCGGATAGCCAGGAGGATTGCCGGAAGCTGATTGTGAGAGTCGCACGCTATGCCATGGCGCAAGACAAATCGGTCGATCCCGATATTCTGCTCGACCAGCTGTCGTGGAGATTAACCCGGAGGCCGATATTTGATTATCGGGCGGCATTTCTGGCGTATGGATTGGACGATATGGTGGGACAGCTCCGGACACTGGAACAAGAGCCCATCATTCGGCGAGAAAGAAAAAGCTCCCCTCGACTGGCATTTATTTTCAGCGGCCAAGGTGGACAATATCCGCAAATGGGACGCGAGTTGCTTGATGCCTGTCCTGTATACGCGAAGTCAATCGCTCGCGCATCTCAACATCTGGCTGCAATCGGTTGTCCATGGGACCTGGTGACCGAACTCACTAAGCATCCTGAAACTTCACGGATTGACGAGCCGGAAATTTCCTATCCGTTGACAATAGCTGTCCAGCTTGCCCTTGCAGACACTTTTGCTGAGATTGGAGTAGCTCCATCTTTTGTTTTGGGACACTCTAGTGGTGAACTGGCGGCTGCTTACTGCGCAAAGGCAATCTCATTTGAAGAGGCAGTGACAGTGTCGTACCATAGTGGCCACCTCACCAGTGCCCTAAAAGGAAAAGGTGGAGGACTCTCTGGCAGTATGCTAGCAGTTGGTGCTTCGTACGAAATGATCACTGCTTTGATTCACACTGCATCAGATGCAGCCACTACTGCTGGAATTAAAATAGCCTGCACCAATAGTCCTTTGAGCGTCACGGTTTCTGGCGACGATAGTGCAATTTCACGCCTACAGGAGATCTTGGAGACCAGGGGAATATTCAATCAAAAGCTTCACACTGGCACTGCCGCGTATCATTCGCATCAAATGGCTGAGATTGCGCCCGAGCTCTCACAGAATCTGGAGAGCCTCAAGGGCGCTCGTGCTGATCCCTCCGTCGTAATGGTCTCATCGTCGACAGGGAGTGAGACTGGAGGAACAATTCTTGGCGCGGAGTACTGGGTGAAAAGCCTGGTTTCGCCAGTGCAGTTCATGGAAGCAACCAAGACATTGTGCCAAACCAGCTCAGGTTCAAAGCGAGTTGATTTTCTCTTGGAGATCGGGCCACATTCGCAACTCGACAAACCCATCAAGGAAACTCTTCAGACGGTTCTTGGTGATGCCAATAGCATTGCTTACACCTGCACCTTGAGACGAGGATTTGATGCCCAGGCTCGTCTGCTTGATACGCTCAGAGTACTGTTCCTTGAAGGGGTTTCCGTAAATCCACAGCTGGCGATTCCTCCAGTCGACTGGGATGTCTTTGCAAGCGTGCCCGACTGGGGATTTGATTATCTAACTTCTTCAGGTGAGGGGAAAATCGACTCTTTGGAAGTAGCCAAGGGCCAGTTTCCAGCACGCGGGGTCCTGTCAAAGAACTGGCGTCTGCAGCCTGACCGAATATGGAGAAGATTCAATCATTCTCAGACTAGCACTGTGAAGAAACAAGCACCGAAAACAGAAAATGAGAAGATTCTGCACCGCATAATATGCGAGGAATTGGATTTTCAGAATAACCTGATAGGTAATGAGGACAGCTTCTTCCAACTTGGAGGCGACTCTGTCCTCGCTGTGCGTATCTCGTCAGCAGCAAGGCGCGCCGGATTGCTCCTCTCAGTGTCCACAATCCTTGGCCATGCAAGATTGGTTGACATGGCACAGGCAGCTGAACCCCTCGTTGAACAAGAAGATATCGGCATCAAACCATTCTCACTGCTCAGCGTTGAAATCTCAGACTTATTGGCTGAAATATCTCGCGACTGGGCGGTGAAAGCCTCAGAGATCGAAGACATTTATCCATGCACACCACTGCAGGAAGGCCTCATGGTGATCACCCAAATCGACCCACATACTTACACTCATCAGACGGTTTATACCCTCTCCCCAGCCATCGACGTTGCAAGGTTTTGCAAGGCTTGGGAACAAACCGTGAAGAGTACCCCAATCCTCCGTACAACGATTGTTCCAACGCAATCCGCGGGGACCTGTCAGATTGTAACGACACGAGGAATCGAATGGCAATTTCCCTCCAATTTGCAGGAATACTTGAAGTCAGATTTGGCAAAGGGCGCTGCCTATGGAAGTCCTCTTGCGCGATATGCACTTTCTGAGATTCACGATGGATCAACAAAATTCATTTGGACTGCCCACCATGCCCTCTATGACGGATGGTCGCTACCTATGATTTGGAAAAGAGTTGAAGCAATCTATCACTCCGATGATCATATCACCATCAGTCCGCCGCTAGCAGTTCCATTCAACCGCTTCATTCGTCACATACAGACTGGGGACCATGAATTGGTAGACGATTTCTGGCGGACACAGTTGTCAGGCTCTATGCCGTCCAAATTTCCCCAGCTACCCTCTGTAGGCTACCGGCCCCAGGTGAACGAGGTTTTCGCACATGAGTGTAACATCTCCAGTCTCGATGGGACTGGGGTCACTCAGTCCACGGTCATCCGGGCGGCATGGGCGATATTGATGAACGAATACCATGAGGGCTGCAATGATATTGTCTATGGGTTGACCACAAGTGGAAGAAACGCCGATGTGCCCGGAATAGGTGACATGGTGGCTCCCACTATCACCACTGTGCCGTTTCGCGTGCGGATAAATGTCGACGAACGCGTAGACGCGTTCCTTCACAGACTGCAGGTTCAGGGAATCAACATGATCCCGTTCGAACAGGCTGGATTGCAAAACATTTCAGAGCTCAACTCCGATTGCCGCCTTGCCTGTGAATTCCAACACATCCTTGTTATTCAACCAGGGCAGAGGGAGGACACTGCCAAAATCTTCCCTGGAATCACATCAATCCAGGCGACTGAACTTCATGCCTACGCCTTTAGTGTGCAATGTATACTGCATGTCGATAAAACCACCATTCAAATTGAGTTTGATAATTCTCTGATCAGCACATTCCAGGTTGAACATATTTGCAGCCAGTTCGAAAATATCCTGAACCAGCTCACTCTCGACGGATCACGAACAGTTGGAGCTATACAAGCAATCAGTGAGCTCGACCTGAATCAGGTGTTGAAATGGAATTCCGGATTTCCCAAGATAGAGACACGGTCTGTGACTGCACTCATCCAGGCCCAAATGCATGCACAACCACACGCTCCAGCTATCTGTTCTTGGGATGGCAACTTTACATATCAGCAACTTGATAGGCTATCCAACCGTCTCGCTCATCATCTAATTGATTTCAATGTTGGGCCGGAAGTCTTTGTGCTGTACTGCTTTCCGAAATCCGCCATGACCATTATTTCAATGCTGGCTATCATCAAGGCTGGTGGTGCTGGTGTGCCATTAGACCCCGAATACCCCAATGAGAGAACGAAGGGGATTGCTGAGGATGCTCGTGCAACAATCGTCATTACCAGCCCAGAGCTGAGTGCCAGGTTCGAAGGGATTGTATCTACGGTCGTATCCTTGAGCCAGGACTTCCTCGACCGCACAAGCCGCGAAGATCCAGTTACGCCTCATCGAGCCCAGCCTTGCAACGCACTTTATATCCCCTTCACCTCCGGAAGTACTGGAAAGCCAAAGGGTATTGTCATTGAACACAGCATGTTTGCTTCCAGTGCAGTGGCTCATGGCGAGCTCCTTGGAATCGGCTCGCAGTCGAGAGTATTCCAGTTTGCTGCCTATACATTTGATGTGAACTTCGCAGATATCCTCACCTCACTGATTCGAGGGGCTTGCATCTGCATTCCATCTGATATGGAAAGAATGAATGACATAGTTGGAGCAATCAACCGAACGAGGGCAAACTCTGCAGTGTTAACTCCGACCGTCGCGGCCATGTTTACCCCAGGACAGGTTCCAACCTTGAAAACGCTTATACTTGGTGGGGAGCCCTTGACCCGGGAGAACGTTCGAACATGGGCAGATCATGTCAATTTGTGGAACACCTACGGACCAGCCGAATGCTGCGTGTACTGTACCGCGTATCCTCTTCGCACTCCAGACAGTGATCCAGCCGTGTTGGGCCATGCCCTTGGATCGGTCAACTGGGTGGTCAACCCATTGGACCACAGCCAGCTTAGCGCTGTTGGGTGTGTTGGCGAGTTGGTGGTTCAGGGTCCAATGGTCTCTCGTGGCTATCTCAATGATCCCGAGAAGACCAACGCTGCATTCATTGAAAGTCCACCGTGGCTACCGATCGATTCCCCAAAGGAGCATCAGAGGGTCTATAAGACCGGGGATCTTGTGAGATACAATGCAGATGGAACCATCACCTTCGTCGGACGGAAAGATACTCAAGTGAAGGTTCATGGTCAAAGAGTTGAACTTGGAGAAATCGAGGCTCATCTATCCTATAACTCCCAGATCAAGCATGCACTCCTCGTTGTCCCTAGCACAGGGCCCTACATTGGGAGACTCGTCTGTGTGCTTTCGCTTGACGATACATTGATAATGGTCGCAAGTAGAAACGTAGACGAGATTGAACTGATTGACAGTTCCCAGAAGGACACCGCTGCCAAGATAGTCGCAATCAGTCGCGACTATCTAGGCGAGAAGCTGCCTCGATACATGATCCCTTCTGCATGGGTAGTTTTAAAGGCTATCCCTCTGAATGCGTCCCGGAAAATGAACCGAAATGTTCTAAAGAATTGGGTGGAGGCAATTGATGAAACCACATATCGCTCTATCGCGGATGTGTCGAATGCAAAAGCCACAAGACAACCCACGACACAGCTAGAGAAGCAAATACGCGACGCAGTCAGTGTAGTACTCGCGTTGCCAAAGGGCTCGATTGGATTGGAACATTCGTTTTTGGGTCTCGGCGGAGATTCCATTTCCGCGATGCAACTCATGTCGCGTCTTCGCACTATGAGCATTCGGCTCAGCGTACAGGATATATTGCGATATCGCACTGTCGAGGCTCTGGCAGGGCACGCACATGTAGCGGATGAGTCGATCAATGATGCGCTGGTTGTTGAAGAAATTGACGACTGGGTCGATCTCGCACCGATCCAAAAGATGTTCTTCGAGAAGCAGCCCAATGGGCAAAACCATTTCAATCAGAGCTTTGCACTCAAACTTTCAAGGAATATCCCAGACAATAGAATCGAACAAGCCATTCGAACTCTGGTTGACCGACATGCCATGCTTCGCTGCCGTTACGGAAAACCCGATGGCATTTGGCGACAGAAAGTCACATTTGATGCATCTGGATCATTTATCCTACTGCCTTCACAACGAATGAGTTATGATGAAATGGCAGCGACTTTCCGCGACATACAGACTCAGCTGGATGTGGAGAAAGGGCCAACTCTTGCCGGGATAACGTGTTATGTCCAAGACGCTCGATACCTCTTCTTGACTATACACCATTTGGTAGTTGATCTCGTTTCATGGCGTGTTATATTGGAGGAACTGGAGGAATTGTTGGTCTCCGGGGCACTTCAGTCAGAGCCCAGCATAGACTTTCGAAACTGGGTCAGGTTACAGGCTCAATATGCTTCCCACAACCTGTCATCAGAGGATGTACTCAGGGCTGATACTCCGAGCCCCGATTTTGGCTACTGGGGAATGTTGGAGCATCCAAATATTGTGGGAGATACTATCGAAACATCCTTTCTCCTTGACAAGGAAAGAACGGCCCTTTTGCTGGGAGAAAGTCAGGAGGTCTTGGGGACTCAACCGGTGGAAGTGATGGTGGCAGCGCTCGTTCATTCATTCCGCCATGTCTTCCCCGATCGGCAGGTTCCAGCGATATTCATGGAAGGCCATGGTCGCGAGTCCTGGGACCCAACTATTGATATCACCCGCACAGTAGGATGGTTCACCACGATTTACCCGGTCAGTGTGGACCTGGGAAGCGGTGACGAATGGTTCGAGACGGTGAAGAGGACAAGGGATGCTCGGCGACAGCTGCCTCGTAATGGCTGGTCATATTTCACTGCCAGGCAGCTCAATCATGAAGGAGCGCAGTCAGTCGATAGCTCTGAAATGGAGGTCCTATTCAACTACGTCGGGTTGTATCAGATGCTCCAGAGGCCGGACTCACTGTTTCAACCATCCGGAATTTCTGGACAAGAACTTCAGGATTTTAGCTCCACGATGGAACGCTATGCCTTGTTCGATATCTCGGCCGCTGGTGAGAATGATTGTCTGCGCTTCACCTTCACGGTCAACAAGTATATGCAGCATCAGTCCGATATTCAGGAATGGGTGAGGGAGTGCCACCGTGTTTTGACGGAAGGCATCGATCAGCTCATGGAACGACCCAACGTCGCAACTTTGGGAGACTTTGACAGGCTGATGGACACACCTTCGGGTATCCGCAGATTAACTGAGGAAATCTTGCCTGCAATTAGCGTTTCAGGTGTTGATCAGGTGGAAAGCATCTCGCCCTGCTCACCAATGCAGCTGGGAATCTTGTTGGGCCAACTGAAGTCCCATGGTGCCTACGAGTTGTACACTATTCAGGAGGCAATTGGCGGCGGAAAGGGCGACGATGATGCTGCAAGAATTCTGACTGCCTGGCAACAAGTCGTAGACCATCATGCGGCTTTGAGAACGGTCTTCATTCGGAGCAGTGAATCTGACACGCTATGGGGCCAACTGGTGTTGAGGTACATGCAAGCACCCGTTCGAATGATAGCCAGCGAGGATCCGATCGCGGCTCTCGAAAGGACTGAGCCGATGAGGGCTGCTGATGGAGTCCCTATGCACCGGTTCACCTTATGCCATGGAGCGAACGGGCAGTTATTCTTCAAGCTTGAATTCAGCCATGCTCTGGTTGATGGGACATCCGTACAGATTATCTTACGGGATATCAAACGTGCATTCAGCGGGCAATTCAGCAAAGCCTCGGCAGCGCTGCCTTATAGTGAATATGTGACATTCCTTCGGCAGCAACGGAAGCGAACATGCCTGGAGTATTGGAAGGCATATCTACACAGCGTCCAGCCATGCCATTTCCCCATTCTTGATGATGGCCGTCCCCAGACCCACCAGTGGAAGACCATCAAAGTCGAATTGCCGGAAGTGACCAACACTGCCATACGCCAATTCTCAGACACTTACGGCATGACTCTCGCAAATGTTGTGCAAGCTGCTTGGGCGCTGGTTCTCCGGACTTTTACAAGCAGTAACAGTGTCTGTTATGGTTATCTGACGTCTGGTCGTGACGCTCCACTTGCGAACATTGAGGATGCAGTAGGACCGTTTATCAACATGCTGGTTTCCCGAGTGGAATTCGACAACTCGACCTCTGCCCTAAATTATCTGCAGACCATTCAGGACGACTACTTGCGAGGAATGGCTCAACAATATGTATCTTTAGGTGAGATGCAACACGCTATTGGGATGTCGGGCCAACCTCTCTTCAATACCGCCATTTCCTTCCAGAGGCGCTCCGCACCAAGCGATTCGAGCGAACTTTCCTTGATTTCTGTTGGCGAATATGATCCATCCGAGTTTGATATCGCAGTCAACGTGCTAATGGGCCCTGACGGAACGGAGGTGCATCTTACTCACCAGAGCTCCAAAATCTCAAGTGGACAGGCCACCAACATCGCCAGCGTATACACGACCATCATTTCCTCGCTTTTGGAAGCCCCAAAGACACTGGTATCAGACTTGAATCTGATGAGTACTCACAGCAAAAGCCAACTGCAACAGTGGACTGCTAATATCCCATCTACGATCAATTCTTGTATGCATCATGTGATATCACAACAAGCGCGCAAGACACCACATGCCCCTGCACTTCACTCCTGGGAAGCTGACTACACCTACGCTGAACTGGACAATGTCTCAACCCGGCTGGCGCAACATTGGTCTGCTTACGGCATCAAACCAGATGAATGCATTCCGCTATGTTTTGAGAAGTCCTTATATACTGCCATTGCCTTGTTAGCTGTACTCAAAGCTGGCGGTGCTTTTGTGCTTCTTGATCCCAACCACCCACCTGACCGCCTCAAGGGGCTATTAAATGATCTAGATGCGAGATTCATTATCGCTTCCCCGAAGACTGTTGAATACTGTGGAACTTTGATTGAGACAGTGCTTGTCGTGTCACCGTCAATTCTTGATTCCTTACCAGAGGGTGGTGACACCGCAATCTCAACAACTGTCACCCCCCAAAATATCATGTATGTCCAGTTTACCTCTGGATCTACCGGCAAGCCTAAGGGTGTAATTGTCGAGCACTCTGCTGCGTGTTCCTCCGTTCATTACCACGGGACGGTGATGGGATTCGGCACCAGTTCTCGCACATTCCAGTTCTCCTCATACACATTCGACGCAGTCATTCTCGAAATTTTCACGACACTGTATCATGGCGGTTGCGTTTGCATACCTTCAGACGATGACCGAATGAGCCACATGGGGGAAGCCATACGGCAGATGAAAGCCAATATCATGTTTATGACCCCAACCCTCGCCCAGTTGTTTGAACCAGAGGATGTGCCCACTCTGAAGACTCTGATGGTTGGCGGAGAGCTTATCAGCACTAATACCACCGATATCTGGGCGAAGAAAGTGAATCTACTCGGGGGATATGGTCCAGCTGAGTGTACTGTCTTTGCAGCCTACAATCCACTGAGCGCCAACGACTTCCGGCCAGAAGTTATTGGATACCCTGTCGGCTCAGTCGCCTGGCTCGTGGACCCCTGGAATGACAACAGGTTAGTCCCAGTTGGCGCTGTGGGAGAACTCATTGTCCAAGGCCCGATCGTTGGGCGCGGCTACATTCATGACCCACAGCGCACAGAGGCAAGTTTCCTATCGAATCCCGTCTGGTTGTCGGAATACAATGGCAGCCAGCAGCACCGACTTTACAAGACGGGCGATCTTGCTCGCTACAATTCAGATGGGACACTCACCATTCTCGGACGAAAGGATACACAGTTCAAGCTCAATGGACAACGCATTGAAGTCACTGAGATTGAACACCACATCAATGCCCACTTCCCACAGGTACTGCAAGTTGCCGCTGATGCCGTAGTCCCACTCCATGTTGGTGGGCGGCCATTGCTTTCGGTCTTCATCAATCTGCAGGGTATGAGCAGCCAGGCCAAAGATGCAGCTGACATTCTCTTACCGATGACCGACAGCTGTCGCGCGACAATGTTTGAGATTGAAACCCTTTTGGCGAAGACTATGCCGCCCTACATGATTCCCCGCTTGTGGTTTCCAATTTCCCGGATGCCGTTGTCCACGTCTGGAAAGACAGAGCGCAAGGTGTTGAGAGAGTTGGGTGCTTCGCTCTCAGAGACACAAGTGGAACAGTATGCATTGGGCAGTGGAGCCAAGCGAGAGCCCTCAACTGAGATGGAACGCAAACTGAGCAAGCTCTGGAAGCGTGTACTCAATGTGTCCAAGGTCGGCCTAGAAGACAGCTTCTTCCGACTTGGGGGTGATTCCATCACAGCCATGCAACTCGCATCCACGGCTCACAAAGCAGGAATTCAACTTCCAGTGGCTGACATCTTCCAAAATCCCCACTTGATTGACATGGCCGCCATCATATCCAACTTGCAGACAACAAACCAAATGGTCGAGGTTGGTGTTGCCGAGCCGTTCAGTCTTTTGAGGCCGGGAACGAATGTCGAGCAATTCGTGAAGTCTGCTGCGGAAAAAGCCAACATCAAATCCCACTGGGTTCAGGATCTCTACCCTTGCACGCCGTTGCAAGAGGGCATGATGGCGTTGACAACCCGGGATGCTGGATCATACGGCTGGCAGGATGTCCTCGCACTTCCTCCGTCCATGGATTTAGATCGCTTCCGTTCGGCGTGGCAAACAGTAGTTGATGAGCTAGGAATAATGCGGACACGGCTGGTTCAAATGGATCATCACGGTACCTACCAGCTTGTCATTCAACCGAAGAACAGCCCTATCGCTTGGCGGTACGGCGAGTCGCTGGAAGAGTACCTCCGCCAGGACAAAAAAGAGCCGTTTGGATATGGGACACCTTTGTATCGGTTTGGCATCGTGCATCAAGAGTCCAAAACGTATTCTGTTTCCAGCGCGCACCACACCATTTTGGATCGCTGGTCAATATCTCTGATGATGGACCGCCTCTCATATCACTATTTGGCACAAAACGCACCTCCAACCCCGCCGTTCAACGCATTCATCAAATGGATGTGCTCTCTTGATCCAGAAGTTTCCGACCAGTATTGGAAGTCACGCTTCGCTGGGTTGGCTGCCGTGGATTTCCCTCGCGTTATGCCAGGCCATCGTGCGCGAGCAACAGCAGTGGCAAAGCACTCTGTCCCTACGTCGTCTATAAAGACTTCAGCCAACATCACCATTTCGACACTTCTCAGAGCAGCATGGGCAGTCACCATTAGTCAACACACCGGCTCAGAAGATGTGGTGTTCGGGATGACGCAGACCGGTCGCAATGCTTCCGTGATAGGCATCACGGATATTGTGGCACCGCTTATCACGGTCGTACCTTTCAAAGCTGTGGTTGGCAAGCAGGTGTCGGTCGCCGAGTTTCTGCAGGGAATCCACCAAGACACAGTTTCTATGATTCCCCATGAGCATGCGGGTCTCCAACATATTGCCCAGCTCAATCAGGACTGTCAGGCGGCCTGTAAGTTTCAGAATCTGCTCGTGATCCAGTCCCAACAGCACCAGCAGAAGGCAAAGCTCCCCCTGGGCCTTGAGCGCCTGGACGTGGTTGAGAATGATGTTTTGGCTTATGGAATTGTCTTGGTGTGCGACCTCACTGAGAGTGCAGTTACCATCCAAGCTGCGTTTGACCCAGAGGTGATCTCGTCAACCAAGGTGCACACCCTGTTGGCGCAGTGCGGTCACTTCTTCCAGCAGCTCAACAATTCTCAGTCCGCTCCCTTGCTTCTTAAAGATCTCTCGCTCGTTGGGGAGCATGATATGCAGCAGCTGATGGTCTGGAATCGACCACTTAGCGCTGAGCGGGTCGACAAATGTGCACATGAGTTAATCCAAGCGCGTGTAACGGGCCAGCCTGGGTTATTGGCCGTTGACGCTGCAGAAGGCCAATTCACGTATGCTGAACTGGACGATATTTCCACTAGACTCGCTCACCACCTTCGAGATTCTCGTGGAGTCGGTCCCGAAACAATCATTCCTCTTTTCTTCCATAAGTCAGCTTGGGCTGTGGTTTCCATTCTCGCCGTGATGAAGTCTGGTGCCGCTTTTGTCTTCCTAGATCCCGCTCATCCGGTCGATCGGTTGATGTTTATCGCACAGCAAGTCAAGGCGACGTCCATTATCACGACTCCAGAATTCTCACCCATATGGGAGTCGACTGCCCTGAAGCCGCTGGTGCTCACAAAGAGTTTTCTGGACGGACTTCCTATTCGAAAGCAGCTACCTGTGACCGGTGTGAGGCCACACAATGTCCTTTATGTGATATTTACCTCTGGTAGTACTGGAACACCCAAAGGCTGTGTGGTCGAACATGCATCTTTCCTGAGCGGTGCTGTCCAGCACGCTCGACGAAGCAAGTTAACTATTGGCACTCGGATCCTCCAGATGGCACCATATACCTTTGATGTCAGTATTCTGGAGACACTGACGGGGTTATTGTCCGGTGCTTGTCTCTGCCTACCTAGGCCAGAACATCAGAATGCTCCTGTTTCCCAGATCATTCAGGAGTTGAAAATCACATGGAGTTTCTTGACACCTTCCGTCGCCCGAACAATCAAACCCAAAGACTGCCCTAGTCTTGAAACTCTCGTTCTCGGTGGAGAGTCACTATCGCGCGTGGACATAGAGACTTGGGCGGACCAGGTCCATTTATGCAATGGCTACGGCCCCAGTGAATGCTCAGTTGCTGCTACAGCCAACACATGTATCACTGTGGAGACTGATCCGGCCAACATCGGCAGCACGATGTGCTGCAACGCCTGGGTGGTCGACTCAGAGGACCCGAACGTTCTGTTGCCGATAGGTGCAATTGGAGAGCTCCTCATTCAAGGTCCAATTGTCGCTCGAGGATACCTAAATGAGCCGGAGAAAACCAAGGCCGTCTTCATTGACACGCCTGCCTGGCTGGATCGTTTGGATTCACCCATGATGGTGGAGGATCGTCTGTATCTGACAGGAGACTTGGTTCGATATAATGATGATGGCACTGTGCATTTCGTCGGTCGCAAAGATACCCAGGTCAAGCTCCGTGGGCAGCGAATTGAGCTAGGCGACATTGAACATCACACCTCTTCTCATCCGTCAGTCAGACATGCCGCGGTTGAACTTCCGAAGGCCGGCAGATATCGGGACAGCTTAGTGGCTGTGTTATCATTACGCGACATAGCCCTACACTCGTCTGATGTGCCGACCGATAAGGAAGAGCTTGCGCCAGTCTTTGGCGATCAACTTGATGCAGTCCGCAAGTCCATCTCAGATATACGGACATATCTGGAGCAACGGCTGCCTCCGTATATGGTACCGAGCTCTTTCTTTGTGCTCAAGAATATTCCGCTCTTGGGATCAGGCAAAATCAATCGTCCCAAGATAAAGGCCTGGCTAGGTACCATGAGCACCGACGTTCAGGAGCAGGTCGCTGCCCAAGCGTCCTTGTCGGCAACTCATACCGCACCTTTGATTGCTCACGATCAGATGACTGCTCTCGCTATCAGCGATCGGATTACGCAGCTTCTCGCAAAAGACGACGAGGAATATGGGATGACCATTCGCAACCGAGACATCGCCCTGGCACCTGCAGGCTTGAACTCCATTTCCGCCGTCTCTCTTGCGGCGTATATCAAGAACGAATTCAGCGTTCAGCTTTCGATCGATGGCTTGTTAGAGGCATCGATGACCGTCTGTGGTGTCGCACGCATGATTGATAATTCCAGGTGCGACCCTGCCGCGACCAATACGTCGTCTTCGTTAAATTTGTCTTCGAAGATTGAAAAGGCAATTGCAGACTTTTATGAAAAGGCCGCGTGCGGACCACTGCAAATTCCTCAGTCAGCCAGGTCACAACACCCTGAGACGATCTTGTTGACCGGTGCGACTGGGTTCCTCGGGAGTCAGATACTCAGACAACTGTTAGAGTTATCGCAAATCAAACGCGTAATTACCCTGGTACGTGCTCCTGACCACGACCAAGCCAGATCCAGGGTGATTGAATCGGCTCGGAAGAGCAAATGGTGGCACGATACCTATTCCGATCGTCTTGAGATCTGGGTGGGCGACTTGTCACAATCGGACCTAGGATTAGATGCTGCTCGATGGCAATGCATTGAGGCTCGGTCACAGTCGTCTTCTCCGATCGACGCGATTATTCACAATGGAGCAATCGTCCACTGGGGCTTCGACTATCAAGGGCTTGAGGCTGTCAACGTCACTAGCACAATATCTCTCCTGGCTTCTCTCACCCGGTCGCCGAGACCACCGCGTTTCACGTTCATCTCGGGCGGTCAGGTATTTTTCGGAGACGATAAAAACCGCGATGAAGTCGAGGCGTTCGCTCGGATGATGAGGACCGCCGGTGGATATGCGCAAACCAAGTACGTAGCCGAACAGCTAGTCAAGGAGTTCGCCCAGAGATACACCACACCGATTGCGACAATTGTGAAGCCAGGGTTGATCGTCGGAACCGTCGATTCTGGAGTGTCAAATACGGATGACTTTTTGTGGCGCGTTGTGGCTAGCGTGATTGAGATTGGGGCATTCAACAACACAGGATTGGACGGCCTCATCCTCGTTTCCGGTGCCCACCAGGTTGCTTCCGCCATTCTAAGGGATGTTCTCAACCCTCATCCCCAGGGCCATACTGTGGAAACTACCATTCGGTGTGGTGTCCACGTCGGGGAGCTATGGGAGATGTTGCGCGATGAATTCGGTTACCAACTGGAACCCATCGACGCCGCGGAATGGTTGGGCCGGTTAAGAGCACAATTGAAAGCGCGTGGTGAGAAGCATCGTTTGTGGCCAGTTTTCCATTTGCTGGAAGCCACTGGCGGGCGCTTGGGTGTCCCTATGCCGGCCCATCTGCGGCAGGACGAGCATAAGGATGAGGTCCGAGCTTCTCTCCGGAAAAGCATTTCCTATTTGAGGAAAATCGGGTACTTATCAGGAGCCAAGACTGTCAATGGAGGGTCTTCCTTGCCAAAGGAACCTGTCTTTGCACGCTCAGGTGGCAGAGTCCGGATATGATCTTATATTTGTATACCTTTTCAAGGGCACCGATTACATATTGCCGGATGCCTCCAGATGGTAACTATGCCCATGTGCACTCTCATATAATATGTGTGGAAGATTCTCTGTTTCTTTGGCAGAGTCCCTCTTGATGCCTACGGAACTCGATCACCGTTCAGAATACCACTCTTCTTGTCATATTCGTTGTCTTCTGCACCCTGTATGATGTAGCCAGCATGTTTTGCGCGCGCTGAAACTTCATACGTTCACTAAAACATGGGAGACACTTGCAAAATATATCTCCAGGACGGTTATGTATTCGATACTGGAGATTCGGATGAATACTCTCTACACTCCATGTAGATATAAACCAGATTCCAATGTTGATACTGCTAATCTCAGACGTAGTCGACAAGTCTTGCTTATTAGATAAAGCTCTGATGCAGTACAGAATAACCACATTGAGAATAGTAGCCAGGTGAACTGCCTGTTAGAGACTAGCGCGTCCATAAGATCACGTGATTGACTCGTTTTTGTCTTGACAACATTCCAGATTAGGCTTAGTGAAAGTTGGCAGCTCCCTCTCTCCAGGGCTTACTCTTGACCATCCTTCAGCCTGCTTCATCCACAAATCATTCACCTTGAACTGCATCTAACCTATCACTTATCGAGTAAAATCTATCAGTTTCCCGAAAAACTGCATTATGAGGGAGATAACATGTGAGTATATAAAAATATCGATTAGGCAAGACATGCGCAGACATAAGAGGTGGGTAGGAAATAACAAGCGCAAGTAATAGCATCGAAAAAAGCAATACTAAAATCATAACGAAAAACGAGCGGACGCGTTGAGGTATGTTTCATTCTCTTTAGAGGCCGGGAATGGGGGCGCTGTTTTGGCTCGGAATAATGAATTAGAGCTCATCCCCTCGTAGAAATATGAATCGGTGCTCCGCTGACGCGCCATGCGACGAACCAGATACGCCTCATATTCATCTCGCGTCAAAGTGGCAAAGACATGCCGGGGATGCACGCAGATGGCCTGCGCGCCTTTCTGCCCGAAGCCAAATGAGGTGATCGACACAGCTTTGAGATCGGGCACGTGCACTGGCCGATTCAGATAGGCAATCAGGTCAAATTGCTGCAGAGCCGAGTCAATGTTATCGGCATTCCGATTGCCTGGCACCAAGCCGGAATCCAGCATCTGCAACGCCCCGTTAACCATCCACGCACCGGCAGCACCCTTGGAATGACCAGTCAGGTATTTCTGGAAGACACTCAGGAGCAGATTGCCCTTGCGCCGACCCAGTGCTGTCAGCTGCTGTTGGAGGACGCTGGATTCATTTTTATCATTCATCACGGTTGACGTGCCATGGAAGGAAGCCACCTGCAGGTCGTCGATGGTCAGGCACCAGGTCGCGAGAGCCCCAGTTAGTGGCGCGATAGATGGATCATGACGCCAGAAGTCATTACCTAGCGAATACTGAGCATCTCGCTCTTCTTGGAGGAAGTCTACTAGAATCTGCTCGTGGCGTTCTTGGCGATACTTGGCCACATCAACACCTGGGTCTTGTTCTAAGACGACATCCACTTCGAAATCTAGCTGACTGAAGGCAACTGCGCGGGCCTCGGCGATCTGCCTAAGTCGGAAGTCGAGGCGACGTCGGCGATTGCTCATCTTCAGCAAAGGAGAAGGAATGTTTGACGCCGACGTTGTGCGTCTCGCGTTGACTAGAACACCCTGTCCAGGGGCTGGGACAGAGCGGCCAGCCTTATCACTTGAGGTGCTCACAAAAGCAACAATGCCGCGGATCGGGAGCCCCATCTTCAGCGCCAAGTCGGCGGTAGTCAAGACCTGCAAACCGCAGCCTTGTGATTCCATAAAACCATTACGCGTACTGGTGGTTGGCCGTGACATTTCGCTAGGCGCTCTCCCTCGCGCTGTCTCGTCGAGGGAATTGGTGGTCGCCTTCATGCTAGCAAACTCATATGAGGTCTCTGATGTGAAGTCATCGCACCCTCCCACTAGGCAGAATTTGGCTTTCCCAGCCACGATAGTGTCGAAGCCCAGTTCTAGGGACTCCACAGCGGTCGCACAGGCTCCAACAGGGGTTCGGATGGGCCCACTAGCCGATAGCAAGAGCATATTGACCCAGGCACTGATAGTATTCACAAACGTCTCTTGTAGGATGTCACTTTGGACTTCCTGCCCGGTCAATCGGCCGCTAAACATCTTGCCCAGAGAGGTACTACCTCCCATGCCAGAGCCAATGCAATTGCCCACCTCGGAGACGTGAATGTACTGATAGAGCTCATACGGATCAGTGATGCCGGACGATAGCAACGCCTCTACAGTACACACTAGCGTGAACAATGTTAACCGATCTACGTCGGAGATGACTTGCTCGGGAAGGCCGTAGATACGGGGATCCCAGCCGGTGGGGACTAGGCCGGCCACGGTACGGTCGAATTGCATAGCACGGGGAACGAATAGCCGGGCTCCCTTGCGCAGCTGCACTTGGTATAGGTCTGGAGTTGACGACTTTTGCAACGTTACAAATTCGCCATGCTCTCGACGCATCTGCTCGGCCAGCGATTCGGGCACGCAGAGGGGAGCAAGATCCGCCTGCAGAACGATCTCATGGAGAAACTGCTTTTTGTTGGGGTCGTAGCCGTCACAAAGCTCAGGCTCAATAAAGCGAATGCCTGAATGAGCTAGGATCCTCTCCTCGTATATTGGCTTGATCTCCGTGTCGGCCACTGGCTGTTTGGTTTTGGTGTCGACCCAGCCGGAGTACGGCCGGCCTTCAATAGTACCGGAGAAATGACGGATGAAACCCATCATCCACGCCATTTCAACAGCGCCCTCTAGGGAAAAATGCCCCTGGGATTCCATTTCCCATCGTGTGCGGGCATTGCCATGCGGTCCTAGTTCTGAAAAGCCCGTGACCACGACTGTTCGCTGCAAGTCCACCATCCCCTGCATGTCCGCGCTGAGAGGTGCGATGTCGCGCTCATACTGTAGGACCTGAGGGAAGTCCTGCCGGACGTGGGCTCTCTGTTCTAGCTCGGGCACAGGTACTGCTTGCCCTGTTGTGTTCGACCACTCGGCCTCGATTGTCTGCTCCTGGAATAGGGCGGATTGGATTTCGCTGCGCTCCTTGAGCTCGCGGCGCAGCTGGCCTAGCGATTCTGGCAGGTTAGGGACTTGGGCCATACCGCCGGTCAGGTCGGCATAGACCGGAGCCTCCTGGCAGAGGTCGTACATTGCGCCGACACATAGGCAAACCAATGCATATGCCATCTCCTCCTGAGAAAAGGTGCGTATACCGGCGTTTTCGATCCCCTCGGCCACGAGATCATTCTGATTCATCAGTCCCGTACCACGGGTCCAACCGATGACGGCGCCGCAGATGGAGAGGTAGTCCTGCCAGTTCTCTGAATGCCAGCGATTGAAGAGCGTTTCCAGGGCCAGCTTCGATTCACTATAGAGACCATCCCCGCCAAATGTGCCGTGATTTGGGGACAGCGGTAACACAACCTGAGTGGGATGCGACCGATGGCCATGGTTCTCTTTACATGTCTTCACGGTCCCCAGCAATCGCAACAGGTTGGTCAGCATAATGCGATGCGCAAGCTCCGATTTGGAGTCGATCGCGTCTAGGGTTCGTCCGGCCTCGCTGATAGCCGCGAAGGGGATGAGGTAGTCCAAGTCCCATCCGAGCCCGTTTTTCTCATCATACACGTATTCCACTAGGGCGGCAATGTCCTTGGTACTGCCCTGGTTGAAGGGTACGACCACCAACTCTGAGCCTCGGGCTCCGTGCTCCATATACAAGGTTTGATACTTGCGCGCTACCTCCGGAGACATGGATGAGGTCGTCACAAGCACTCGTGCTCCTCCTTGGAGGAAATGCACAACCATGGCAGCTCCGATGGACCCGATTCCAGCGCCTGTGATCAACACCGTTTGGCTACTCAGCGAATCACCTTGCGTTTCCACTTCATGGAAAACCTGGTAAAGATGACGGGTGAGCTCCTCTGAATACTCCCATCCTGACGCTGATCGCTTTTTCAGATGGAGGTACGGTTCGGTTGTGACTAGGGGGTTTTTGGCCGGTCCCGATCTTGGCATGGCAAGGTCGGCAAAGCGTGATGAGTCTTTCCGGGGTTGTTCCTGAAACCGCATGTTCCCTTGGTCGTCGATGATTGTAACTGGCGCCAGTTGCCGGGGAGCACATTTGAATGCCGGCCCCGACAGCAAGCTATCCGTGCAATTGTCTCTCAGTGTGAGAAAGATCGGTCGCAACTGGGTGCGATCTTGTAATTGGGAAATCATCTCATCCATCACCGGCAAGATGGTCTTGTCCGCTGCGTTGGCGATGTGATAGCAGCTCTTCACTACCGAATCCCGATCTAGCATGCTGGGGTCTGTGACGGTTGATGTAAGATCGAACAGCTCCAGCAGACTTTGGCGTGCCCAATTCCACGATGAATCATAGCTCCGGATCTTTTTGACATCAAAGCGTGGTCGAATACCCTGGGCGTAGTCTGAGCCATGCTCTGCCTGCCAGAGATCAAGGTCGGCTTGGAGTCCAGTGGCCAGCTCGTTGCGCAGGCTGTCCAACGCCTGTCGGTCCGCCTTCAGATCCACCCCCAAATGGGCGGCGTAGATTTCAAGCAAGCGCTTCGATAAGGCATCTTGGGACTCAGTCAGGGCCCGGACCGCTTCCGGATCCACCGTGACTCCAGTGGTCGCGCCACCAGCATTCGATGCGTCGGGTGGGAGAAGGGTGAGCCCTTCACGTTTCGCATATACCTCGACGGCGTGCGAAATAAAGTCACGGGCATCTGCTTCAGTTGTGATCCGGCTGGTGGGTTGCATGGTGACAGCGCAGAGTAAGCAGGCGTCTTGTCGACCCGATTGAAGTCCCCAGTGGGCGCGCAGCTGCTCTCGAGCAGTGGCGACGGTGAAGCTACTGGGCATTTTGGTGGTAAATAAGGTATTGATCATGGCAGTGGTGACTTTGCCCAGGGTGCCTTCATGGCTCGACTGGATCTCTGGCCCAACCTGGGCGAGTGCTAAGTCTTCAGCACGGTCCGGCAACGAGCCAAATTCGCTATGTAGGTCGCCGATGATTTCATTTTCTAAGGTTGACCTGCCTGTAGAATGGTGCTCGATTGATTAGCACGCATGATCTGTACACTGGAATGCTGAGCTATGTACCTTCTGCCAGGGCCTTGATAGACTTGCTCCCGTCAATTTCAGCTGCCGCTCGCTTCAGCGCTCTGGCAACAATGGCGAACACAACATCCTGCGCCTGGATGCTTTGATCCTCGATGTTGGTGACTTGAACGTTGACCTTTGGGGAGGGTAGGGCTGTTGTTGTTACCTCCACAGTTACTGTGGGGCTTGGTAGCACTGCCTCTGTGGTTGGTGGTGATATCTGTGTTTCTGCGTGCGTCTGTGTCTGGACTGTATTGAGCTGATCTGGTTTCGCGGTGTAGTATATCTCGTCTGTGTCTTTTTCGGAGTGGAGGAGCTGGCGTGGAGCTGGTAAAGTGCATTCTTTGGTTGGATAGATGGTGTCGATGGTTTTGCGAAGCATTCCCAGCAAGGTTGCGCTGGGACCGACCTCAATAATGCGCTCGCTTTCCGTCCGAGACAGAATGATCTCTTGTGTTTCGATCCATCGCACAGGGGAGGCGAACTGGTACCTAATGGGTGGTTTATCGGTTAGTAAACGATCTTGTCTTGTTCTGGGAATATGATATTCACTCACACCATCAACTCCATCAGCAGCGCCCGAGCGAGCTTCCGCTCTGTATCACTGTTTATCGTCATTGTGTTTTGCGATTTTCTCTTGAAGTTGGCCTGCCCGAGATCACCGTGAAGGGAGTCTGTCAGCGTAGGTCGTCGGGAGAGCCTCTTCCTTTTCCTGGCTGTAGGCTATCTATCAGCTTTACATGTGGATATTGGCCAAGCTACTGTTCAGGACTAGATCTTACATGGTCGTGCGTGTAGGCATTCCATCTATATTGGACACCTGCGTGTGTAATTATGCGTATCAATGTGTTGGTAAGTAAGGTGTAATTTACGCCTGTATGCTCCTCCATTCGTTACACTTTTATATAATACGGGGTGTTTTTTATAGTCTGTATCTTTTAAATTACAAGCGGTTCTCCGTATGTACGAGTATATATTCAGACTTGGGGAGGTCAGCCCTAAGACCAAACAATAACTTTTAATATATAGCATAACCCCTTTATTATCCAATGAATCAAGCACAAGGTGTAGCCAAGGATACTACCAAAACAGGTAAAATTGACCACGGAGGAAATTTGATGCGAAGATGGACGTTTCTGTTAATTTCTTTTCGCTTATGCACGGATGGGGTGGTGATGGGGCCACAGGTGGATTCGCTAATTTCCAGCTGTGAGAGATTGATCAATCGGAAGTAGGCCCTAGAGGCTATACTGTCTTGGCTACGTCGGACTCCGACAGTTTGGGACTGTTCACCCGATTCATGAAAATAGAAATAAATGAATAAATAAGACAATATCTGACTAGCGGGCTCCCCAGGTCCGTTCCCCTGATCTTACTAATCTGACTCTGCCGTCACAGGCCAGAGCCAGTCCCCGTCATTACTAGCTATACCCTTCTGCGCCTCCAACAATGCCTTCGAGAGACGCTGGCAAGCCTCACCAGGACCATCAACCGCATAAGTGAAAACATCCTCTGTAGACCGTCGGGTGATCGACCGGATCGGGACGACCATCGCCGCCGTTCCCGCTGCGAGGATTTCTGTAAAGTGGGGCAGCTCCAAATACGGGATCTATTGAGAGGAGATGATTAGCGAGAACGCCAAACAGCACAGAGGGTAGGTAAAACATACCGGTCGCAATTCGACAGTCCATCCAAAGGACCGTGCCAATTCAACACAAGACGTGCTGGTGACACTCCTCAGAATTGACGGACTACTGGGTACCACCAATGTGAATGAGTCCCCAGTCTTCTTCAATCCCAAGAACCCAGAGGTACTGAACTCGTCAATCTGCGACTGTGTTCGACTGTCGAGATGCAAAGTGATATGGAATCCCTCAGCGCGGGCCTGATCACTCCACTTCAGCACGGGAGCATAGTTGCCCCCGACCTTGACATGCCCCACGCCCCGGGGAGCAGCACGGTCCAATTCTTCCAACACTAGCGCTGGCAGGGGCTGAACGCCATGATATGCCTTGTAGGGCTGCACATACACGCAGAACCGGTAGCCAGTGCCGGCAGAGACGGCGAAGAAGGCTTCCGAACCAAACACCAGAGGTCGGATGTACAACGCAGCCTCGGAGTCATGGGGAGGGACATACTCGGCATTACGGACCACTGCCAGGTTGATGCTGGCTAGGAAGACCCTCTCTGGGATAGGGGGAATGGCAATAGTGGAGCAAGAAAGGGCGAGACGAGCTGCGTGGTCCCTGGGTCGAAAGATTTGGATCTGGCCGTGAGGGTCACGGTAAGCTGGGGAGAGAAAGCATCAGTCGAGTGTATGTAAGAGGAAAAGAGTAGTAAAATCGAACCTTTCATGCCCTCAAAGGCTTGCTGACCTGGAATGGGGTGTTAGAAAGCAGAAAAATGGTCATAGGACTCTTGGAGAAAGGACATGCCATAGTTCAGTCCAGGAGACAGGCCATGAATGCGGAGCAAAGGATCCTCCACGAAATGAGGAGCAGACCACTCCCCAGTTGCAATTGAGAATTCTGACTCAATATGGCCATTCACTAGAACCCAGCATCAGTCAGACGTCCGGTGAGAGAGAGACATCTCAGTATATGACAAACCTTCCATAGGAGAAACGCCCAGTTTGTCCCATTCTGCAACACAACAAGAGAGAAATTAATACGTTCATCATGCAAGACCGGGGTTAGCACAAGGAAAAGCGTACCTATGGAAGCGAGAGGGGGAGGAGGGAAAGCAGCCATTGGAAGAATATACTCGTCGAGGAGAATGGAAATGGAGAGTATCGGAAGGATGAGAAAGACGCAGAAGGACTTTGTGTATATCTGTTCGCATTTACTCCTCGTTTCTATTTTGGAATCGGTTAGAAACTCTACGTATATTCACTTGCAAGGCGATATATCGGATATAGAAGTCAAGTGGAGAGGTGGGCCGGCACTGCGTTCATGAACGGCCCTCTCAATGATACGATTTACCCCTTTAGCCAGCGTTACATCGAACGGCATTGGCATAGGGACTGGGAGAAGGATCATGGATTCGTGGTGGGGTCTCTTGCTCCATTGACTGCGAGTAGATGGCGTCCACCTGTACAGAATCGGCAGAGATTTCGTCGATAATGGTCGGCTCAGAATGGCTAAGACTAATCTCACCACTTCCAAGGTTCGGGATTTGCATTCGAGGCTGAAAAGCCATGAATAACCACCCGCCGAGCTGAGTTTCTGCTAGCCAGTTCTACTAGTAACTTTGTATGTACGGCATACGAAACGCGAAGTAATCATATATAGAGACGTACTAGTACTTATGTATTGTTACACTGCTTTTATTTTATTTTTCATTTGATACCAAACCCTCTTATATTACTTACCAAACATACCGGATTATTACCATGTTTACAAGTACGGAACACACACATGACGTACAGGACATACAGTATAGTATGCCTTGCGACAGGAAGAGCAGCATTAGACAACAGAGACATTTGGGGTCGGAAAAAAAATCAATCCAGTATTTCCTGCCATGTGCAAACGTGCATGGTGAGCGAAATAAGCTGAGAGAGCTAGGGATCCATGCACGGTGAGACATATCCATGTCCATCTCCATCCTGTCCTGCTGCGTAGCAAGTTGCACACCAGCAGGTACTCAATCTGCCGTCAATAACACTGCTCTGGGTCATTTTCGATCGCGAACTTCTTAGCTCCGTTTATACCCAATGGATGTATCACAGATTCAATCCATGCAGTGCCCATGGCCTGCATCAGCCTCGGTCTCGCAAGCATCAACTCCCCCTACTCCATGGGAAGAACTTGAGTCTTGCTCACCAGAGGCCGAGATAGTCCTCCAGGTGGGTATAATCCACTGCACTGTCAGGGTGCCTCGGGGAATGGATCGCAGGGGGCGGGAGCTTATAGAGCAGTTCGTTCCAACGGTGTCCACGTTGGAGCCCTCCTCTGCCCTGGAACTGTGCTGCCTGTTCATGCAATATATGATGCATGAGACCATGCAAGACGGAGGCGGAGATCTAGACATGGCAATTCTCCACCATGTGTTGAACACGATCCATGTCGATCTCCTGCAAAATGAAAATATCCACACGGTCCTGTCGGTAATCAGCCAGGACAAGAGCCGACATCAATCTATCCTGCAAGCTTATTTCGAAGCATGCAAGATAACCAGATCGCCGGGATCTGTGGGGACTAGTAGCCTCCTGTCCGACGTCGACAAAGGCAATGCGCGGATCTTTGCCCTGTTCAATGGACAAGGCGTGGAGTCATATTTCGACGAGCTCTTGGCGGCCTACGACATCTACCATCCCCAGATATCTTCCATCATTGGCGTTGTGTCTGAATCTCTCTCGCACCTCGCACACGATAATCGATTTGAAGCGCTGTTGCCACACGGACTCGATGTAGATCAATGGCTGCGCATACCAGAGTCTCGCCCAGATGTTCCCTACCTCACCAGTGCTCCCGTGAGCTTCCCGCTCGTCGGTCTCTCACAACTTGTGCAGTATACCATCGCATGCATCAACCTAGGTCTCTCCCCCGGAGAGCTGCGCCATGCATTCGCTGGCGCAATTGGTCACTCCCAGGGCATCGTGGTAGCCTCCTTCGTCGCCGCCGCCGATTCCTGGGATTCTCTCCGCAATGCAGCTCAACAGGCAGTTGAATTGTTGTTCTGGATCGGTTGTCGATGCCAGCAGCAGTTGCAAGACGTTCGTCCAGAATCCATTCCATCTAGTTGCATGCTTAGTGTCAAAGGCCTGTCCCAAGCTGACCTTCAGCGATATTTGGACGAACTCAACCTCCACCTACCAGCCGAAGAGGCAGTGTACCTAGCCTTGGTAAACGGGCCAGAGCAGCTCGTCGTCGCCGGATTGCCGCTTTCGCTGCGTGCACTGGACCAGAAGATCATCCAAGGGCAGATACAAACCCAGTCTACGAAGACTTCCACAGGGCGTATACCTTTCAGCCAACGCCGTCCTGTCATCCACACTCGATTCCTGGCCATTACGGCGCCGTTCCATTCGCCCTATCTCCAAGATGCGGAGGCTCACCTCCTCAGGGACCTCTCTGACGTTTCCCTTGCTGATGTCTCCCTCTCCGGCTCGCAGTTGGCGTTCCCCGTGTTTCACACTGAAACTGCCCAAAATCTGCAAGAAAGTGGGGATGTGGTCCCCCACTTAATAAACATGATCTGTACTAGGCGTGTACAGTTTGAAAAGGTCGTGAGCACCACCTTGACCGGAGTGACGCATGTCCTCGATTTCGGTCCTGGTGGAGAGGTTGGCATCGGAAGCCTAGTCAACCATCAACGAGAGGGCACAGGGCTACGCACATTGGTCCTCAGCACCACTCGGGGGGCCACCGGTAGTCAGAACTCCACGCTAGGGGCTGAAAGTGAGCTGTATAACCACAACGGGCCGGTCATCCGAAACCCTGCCTGGGACGATGAGTTCACACCGCGCCTCATGAAGTCCCCCTGCGAGTCTCGACACCTGGTCGACACCAAGTTCAGCCGGCTATTAGGCGTTCCCCCATTGATGGTTGCTGGTATGACCCCGACCACCACCGCATCAGAATTCGTAACTGCAACCATGAACAGCGGGTATCACGTTGAGCTGGCCTGTGGAGGATTCCCGGATCGCAACAGCATGCGCCAGGGTATCCTGGCCACCGCGGCAGCAATTGCCCCAGGTCGTGGTATTACATGCAACGTCATATACGCCAATCCACGAGCTATGGCCTGGCAAATTCCCTTGCTGATCGAGTTAAGGAAGTCCGGCATCCCCATTACGGGATTAACCATCGGTGCCGGCATTCCCTCGCTGGAGATTGTTCAGGGTTACCTGACTGACTTATCACTCACGCATCTGGCTCTCAAACCAGGTTCCAAGGACGCCATCGATGGGGTTTTGGCAATTGCGCGGGCGAATCCCACATCTCCAATCATCTTACAGTGGACAGGTGGGCGGGGTGGTGGACATCATTCCTCTGAAGACTTCCATGAGCCACTTCTGGACCGATATGCACAGATCCGATCCCATCGCAACGTGATTCTGGTTGTCGGTAGTGGCTTTGGTAACGCCGAGGAAACCTACCCCTACTTGACGGGTTCCTGGTCCCTCCAGTTTGGGCGTGCACCTATGCCAGTGGATGGCATCCTGCTTGGTAGCCGTGTAATGGCGGCTAAAGAAGCTCACACCAGCGAGGATGTGAAAAAGGCCATCTGCAACACCCCGGGTGTCGGCAACGAAGACTGGGAGCAGACGTATGAGCGTCCAGCCGGTGGAATTATCAGCGTGCTATCCGAGATGGGCGAGCCGATTCATAAGCTGGCCACACGCGGTGTCATGTTATGGGCTGAGTTGGATAAATCTGTCTTCTCCTTACCCCGCGGTGAACAGAAAGCCGCTCTCCTCGCCCGAAAGACATACTACCTCAAACGCCTCAATGAGGATTTCCAAAAGGTCTGGTTCGGGCGAGATGCACATGGCGCAACAGTCGATCTGCACGAGATGACCTACGCTGAAGTTTGGGACCGCATTGTCGACTTGTTGTATCTGAAGACGTCCAAAAAGTGGATTGATCCCTCATGGAAAACCCTGTTATGGGATTACACTCACAGGTTAGAAGAGAGACTGGGGAAGAACCTGCACCCCTTCCTCCAACGCACGGACCAACTCGACCAGCCCGAGCAGTTCCGAGAGCTGCTGTTTTCCCAATATCCTCAAGCACACGTCGATGTATTGACAGCTGCCGACGTGGAATACGTCCATTTGCTTTCACGTCGTCGGGGACAGAAGCCAGTTCCGTTCCTCACGGTCCTCGATGAGGATTTCGAATACTGGTTCAAGAAAGACTCCTTGTGGCAGTCAGAGCGCTTAGAGGCCGTCGTTGGACAGGATGTCGGCCGTGTGTGCATTCTACATGGCCCAGTGGCCGCCCAGTACACCAAGACTGTTGACGAGCCAGTCCAAAGTATTTTGGACGGGATTCACAACACACATGTGGCGTGGATTCTCCGCGATCAGTATGTCGGGGATCTAGCACGGATCCCTTCGGCTGCTAGACAGCACAAGAACCACCCACATTGGCCTGTTACGGGTGTCCATCTGGCCCCGGAGCAAAATGGAAAGACAATGAAGTATATTGTTTCTGAAAACCCGGAAGACTTGCCATTACCGGAAGTCTGGCTGGGGTTACTGGCCGATACCACTGCTGCACCATGGTGCCATGCTATACTCACCGAGAAGAATATTGTTCAGAATAGAGTCGTCGTGAGCAATCCTCTATTGCGACTCTTCGCCGTGAAACCAGGTCTGGTCGCTGAAGTTTGCAATCCCCAAGCTCCAAATGAGACGGAGCTTATTCTCAAGGAGATCGAGCGGGATGGGAGAGGCAGAGAGCAGGTGCAGGCAGTAGCCTCACTCCGCTGCAGCCCTGAGGGCCAGATCACTCTGACTCTCCGAGATCGGACTGTAGTTGGTCGAGCGCCGGCTGACTTGGTCTTTCGATTCCAATTCCAGCCCCGCGAAGGGGCTCCCAGTATCCACGAGCTTATGCCCTATCGCAACCAGGGAATTAAGCAATTCTATCGCTCGATCTGGATTGGGGAGCACAACTTACCATCTACCCCTGACTTCGTATTCCGGGGTGAAGATATTGTCTTAGACAGGGAGGTTATTCGCCGATTTGCCAAGAGCGTGTCCAACCGGAACCCAGTCTATTACAACTCTCGCTCCCAGGGGTTGTTGGTGGCACCGCTGGATCTGGCCATTGCAGTAGCTTGGAAACCCATCATGAGCTGCCTGTTCCCGGATGTGGTCTCGGGGGATATACTTCGACTGCTCCATCTAAGCAACGAATTCCAGCTATGCGACGGAGTCGCCCCATTGCAGGAAGGAGATCATCTTTCGTCAGATGGCCGACTCACCGCAGTGACCATTAAGAAAGGGTCTGGTAAGGTAGTGGAAGCGGAGGGAACCATCTATCGCCAGGGCATGCCCGTGGTACGCTTGAAGAGCAAGTTCATTCTGCTTGGATCCTACACTGATTACGAATCCACCTTCGAGACCAAGGAAGATAATTGGCGTCTACCGCTAGCCACGAGAAAAGATGTCGCTCTTCTTCGATCGAGAACGTGGTTCCGTCCAGAGGAAAATATCGACCTGCTGGACCATCTCCATCACACGGTGGAGGCCCAAACTACGAGCCGTACCTGGTTTATGGACACCGACTCCACTCCCAAGCTGAAAGTTGAAGGACAGATTGTCTGGCAATCTGATTCGGGATCAGAATCGGGGGTTCTCGGGTTGATCTGTTTCTCAGGTGCTGCCCCCTCTGGCCGAAACCCCGTGACAGACTACTTGCAACGACACGGCTCCGCGAGCACCGGGGACAACTGTATCTTTGATGCTCCTCGGCCTCTTGTGCAGGACCTCACCGTCACTGTTCCTGATACCGGGAGCGAATATGCCCGAGAATCTGGTGACTGCAATCCCATCCATCTGTCCAGTCTCTTTGCTCGCTATGCGGGCCATGACACGCCGGTTACACATGGTATGTTCACCAGCGGGTATGTGCGTGGTCTAGTCGCATCCCATTTGGCATGTAGCGATGAAAGCCGTGTTCGATCGTGGTCGTGTACTTTCGACGACAAGGTTTGCGCCGGAGATCAACTGGCCATCCAGATAGACCACGTCGGAATGTCTGGAGGCAAGATGTTAGTAGCCGTCCAGGTGCACAATGTTCTCACTGGGGTCAAAGTCCTGTCCGGGCAGGCGAGCATCGCACAGCCGACAACGGCATATGTCTTTACGGGGCAAGGTAGCCAGCAGCCGGGCATGGGGATGGCCTTATATGAGACCAGTCCGGCGGCCCAGCAAATTTGGAAAGCAGCCGATGAGTTCTTTGAGAATACCTATGGTAAGAGCTTAGCCTGCACAAGGTGACTTGATGTTCGATGACTGACAAAGACCAGGGTTTTCCATCACACACATTGTTCGCAACAACCCGAAAGAGCTGACGGTGCATTTCGGCGGAGCTCGTGGTCGTGCCATTCGAAAGAACTATATGTCATTGAGTTTCGATGCGGTGGACGACGATGGTAAGACCACCTGCAAGCCCATCTTTCCCAACATCAACCGGACCACTCGCTCCCACCGTTTCCGATCAGTCGATGGTCTACTGCATGAAACGCAATTCACACAGCCAGCTCTCGCATTGATGGAAATCGCGCGATTCGAGGACATGCGGAGTCGAGGCGTAGTTGAGGACGCGAGTCTCTTCGCCGGGCATTCCCTCGGCGAGTATGTGGCCCTCACAGCCATGGGGCGCATTTTCTCGATCCAGAAGGTCGCTGGCTTGGTCTTTTACCGTGGTCTCAGCATGCAGAATGCGGTTCAACAGGACTCGGATGGGGCCACCCAGTACTCAATGTGCGCCGTCAACCCCACTCGAGTGTCGAAAGGCTTTAGCGAGGACGACCTGAGCTGGTGTGTAGCAGAGATCGCGCGACAAACTCAGGGGTTATTGGAGATTGTGAACTACAATGTCCTCACCCTGCAGTATGTGTGTGCAGGTGATGTAAGTAATTCGTTGTTGTTGTTGTTGTTGTCCCTTCACATTTCCTCATTCTGTCTGCTCTTTTACGTCTGCTAACCGTGCAATAGCTCCGGGGATTAGCAACTCTAACAGAACTGATGAATGCCCTAGCCTCCCGATCGTTAGGGGCGCTATCCAAACCCGACATGCAGAGCTTCATCAAAGACTCTCTGGCAGCACTGGACGGTCGCACAGGGCCAGTAGTTCTCAATCGGGGTCGAGCTACTATCCCCCTTAAGGTGAACGTGCCATTCCACAGCAGTCTACTTCGACCTGGTGTTCAGTCCTTCCGACAGTTCTTAAGTCGCAATTTGGCCGAGTCTTCCATCCAGCCCGAACAACTGGTTGGTAAATACATTCCCAACCTCAATGCGAAGCCGTTCGAACTTTCTAGGGCCTACGTGGAAAGTGTGCTGGCGCTGACTGAGAGCCCGGTCTTGGAGCATCTCCTCTGCAATGTAAGCTTCTGTTCTCTGTGGTCCAGACGAGGCTGTTACTTACGAAATCTGCTCCTAGTGGGAATCCATCGAGAACGGGGGATATGACGAACGAGATCTGTTTCCTTGGTAGGGATGCGCTTCTGCTGTCCTGTTCCTCTTGTACAATGCACCCATTATGTAAATTGAATAGAATATCATACCTAATGATTCCTGTCTACGTTCTTAATTGGGTCCTTTTTCTCTGTTGAGAAACCCATCATTTGCCAGGAATAAAATGTAGTAGTCACTCTCACAGCATACGATTGACCTTCGTTCATTGTCCTGTGCAAATGTCCTTGAGATATCCCAGGATATATTTCCATAGTTAGCTAGGAAATGTTCAGGATCATCATATACATTCAAAATGCATTTCTGTGTTCTTTTTCCATAATTACTATGCCAAACAAGACTCTTGATAACTATGTCTATCACCATATAGATGTAGAATAGAATACAACCATCGTTTTTCAGCCACGTACATGCAGCAAATTCACGCCCACGAGTATACATTTGATATCGAAGCTGACATTGCACTATATCCACGTCTCACTACGACTGACCCTCCTAAACCGGGTGAAAAGTCTACCCGTCTGACAGGTGTCTTCTCCTGGGCCATTTTCGCCCCCAAGTCTCAAGATGCTACATATAGTAACCAAAAAGGAGGAACAGGCAGGTGGCGAGATTCACTGAGACCTGCAATCCTCCTTGACGCTTTCTACCCAGATCTTACATCCATACAGTGGGCTGTAGGGGCTGTAACTGAGACATCGGCAATGTAGGATCAAACAAGTTTGCTAGTGGGTGGAGATGGGCGGATTACCAGAGAAATTGCCTAACTCTGATGAGATTGACTAATTTTACTCAGAGGTTGTAAATACTAGCTTTGACATGATCGAAATAGTGCGATTAGGCCTCGAGCGCCGCGCCTTGAGGAGACGCCATCAACTATTCTAGATGGCCCAGCCTTTCGGGAGAAAATTTGCCTTCCAATCGGCTCTTTAAGCTGACAATACTGCCTCGTATAGCCTCGTTCAAGGTGACATCGGGCTGAGGCGATGCTAACGTTCTACGCCATGGCGACAGGGGTTGATTTGATTAGTGCGGCATATTCCACATGGCATGCACATGGCCTGGCGTGATCTTATTCTAGAAAGTAGATAGCATGCTTGCTGACACGGCCTGAGATGAATAGTGGTCCTAAAATATGCAGCTAAGTTGAAAGCTGGTAAGACAGTACTCATTTTGATAACGAATTTGGCACGGAAGCGGCGCGGCCAAGCACTATTAGCCCCCAGACTGAAATTGTGGCTGCTTAGTGCTGATTTTATATATCCGTGCGCACTTCAATTGGATCGGTCGCATAGTTAATATCCATCTGCAGCTGGAGTTAAATGTGTTGTCTCACATTGAGAGCTGCACATGTGGCATTGTCTGCCTCGTAGGCCCCGGTCCCGCACTAGATGTATGTAACGTAATATATTAAGTTACGTACGAAGTATGGATGTAAATACAGGATCTTAAATAACCGAACATAATGACATGTGTATTTTAGCCGTGTCGTATTGTATACCGCCATTTACATTACCAAGTCGTAATGTAATGTGCCGGTGCATTAATATGGTGTATCGGAGCATTTCCATACCATACTTACATTGTTTCAAAACCGACACTACACCAGTGACAAGTGATACCATGAGATACAACATATGGATGCGTTCTTCCTTTACTCCATCCCTGGGAACCGACGGTCAGACCATTGCACGTGGGGAAAGGAGAACGTAGTAGAACGCACCTCAAACTGACCTGCATGATGTGTGCATGGACTAAGTAGAAGCCCCAGGGCATCCGTCTTTCCTGTTTATTTTCCCTTGAGTCTTTGACGAGCAAGGAGACTACTCCCTCAATAGTGCTTCAGTACACCTCCTCACAATGTCAGTCCCCCAATGGATAGTCCCTCTCGCCGTCCGAGGATTGCTCTTGGGATTGGTGGGCTTGCTAGTTCATGTACGGAGCCCTCAAGTTCATACCTATGCAGTCTTAGCTGGGCGCTTGCTAATTTGTATTATAGGTCGCGGTGCTATTGACCTATCGAATCTTCTTTCATCCTCTCGCAAAGTACCCAGGGCCATGGCTGGCAAAGATCACCAATCTTTATGGTGGTTATCATTCCTGGCGAGGTGATCTCCACGTGGATATGTGGAGATGCCATGAGAAATACGGTGATTTTGTGCGATACGGCCCAAATAGTATGTTGTCCAACACGGCCAAGGGACTCCAAGGTATGTCTTTGTCATTTGAAAGACCGTGAGAGTCATTTGCTAATGAATGAGTATTGTGTAGATATCTATAGCCATGGCAAGAACTTCCAAAAGTCCCAGAAATACGCTGCGATGGTTCATCGGGCGCCAAACACATTGACAGTCATTGATAAGAAAAAGCATGGCAAAAAAAGAAGAGTGATCAGTCAGGCCTTCTCGGATAGCACTCTCAAGTCGTATGAGGGGGTGATCCTTGAGCAGGTTCAGCATCTGTGCACCGCTTTGCGGGAGGGTAGTGATGGCAAACCAGTTCCAGTTGGTTCCTGGTCACCCCCGAAGGATGTCGCGCATCTCAGTATGCCTCCTTGTCCTGGTTTGACTTTTGCTTCGGCTTAATGACTAACCAGAATCTTGTAGGCGATTACTTCACTTTTGATGTGATGAGCAACGTTATCTTTGGAGTGCCATGGTCCACTCAGCGTGATCCGAAATATCGTTTTGTTCCGGATGTTATCGAGAAATCCAATGTGCGGGTTGGTGCATTGGCTCAGGCTCCTGAGCTGGCTCTCTTCCGACTCGACAAGTATTTGTTTCCAGAGGCTATCTGGGCTCGCGATAGGTTCATCCATTTCGTGGAGGAAATGATACGCCAGGGAATTCAAGCAGCAACCAAGACGGGTAAAGGGGCATTCTCAATATTGAGCAAGGCGATCGACCCAGAAACAGGCCTCCCTCTTCGCATGAAGGAGTTGGCAGGCGAGAGTGCCACCTTGATCGTTGCCGGTGAGAATACTAAAAAAGCAGCGCCCGGCATTATATTGCTTTACTAACTGGATCGTTTTGAAACAGGCACTGATACGACGTCCACTGCTGTTGCGGCTTGCTTATTCTATCTGTCTCACCATCCCAGTGCGCTAGAAAGGGCCACCCGTGAAGTCCGCAGCGCATTCGAATCTGCAGATTCGATTGGCATGGGCCCTAAAATGCACCAGTGTGTCTTCCTGCGAGCCTGTATTGAAGAGAGCATGCGCTTGTCCCCATCTGCAGCTAGCTCGCTGTGGAGAGAGGTGACAGACACAGGTGCAGAGGTTGACGGTGAATACTTTCCACCTGGGGTAGACGTGGGGACCTGCATCTACAGCATTCATCACAATCCTTCCTACTATCCCCAGCCTTTCACTTTTCGTCCCGAGCGATGGATTCCAAAGGAAGCTCACCTTATCCAGAGCGATGTCGAGTTTGCCCGATCTGCCTTCAACCCCTTCTCTATTGGGCCTCGTAGCTGCATTGGAAAAGGCCTGGCATACGTGGAACTGCATCTGGTCTTGTCACATGTACTGTGGGCCTTTGACTTGCGTCTAGCACCGGGTGAGCTTGGTCACATTGGTGAAGGCAAGGAGGATGCTCCCTTTGGACGGCATCGGGTGAATGAATTCCAGCTATGGGATCACTTGACTTGTGCTAAGCATGGCCCGTTTTTGGAATTTAAGCCCCGGATCTAGGTGTTGGGAGAAGGAGGTAAAATTATGTATCTATTGAATTGGAGGACGTTGCAGAAAGGAGGATGAAGGTGGGCAGAAAATGCGTCGTAATTTGGGTGAATATTCATATCTAAAATACAGGAGGTAAGTCAATTGACGGACATACAATTATTTTTATCATCTCCATTTGTAACGCTTTCACAATCCATTCCGTCAAGATCATATCAATTCCTCGAGACCAGGGGCTTCCCAGGACTTCGGCATAGTCTCGGAACCGAGGAAATCAGAGGGGATTAGGTTATGAATTCAGCCTGACCGCGGGAAGCCCTAAAGAGATCCTTCGTCGTGCCCAAACCCCTGCAGGTGGGCAGGTGGACTCCGTTAGTCCGATGTCTCACGTAAGCGGTTAATCAGCCCCGGAGGATTTAACTACTCCGTATGTGGCTCTTAATCCCTATGAGCCTGGCCCATATAGACCGCAGTCATACACATACCACAAATACGCCGTACATTGTAGTTATATCGTTTCCATATCCACTTCAATACAGCCCACTTCAATACCAGCTTCCATACCTGGTTCCGTACACATTTTATACCACGTACCATACCACGTTCCGTACTAGCAGTACCACTCAATATCTGTACAATTAGCCGTACCATGACGGTTACAATTCCCCTGCACTCCATGTTACGTACCATCTGGTGGGGATTTCAGTGGCTTGTTCATTTCACCAGCAGCTAACCAAATCCCGCTAATGCAAGGTAATTGGAACTAAAAAAATAAAAAAGTATAGCGGTCCGAGCCCTTGAGGAAGGTAGCTTGGATGGCAAAGCGACTACGAGGAAAGGGAGATACGAACAGAAGGATTACAGCGCTCCTTCTGCGCTTATTATATACGTCTTTTGCCTTAGACGGTTTGTGGCTTCGAACAGTTAGCGGGCGAAACAAAGCAGACAAGAACTTGCGCATTGTGAATCTCAATCTGCATCGCAAAATCAGCCATCATGAGTAACCACAATCAATTGCCAGAGGTTGTCTGCAAGTTTCCTGCCCTACAATCACAAGAAAGCGAAGTAGGATCGACCGTCGAGAAGGCAGAATTCTCGATTGAATTGCCAACGACAGAATTCCAGTCATGGCTACACGGCTTCAGTCGCGAACAGAACGTTCCTGTGTCAAGCATCTTCATTGCCGTATGGGGCCTAATTTTGAAGACTTTCACGGGGAACGGAGCCATCTGCGCGGGATTTGTGCTTGGAAATGCACAGCTTGAGCTGGTGACGGCCGTGGTAGAAGAGCAAGCCACCATCATAGAGTTGCTTCGGTCAGTTGGAGATGGGACGCGACCCAACGGAGACAACACAGCGGAGCTTCCTTGCAATACGGCCGTCTACTTTACCAGCAAGAAAGAAGAAATTAGCAGGGCCTTGAACGAAGTAAGTAAAGCTTATATGTCTGTGAATAGAGTCGGAGAGCTGACCATCGGTGGGTATCAGTTCGAAGTATCCCTGCTCGTGGTGGATGGAGAAACCGAGATGGACATAACTCTGGCGTTTCAAACGAATTATATTGCACCATCACACGCAAAGCATGTCGCACAAACCGCCGGTCAGTTGTTGAAGGAATTCCAGCTTGATGCCAGCCGACAAATCTCGCAGATAAACCTCCTGCATCCTGAAACCGAGGGACAGCTACAAACTTGGGCCAGTCAGTCTCCAACGGTGGTCGATCACTGTGTAGGCCAACTATTTGAGGAGTCAGTACGACAAAGGCCACTGAATGAAGCAGTGTGTACAGTTGAGGAGGTTCTCACGTACCAGGAGCTGGATCGCCTCAGTGGACGTTTGGCCGTTCACTTGCAGAGTCTGGGAGTAGGACCGGAGGCCGTAGTCATTTTATGCTTCCCAAAATCTGCCTGGGCCGTCGTTGCTATGATGGCTGTCATTCGTGCAGGTGGTGCCATCTTATTTCTGGACCCATCACATCCCACCGCCCGGCACCGTGAAATTGCGGATCAAGTCAAAACGCAATGGATGCTCACCGCACCGGAACATGCAGACCAGATAGAATGGCTTGATGGTGAGGTATTATCTATCGATCGTGCCTTTGTGAACTCCCTGGGACCCATTCCCCCTGGAATCGTTCTAGCATCAACCGCCGTCTCCTCAAACACATTGTACATCATCTTCACCTCGGGTAGCACTGGAAAGCCCAAAGGATGTGTAATTGAACATCGACAGTTCTTGACTGGGTCCCTTGCGCAGCAGAAAGCGTCTGGGATGAATTCCAATGATCGAGTGTTGCAACTAGCCTCATTTACCTTTGACGTGAGTATCCTTGAGATTCTGACCTCGCTCATATCGGGGGCCTGTGTCTGTATTCCAGACGACCGACAGCGGTCGCAGGGACCTGCCTCCTGCATTCAACAGTTCGGCATTACCTGGGCTTTCCTCACGCCATCGTTGGTGAAGTCCATGCACCCAGAGCAGGTACCAACACTCCAGTTCCTAGTGTTGGGTGGTGAAGCTGTCTTGGAGGAAAATATCCAGGTCTGGGCGTCACACGTGCGACTAGCGAATGGATATGGACCTACTGAATGCTCCATCGCTGCAACGGCAAATGTTGGATTGTCCATACGCACCAATCCCATGAACATCGGGTACCCCTTGGGTGGCTGCTGTTGGATTGTAAAGCCGGACGACCACGATAGTCTCGTCCCTATTGGAGCTCCCGGAGAGCTGCTCATCCAAGGTCCCATCGTCGCGCGGGGATACTTCCATGAGCCCCAAAAGACCCAGGCTGTCTTCCTGGACTCAGCGAAGTGGGTTCGGGCCGATCCAACTCCATCGCGCATCTACAAGACTGGTGACTTGGCTCGCTTTAACGCAAACGGCACAATCCACTTTATGGGCCGAAAGGATAGCCAGGTGAAGCTGCGCGGCCTACGAATTGAATTGGGTGAGGTTGAACACCGCATCGCCGCTCACCCACTTGTCAGCCAAGTATCTGTTGTTCTCGCGAAGGATGGCCCTTGCCAGGCAAAGCTGACTGCTGTGGTCTCCTTGAATGAGCTTCGGAACCCAGCTTCAAATCTTGAGTTGCTCACCGGAGATCACTACACCTTCGCTGCAGACCAGCTAGGAGAGGTTGCCAAGTCAGTCTCAGAGCAGCTGCCCAGTTATATGTTGCCGACCGTCTGGGCGCCGGTCTGGCATATCCCACTGACTATCTCTGGAAAGCAAAATGGAGTGGCAGTTCGCCAGTGGGTCCAAGACATGTCACTCGACACATACAATGGCCTGATAGGAAAAGGCGGTGACTTTGAGCGGGTCAGTCCATCAAATGATCGAGAGCGCGAAATCGAAGCCCTGTGCTGTGAAATTTTGGGCTTAGAACAGCCAGAGGAGGTGTGGCTAAACAAGTCATTCATCCAGAATGGGGGTGACTCTATCAAGGCGACGCAGCTTCTTGACAGATTGCGTCGCAAGAAAGTTGCTGTTTCGTTCGAAGATGTGATACAAAGAGCAACATTGATTGACTTGGTTCAGTGCATTGAGAGTCAACGTTCAATTGATCCTCCTCCCCAGGAGGTGATCCGTAAATATTCACCTTCCCTGGACCAGGAAAGACTTTCGCGAGTTGGAGTCGACATCGGATCGGTGGAAGATGTGTATCCCCTGTCTCCTGTGCAGCGAGGAATCCTCCTGAGCCAACAACAGAACCCAGAAAGCTACCAGCTACGTATCACCTGCGAGGTATTGTCCTCACCAGGAGATAAGGTTGATCGACATCGCTTGCTGGATGCGTGGCAACAAGTCACTGCCCGGCACCCTGCGCTGCGGACTATTATGATCGAAAGTGAAACGGAAGACGGCCTGTTCGACCAGCTGGTCCTGCGCGATAGCCAAGCGAGGGTTTTGGAATGGAAACAAAAAAGCGAGAAGGCCTTTTGGGAAGCGCAGGCCGATTTTACTCGGACAGATACTGCGCTGCAACCACCAGTGGTGTTCATAGTCTCCGCCACGGATGATGGCAAGCACTTTGTCACTGTCGACATAAGCCATGCCCTGGTCGATGGGGTCTCCATCTTGGTCTTGTTACGCGACCTCTGTCTTGCATACGATGACAAACTCACGAAGGGTCGTATAATCAAATACTCTTCGTATATCGACTATATCCAACAGCTGTCCGTGGATTCTTCATTGGAATACTGGACTAAGCACTTGGAGGATGCGATCCCCTGCCACATTCCAACTCTCAACGACGACCTCCTCGTTGAGGGTCAGCCAGGCGAGCTGAAAGTGGATATTCAGGGCGTGGACGCGCTATACGAGCTTTGTGCCGCGAAGAACTTCACTCCGGCCACTGTTTTCCAAGCTGCATGGGCCCTCGTCCTCCGGGCCTATACGGGGCAGGACGATGTCTGTTTTGGCTATCTTACTGCAGGGCGCGAGATGCCTGTGACTGAGGTCAGTGAGGCAGTTGGTGTGTTCATTAACATGATGGTCTATCACACGCATATCTCTCCCGAGACCACGATCGCTTCTCTCGTGAAGGAAACCCAGCAGAGCTTTTTGGGAGGCCTTCCCCATCAACATTGTTCGGTCGCTGAAATCCAACATGCTTTGGGGCTTTCCAAGCCGCTATTCAACACCATCATGTCACTGCAGAGTGCCTTAGGGGAGGACATATTCGGTGGAGAGGCTGATGGGAGGGTAGGTTTCAGGGTCGTGGGTGAATTGGACCCAACAGAGGTAAGTCCTGGGAGAGATTATCCTCCTTCCCTCACTCACAGACGTTCTGACTGGGCCTAGTATGATGTTTCGGTCAATATATTTGTCTCTAAGGAACGAGTTTCTCTGACTCTTCGACATTACCGGGCAATTCTCAGCGATGCGATGGCTGAGAACGTCCTGGCAACATTTTGCCGGGCCATCGACATCGTGGTTCATCAACACACATCCGTGCTAAGCGACTCGGACATGATGAGCGACCGGGATCGATCTCAGATCGCACGCTGGAATAGCCACGAATGGGCTGACCTTCATGTCTGTGTTCATGATTTGATTTCCGAACAAGTGCTCGCTCGCCCTCAGGCAGTCGCCATCGACGCCTGGGATGGCAGCTTTACTTATGAAGAACTTGATTCCATCACCAGTGCACTTGCTCAACGGCTGGTGCAAAAGGGTGTCAAACCCGAATCTCTGGTGCCAATTGGATTTCCTAAATCCCGCTGGACGGTTGTCGCCCAGTTGGCCGCGTTGAAAGCCGGGGGAGCGTGTGTTGCCTTTGATCCCGAGCATCCCAGAAGCCGACGGGAGCAAATGGTTCAGCAATGCGATGCTACTATCGCTATCGTCGCAGAAGGCAACGAGTTGCTATTTGAAGGACTTGTACCACTTGTGATCGTCCTTGGGGCGAAGACCATCGGTACCCTGCTCCAATGCCAGGGAGCTTCCACCCTTCCTTCCGCTGCACCTGCAGTCTCGCCCTCCAATCCAGCCTTTGTTGTTTTCACATCCGGCAGTACTGGTAAGCCAAAGGGGATTGTCCTGGAGCACCATGCAATCTGCAGCAGTGCAAAGGCTCATGGTCCCGCCATGAATTATGGCCCGGATGCCCGAGTCCTGCAATTTGCCTCGTACACATTCGATGTCAGCATCGGTGAGACTTTCACTTGTTTAATGAGTGGTGGCACGCTTTGCATTCCCAGCGAGGATGAACGGATGAATGATTTGGCCGGAGTCATCAACAGGATGAACGCCAAAGTTGTATATCTCACACCCTCCGTGGTGAGTCTGCTACATCCATCGCAAGTGCCCGGAGTCCACACCCTGGCGCTGGGAGGCGAAGCCGTGCGAGAGAATAACATTACCAGCTGGGCCGAAAACACCAACCTAGTGAACATCTACGGCCCAGCCGAGTGCTCAGTGTGGTCAACAGGCCTGCAAGGTGTGCCGAAATCGGCATCTCCACGTAACATCGGCTACGGTCTCGGCGCCAGGATGTGGATTACCAATGTGGAAGATCCAAGTACACTCTGTTCAGTCGGTGCGGTCGGCGAGCTTTTAATCGAAGGACCAATTGTTGCTCGAGGATACCTGAAAGACGATACTAAAACAAGCGCTGTATTTATTCAACCCCCTGCATGGTGGTCGAAGTATCACAGCTCGAGGCCTGACCACGACTTCAAGATCTATCGAACTGGTGACCTTGCCAGGTACAACTCTGACGGCTCCATTCATTTCATTGGCCGTCGGGACCATCAAGTAAAGCTACACGGGCAGCGTGTGGAAATGGGCGAGATCGACCGGACATTGCTGATGCACGAAAAGGTTCAGAATGCCTTGGCAATAGTGCCTACCAACGGCCAACTGGCAGGTAAGCTAGTGGTGGTGCTGAGCTGGAATGACGAGGTTCATGCTCTCAGTAAGGCTGGAATCGAGTTGCGAGGGGATTCCAAGGTAGATATATCACTAGTGCGAGAATGGCTCGCGACGAGGCTCCCTGCCTACATGATTCCCTCCACCTGGCTTGCTGTGCAGTACATCCCGGTCACGAAAAATGGAAAGTCCGATCGCCCATCCGTGGTTGCTTGGGTGGAGGACTTGCAGCAAGTTGATGACGACGTCACACCGAGTTGTAGCTCCAACGACCCCGATAACAGTCCGATGAACCAGATGGAAACAGATATCAGGGAGGTTATCAGCTCGGTACTCAATCTTCCTCTGTTGGGGGTTCCCATGAACCGCAGTTTCATGGCTTTGGGAGGAGATTCAATTACAGCAATGCAGACCTCTTCCCGGTCTCGAGCACGTGGCATCCAGTGTGCTGTCAAGAGCATCCTGAAGAGCAAATCAGTCCGTCAGATTGCCGCCGAGGCGACGATTCTCGCCAACCCTGGTGGGTCAACAAAGAGTGGCGGTCAAGCTTTCCATCTCCTACCAAGCATGCGGCCATCTGACCTTGACGAATGGGTCAAACGATTGGGATACACAGGACTCCCTGACATTGAAGATGCCTATCCCTGCTGCCCAATGCAGGAAGGCATCCTGATCAGTCAAGCGCAGACACCCGAGACGTACAAATTCTCAGCCGTCTGTGCTATCCGGGCAGTAGATACAATGAAGCCATTGGAAATGAACCGGCTCCAAATAGCGTGGAGGCGTGTCGTCGCCAGTCATCCTGTCTTGCGCACCTTTTTCGTTGAGGGACTATCAGGAGAAGCGATGTACAGTCAAATTGTACTGAGGGAACATACTCCCCGAATTGAGAGCGCCAATAGCCTGGAAAGTCTGTTGCGTTATCATCAGGAACACCCCGTCGACTACAACGAATGCGTTCCCCCGCACCGTATGACTGTCTTTGAGGATAAAGGTGCACTGTACTTCAACTTAGAGATAAGTCATACTTTGATTGACGGCGCATCAATGCCCCTCCTACTGGGAGATATCAGAGCGGCCTACGACAGTGAGATTTCCCCTGGTCCTCTCTTCAGTGAATATATCGCCTTCTGGCAGCGACAGTCTCGGGAGACTACCACCACGTTTTGGACCGAATACTTGGAAAATATGCAGCCAGCTATGTTCCCATCCCTACTGGATAAAATCGTCCCCGAAAAGGCGCTCCGCGTGGTTAAAATGCCAGTTACTGACAGCATGTTATCTCACCTCAACACTTTCTGCAAAGACAACGAGTTGACCATTGCAAATGTATTCCAGGCGGCCTGGGCGCTGGTACTGCGGGCTTACACCAGAAATGTGGACGTGGTCTTTGGCTATCTGTCATCAGGGCGTGATGCTGACGGCCTCGATTTGGATCACGCCGTGGGTCCATTCATCAACATGTTGCCCTGTCGAATCCAACTCGATGACTCTTCGAAATTGATCGAGGTCGTGAGAACAATAAATAGTGACTTTTTGGACTCTCTGCCGCATCAACACACCTCGCTGGCAGAAGTTCAACATCATTTGCGACTCTCTGGAGAGCGTTTGTTCAACACCACCCTTTCACTCCAACGATCCATGGTAGAATCCGATGAAAGAAGCAGTAGCATCGCTATCGAGTATTTGGGTGGTGCGGATCCAACGGAGTATGACCTAGGTGTGAGTATCACGGTCGGAGACGCTGTCATTGATGTCGATATCAATTACTGGACGAGTTTCATGTCAGATGAGAAAGCTAGCATGTTAGCCTCAACATTCAAGACAATTCTCACTAGCCTAGTGGCCACACCGACCAAGGAAATCCGAGACATTGACTTGCTTGGTGACCAACAACACCAATACTTGATGGCTCTCAATGACAACGGCGAAGTTCCAGAGACTATCGCAGGGTGCATCCACGATGAGGTCCATCGACAAGCTCTTGCCCATCCATCCGCACCCGCCGTGGAGGCTTGGGACGCATCATTCACGTACGCGCAGTTGGAGCAATTGTCCAACAAGTTAGCGACCAAGCTTGCGGCTATTGGGGTTGGACCTGAGCATGTGGTGGCCCTCTGCTTTGACAAATCTGCATGGGCTGTCGTGGCCATGCTGGCAGTTCTCAAGGCCGGCGGTGCCTATACTTCCATGGGCCCATCCCATCCTAGGTCGCATCTGGCACGAGTTATCCTGGCTACCAAGAGTCTTGTCGTTCTGGCAGGATCAAAAGCGTACGGAAGCTTGGTGGGGGACCTGGTGGATCATGTTATCGTCGTGGAGCCTTCTCTGTTCCCATCACTTCTTGATCATGATTCGGGAATCATTCAAAATGTCTCTCCGGATAATGCTGCAATGATCAACTTCACCTCGGGCAGTTCAGGGAAACCCAAGGGCATTGTGGTCCGCCACAGCGGTGTATGCTCAATGATAGCCCACAACGCGGACATGGGCATTGATCGATCCACTCGTGTCCTGCAATTCTCCGCGTATACCTTTGACACCAGCAACGGGGAGATTTTCTTCACCCTGTCTGTTGGAGGATGTGTTTGTGTTCCATCGGAGGACGACCGGGTCACTGATCTGGCTGGGGCAGTGACGCGATTGGGAGTGACCTATGCATTCCTGACTCCCTCGTTGGTCATCTCCCTGTCACCAGAGACACTTCCTACATTGAAGACACTCGTACTCATCGGAGAAGCTGTTCCCACTGATCTTCCACGCAAATGGCAAGACCATGTTCGTGTGCTTAACAGTTATGGCCCGGCTGAGTGCACCGTGATGTCCTCCTTCGCTGTTTTGGAAGATGACATGCCAGTGACCAGTATTGGACGAGCCCATGGCTGCCTGTTCTGGGTCACTGATCCCGAAGACAGCCAGAGACTCGTTCCTGTCGGCTGCGCTGGGGAGCTGCTTATCGAAGGACCTATTGTCACTCGCGGATATCTGGATCCGAAGCTGACCGCTAAGGCGTTCATTCCCCCTCCAGCATGGCGCGGACAGACGACCAGTGGGTCGCGACTGTACAGAACGGGGGATCTTGTCAGAATCCTTCCGGATGGAAACATGCTGTTCTTGGGCAGAGCTGATGGGCAGGTCAAACTAAACGGACAGCGTATCGCCACATGGGCCATCGAGGAGGATATCAATCGTCACCACCTAGTCCATCAGACAGCTCTTGTCATGCCTAGCCAGGGACCATGCAAGAAGAAGCTGGTTGCACTGGTGACTTTTGAGAACGAGGTATCTGCACAAGATGTTGTTACCGAAGGGGTTGTACCTTTCAGTGATGATGCCAACAAGGACCAAGCCATCGAGCGGATCGCCTCCATTCGGGCACGTCTCGCGGAAATTTTCCCCAGTTACATGATGCCGTCCGTTTGGCTGCTGTGCTCCAGCCTTCCCTTAACCGCATCAGGAAAGCTCGACCGGCTTACGGCCAAGAGCTGGGCGGAGAGTATGGAGCAACAGACATATTTCAATGCACTGGCTGAGAAGGAGGAGCAAATTGATCCCGCCGACGCTGGTATTCCCAGATCCAACGCCACAGAGCGTTTGCAGGGGATTGTCGGTCGTGTTTTGAATCTGCCGCTGAGCCAAGTGTCTCTCCAGCGATCCTTCTTCAATCTTGGTGGCGATTCGATTACCGCGATGCAGCTGGTTGTGACGTGTCGAAATGAGGGCCTGAAGCTACTGTTCAAAGACGTTATGCGTAGTGCTAGCATCGGAGCCCTGGCTGACTCTGTGCAGATGGTCGATCATGTCAATGTCTACCACCACAGGGACCAGCTAGACACGCCGTTTGACCTGACCCCCATCCAGCAATTCTATTTCCAGAATATATCCCAAGGAAGTCATGAAGCGGCAGCAAATCAATTCAATCAGAGTTTCCTTTTCCGCTTGACCTCCGACGTGCCCGTGGAGCAGTTGAGGGGTGCAGTTGACAAAGTTGTCCAGCGTCACTCGATGCTGCGAGCTCGATTCCGACAGTCGCACAACTCACAATGGAAGCAAATATTGATCGCCCATAGCGCTCTGGCGTATCGATTCAGGCAACATGCGGTGGAGAGCGAACAAGAGGCGCTCGATTTGGCACTGCATGCGCAGGAAGAACTCGATATCCAGAATGGACCTGTCTTCGGCGTGGAACACTTTTCTATTCCGGGCCAGAGTCCACTGCTCTTCCTAGTAGCTCACCATCTGGTCATTGATTTGGTGTCGTGGCGCATCATCTTCCAGGAACTTCAAGACTCAATCGCTGGGGAGGTCTCTCAAGCATCCTCTCCTCCATTCTCTTTCCAGCAATGGCAGCAACTGCAGACCGAATATGCCGCCGAGCATCTCCCACCGAGTAAAGCTCTACCCTACATAATTCCCAGGGCAGACTATGCTTACTGGGGCATGGAAGATGTTCCCAACTTTGCTGGCGACAACATCCAAATCTCTGCTGTATTGGCACCGCGGGAGAGTGAAGCTTTACTGACCGGTTGCCACCAGGCGATGAGAACAGAGCCTCTCGACATTCTCATTACAGCTCTGTTTGCCTCATTTATGCAAACTTTCCAACGGGCTCCGCCTGCCATCTTCAATGAAGGCCACGGCCGTCAGCCGTGGACCAGTGACATCGACCTCTCCGACTCGGTGGGCTGGTTTACCACCGTTTTCCCATTCTTCCTATCCGGACTAAAGCCAAATACCCCTAATAGGGAGATTGCTCGAGGTGTCAAGGACCAGAGGGGCGCTCTTCCCGCCAACGGGTGGTCCTACTTCACATCAAGGTATTTGAACGAGGACGGTGTGAAGGCCTTCGCCGACCACATGCCCGTGGAAATTGTCTTCAATTATCTCGGATTATACCAGGGATTGGAGCGTGCCGAAGGCATCTTCCAGCTGGTGCCGTTCAACAAAGGCGATGTGGGATCTGCGGTGCGCCGTTATGCCCTGTTTGAGATCAATGTCTACGTGATCAATGGATCTACGCATATCTCTTTCACGTTCAATCGTCATATGAAGCACGTGGACCGTATAAACAGGTGGCTCGAGAACTACACAGCCTCTTTGAAGGATATTTCTCAGAGTCTTGTTGCGGCGAACTTCACTCTTACCAAGAGTGACTACCCTCTTCTCGACATCTCATATCCCGATTTGGATAGGTTGCAGAACTCTACGGTACCAGACCTTGGACTGAAATTGGATGATATTGAGGATCTGTATCCATGCTCTCCGTTGCAAACAGGTATCCTGCTCAGTCAACTTCGCCTTGAGGATGCTTACCTCTACCACGCCATCATGCGGATGGACTCTTGCGCCGGCGTTTCTCTAAATGCAAATCGACTCGCTTCAGCCTGGCAGCAACTTGTCGATCGTCATACGATCTTACGGACAGTTTTCCTTAAAGGGATCACACAGCGACCGTTCGACCAAATGGTTCTCCGCAGCCACCGCGCTGTATCTCCGGTCCTGACTGCGCAGTCAAACAGCCAGGCTCTGGATCTCCTCAAGAACTATGAAAAGCTGCTACCATCGATGACCGAACCGCCTCATCGCTTGACCATAGTTCAGTGTGCAGAAGGCCCTGTCTACTTCCGGCTTGACATAAGTCATGCTCTTTTGGATGGAACTGCAATGTCGGTACTGATCAAGGACCTCGCATCTGCCTACGGAAACCAGCTCTCCGTGTCACCAGCTATCCCCTACAGTGATTATATCGCATACATCCAATCACAGCCGGCGGCGGATGGCCTAGAGTTCTGGTCAGATCATCTGGCCGATGCCAAACCGTGTCATTTCCCATCTCTGCTAGTGTCTAGCGAAGTGGAACCAGAGATGAGAACTATCGATGTCACGGTGCCTGACCACTGGGAGGTGCGTGCATTCTGCCAGGAGAACAACATTACACTAGCCAATGTGATCCGATTGGCATGGTCCCTCGTCCTTGCCGCGTATACCGGGGAGGAACACGTTTGCTTCGGCTACCTCACAGCGGGCAGAGAGGTTCCTTTGCCAGGCGTTGAAAGTGCCGTCGGTCCTTTCATCAATATGCTGGTTTGTGCGACAAATATTGGGCAAATCAGCCAGAAGTCAGTCGTTACGGAGTTGCAAGACCTACACGATGAATATCTCAAGATGCTTCCGTATCAACATGTCGGTTTGGCCGAGATCCAGCACGCGCTGGGTGTGACAGGCCAATCATTGTTCAACACAGTAGTGAGCTTCCAGCGTCGTGATGTTGGGATGCTGGTGCTGGACGATCTGCAGCTGACATATCTTGATGGACTCGATCCCACAGAGGTAAAATATTTTCCACTCGGGGCTGTGAATCGGTGGATAACTAATACTATATATTCTCCTAGTACGATATCAGTGTCAATGTCGCCGATACCGACCACGGTTTCACGGTAGATTTGGGGTATCTCACTTCACGCCTTTCCCCGGAATATGCAAACCATGTGGCAGGGGCTCTCTCCGCTGCGCTTACATCAATTTTTTCCCGCCCTTCATCCACGGTAGACTCCGTTGATATTTTCGGCTTCGCAGCCCGGAAGCAGGTCTTGGAGTGGAATTCCTCTATTCCTCCGATTGTGGAGGACTCTTTGCATTCACTCTTCCAGCGCAATGCAAATGCGTCTCCAAATGCACCGGCCATTGCTTCCTGGGATGAACACATGACCTATGCGCAGCTGGACAAGAAGTCATCCCAGCTCGCCCATCTCCTCGTCAACATGGGCGTGGCCTCAGAGGACCTCGTTCCAATTTGCTTTGACAAGTCAGTTTGGGCAATAGTCTCCATGCTTGCTGTTCTTAAAGCGGGGGCAGGCTTTGTGCCTTTGGATCCCTCCAGTCCAGCCAGCAGACTGGAACTAATCATACAGCAGACAGCTTCCACGTTGGTGTTGACTTCCCAGGAAAAGCTGGCTTTGGTAGTCGATCTGATCCCCAAGGTGCTGGTAGTTTCCGCCAATGCCAGCATCTGGGATGATGAGAATTCTTCCGTATTGAATGGCCTGGTCTCACCCCTGAGTGTCGCATACGTTCTGTTCACCTCAGGCAGTACTGGAACTCCAAAGGGTGTCGTGATGGAGCACACGGCGGCTAGTACCAGCGTAATCCACCATGGACAAGAAATCAGATGCAGCGCTGCCACGCGAATGTTCCAATTCGCGGCATTCACCTTCGATGCATGCATTTTGGAGATTTTCACAACTCTGGCATACGGTGGGTGTATTTGTCTCCCATCTGATGCTGAGCGAATGAGTGATATTGCCGGCTCCATGACCAGATTGAATGCCAATACCTCCTTCCTCACTCCCTCCGTTGTGCGTCTTCTTCGACCGGAGCAAGTGCCGACTCTGAAAACGCTTATCCTTGGAGGAGAGGCATTGCATCAAGACAACATCCAAACCTGGTCAGAGAGTCTGCGTCTCATGAACGGCTACGGGCCAACCGAAACCTGCGTTTTCTGCGTCATGAAGACCTTCGCAGACAGGAATGACCGGTGCGATGTCCTTGGTCGTGCTGTGAGCTCTGTTTCTTGGATTACTCGTCCAAACAATCATGAACAGTTGGCTCCAGTCGGGGCCATTGGCGAGCTTTTGGTGCAAGGGGGCACATTGGCTCGAGGCTACCTCCACGACCAGACAAAAACCGAGAGAGTGTTCATTGAGAATCCGGGGTTCTGTCCGACGATGGATGGTTCCATTCAGCGATTTTACAAGACAGGAGATCTGGTCCGCTATAACATCGATGGGACCATCACATACTTGGGCCGTAGAGACACACAAATCAAGCTCCGTGGTCAACGAATTGAGCTCTCCGAGATTGAACATCAGATCAACCGTCATATCGCGTCAAACACCCAAATTGCGGTCGAGGTCGTGGTCCCTCATGGAGACCAAGAGCAAGCCCTTCTAGCTGTATTTGTCTTCAAGCCAGTTAGGCCAGCGGACAGCGAGCTCCTTGGAGAAGTCACAGCAGAAACACGAGCCTGGGCATTGGATCTTAAGGCTCAGCTCGCTCGGGTTCTTCCACCATACATGCAACCATCTCTCTATGTTCCTACCAACTGGATGCCAACAACCTCCGCAGAGAAGCTAGATCGGAGGTCACTTCGCGATGCTGTGGCCAAGCTGAGCGATGGTCAGTTGAAGGGTTATTCTCTTCGCGAAGATGGTCGCCGGGCGCCTCAAACTGTATCCGAGAGGAAGGTGCAGGAACTCTGGCATCGCATCCTGAAAGTTTCCCTGGACGAAATTCGGTCAGAGGACAACTTCTTCCAAATGGGCGGAGATTCCATTGCAGCCATGAAAATGGCCGCTACTACAGAGGAGGACTTCCCCATCACTGTCATGGATATCTTCCAGTATCCCGTGCTGTTCGAGTTGGCCACCGTGATGGCTGCCAAAGGGTTCGCTGATGGCCACGAACGTCTGTCTTTGAAGCCATTTGAACTCCTGAATGGCATTGCAGGGGTTTCTGGGATCGTGGATGATATTAGCCATCAGTATCTCATCCCATCCGAGTCAGTCGAAGATATATACCCGTCTAGCCCTCTTCAGGAGGGTATGATGGCGCTTTCCATGCTCAACCCCAATTCCTACATTTTGCGACGAGTTCTCCGCCTGGGTCCTAGTCTGGATGTTGCTCGATTCCAATCAGCCTGGGAACTGGCCGCCCAGAAGAACCCGATCTTGCGCACGCGCTTCGTGCCGACTCCAAATGCCGGGTTTGTCCAAGTTGTGGTCAAAGGCAGTATTGACTGGAGAAGGGCGGCGGATCTGGAACAGTATCTGGAGCGGGACCGGGCCGAGGGGATGGTCTATGGGGCTGCACCAGTGCGGTATGGTCTCACAGAAGACGGGTACTTCATATGGACCGCACATCACGCCGTGTACGACGGCTGGTCGCTGCCGTTGATCCTCGACCAGGTCCAATCCGCCTATGAGCACGGTCGCTGTCCGGATTCCACTCCATTTAATACCTTTATCAAGCATCTACAAGCCAGCAATGGTCAGTCGACTCAATCTTTCTGGGCAGAGCAACTGTCCGGTCCCCGTCCATCGACGTTCCCCAAGCTTCCCTCGTCGTCATACCGACCTTCTGTGCGCGGCAAGGTGCAGCACGAAATCCCCGTGCCACACCCTGCAGACTCCACTATCCTCAGAACCACCATCTTGCGAGCCGCCTGGGGTCTGCTTCTTTCCCGGTATGCTGATAGCGACAATATTGTGTTCGGCATGACCCTCTCCGGTCGCAATGGTCCAGTCTCTGGTGTTGATACCATGATCGGACCCACCATTACAACAGTGCCTGTGCGGATGAAGATCACCCCAGCACTCACTGTCAGTGAGTTCCTTGCCCAGGTCCAGCAACAGTCGACGGATATGATTCCTCATGAACATTTCGGTTTGCAAAATATTGCCGGCATCAGCCCGGACTGTGCGCTGGGAATCGAATTCCAGAACCTATTCGTCATCCAACCAGTGTCAGACGGCACTGCTACTGCAGATCTCTTGCCCGGCGTGGAAGAAGTTGAGCTGCCTCTGGAGGACTTTGACAGTTATCCTCTGGTGGTTGAATGCTTCATAACCGACGACAAAATAATCGTTGAGACCCGCCATGATGATAATGTTCTCTCGGCCTGGCAGGTGCAGACTATCATGCATCACTTCGAACATATCTTGGAACAGGTCACGCAAATACAAAATCAGGAAGCGCAGGTATCCTCTGTGGATCTCTTCGGCACTCACGATCTCGAGCAGATCATCCAGTGGAATGGACAGTATCCGGAAATTGTAGAGTCAACTGTACCAGAAATATTCTCCAATCAGGTGGCAGAACGGCCAGATGCCTTGGCAGTTGACGGCTGGGACGGAAGTCTGACATACGGTGAACTTGACCACCTTTCGACAACCCTTGCTCACCATCTCGTCTCCCTCGGAGTCGGTCCAGAGGCTCTTGTGCCTCTGTGCTTTGACAAGTCACGATGGGCTGTCGTCGCACAGATGGCCGTCATGAAAGCCGGCGGTGCTTGTGTCAATCTCGATCCTGCCCACCCCCAATCTCGTCTCGAGACCATTGTTAAAGATGCCCAGGCTACAGTCCTTCTGACGAATCCTCGTCATGCCCATGTGCTCGGGGCCTCGAGCGGGTTGCAAACAGTGATTGTGACAGAGCACTTGATTTCGAATCTAAAAGACCTGACGCACGAGTTGCCAACTGTCAGCCCTCGCAACGCGGCATATGTCCTTTTCACTTCGGGAAGTACTGGTAAGCCCAAGGGTATCGTAATTGAGCATGGCTCGCTCTGTTCAAGCTCCAAAGCCCACGGAACACGCTGGGGGATTGGCCCGGGGACTCGACTCTTGCAATTCGCTGCGTACACATTTGATGTGAGTTGTGCGGATATATTCACCACATTGCAAAGAGGTGGCTGTATCTGCGTACCGTCGGAGGAGCAGCGTCTGAATGATCTCTCGGGAGCAATCAGCACCTTCCAGTGCAACTGGGCCTTCTTGACTCCCACAGTCGCTGCTCTGCTACCGGCAGGCAATCTCCCGTCACTGAGAACTCTGGTTCTCGGCGGCGAGGCTTCCACGCGCGACACTATTGCCAAGTGGCACAATGTGCTCGACCTCATGATCTGCTACGGTCCCGCAGAGTGCTCGATATATTGTTCTGGTGCTCCTCCAGCCATCGCGACCAGTGATCCGGCGAACCTCGGTGCAGCCATTGGGGCTCTGTATTGGATTGCTCACCCCCAGGACTCTAACCGCCTGACGCCCCTAGGTTGTGTTGGAGAACTTCTTTTGCAAGGCCCAACCGTCGCCCGAGGCTATCTTCATGATGCCGTAAAGACGGCCCAGGCATTCGTCTCGGACCCTGTTTGGGCACCCTTTCCAGGTTCTCGATTCTATCGTACGGGTGATCTGGTCCGCTACAATGAAGATGGCACGATCCGCTTTGTGGGTCGCAAAGACACTCAGGTCAAGGTCCGTGGCCAACGCGTGGAACTCGGTGAAATCGAGCATGCCATTCGTCTTGCAATGCCCAGTCTTGCCCACGCGACCGTGGATGCGGTGCAAGATCCTAGTCGTCCCCGGCAGATTGTGGTGGCTTTCTTGCATTATAGCAGTCGAAGTGGCCCTGTCGAGCTCAACGGCATGTCTGACAAACTGCAAGAAGAGCTCGTCACCCTGCAACAGACCCTCAGTCAACAGCTCCCATCGTACATGATCCCATCCATGTTTATCCCCCTTTCCCGTGTGCCTTTGACCATGAATGGCAAGGCTGATCGTCAGCAATTACGCGAACTCGCGACATCCCTCTCTCAAGAGGATATCTCAGCCTTTTCGTTGGCCAACACCGTGAAGCAGGAACCGACCACGGCGATGGAAACGCAGCTCCGTGCATTATGGGCCAAGGTCTTGCAAGTTGAAGAGAATAGCCTGGGCAAGAATGATCATTTCCTCCGGTGCGGTGGAGATTCCATTCTTGCGATGAAGCTCACGAGTCATGCGCAATCTGCAGGGTTCAGCTTGACCGTCCAGGACATCTTCCAAACTCCAGTTCTCGAGGCGATGGCAGCTCTCATCTCCCAAAAGTCACTGCAAGTGGTTGCACCACAGTTGACTGTATCCTATACTCCCTTCTCTCTCATCGATGACTTTTCCCTCTCCGATTTGCTTCCTAGCATGGCGCCCTCTATACACCCGGAAAACATTGCAGACATTCTCCCGGCGTCTGATTTCCAGGCCTCCGCGATTGCCCACTCCATGATGAAGACACATGGCTTGGTAAATTACCTCTTCCTCGACGGTAAAGGCGAGGTCCCATGGGACCTAGCATTTATTCAGGAAGCATGGACGCTCTTCCTTCAAACTCACCAAGTTCTCCGGACTGTATTTGCCGCCCACGGAGACCGCTTCTACCAGGTGGTACTCAAAGACATCGCCCAACCCCTCGGGTGGTATCAGGTGGAAGAAGAGATCGGACCGTTCTGCCTCACGTTATGCAAAGATGATGTCGACAAAGACCTACCTTTAGGCAGTCCATTGACCCAATTGACTGTTGTCAGTAACGAAAAACACCATCGGATCATTCTCCGGGTTTCTCATGCCCAATATGATGGTGTCTGTTTACCGCGCATCTGGCAGAGTTTCCAAGAAGTGCTCTCTGGTCGCACACCTGCTCCAGAGATTCCATTCTCCAACTTCATCGCCAATATCCATCCTGCTAGCCAGGACTCCCAAATATACTGGCAGGATGTCTTGTCGAACTCCACCATGACCCCCATTGTCGCGCAATTTAAACCGCAATATCGGAATGTATACGACCTGCACCTGACACGGACAATCCCGATTGCCTCCCAGTCCGGCTCTGGAATTACCTTTGCAACCATTTTGAAAGCTGCCTGGGCTCTGGTCCTCTCTTCCTTATCCGACAGCACAGACGTCGTCTTTGGCCATGTCGTTTCAGGTCGGAATATCCCTCAACTCAATATTGAGCAGGTGGTCGGTCCTTGTCTCAATATCCTCCCTACCCGTGTCGTGATCGACCCGACTGCGACGGTAAATGACCTTCTGGACGCAGTGCAGGCTCAGCATACGGCTCACATGGCTCACGAGTCGCTGGGTACCCGCGAGATTGTTCGAAGATGCAGCCCCTGGCAACCATCCACTCGCATGAGTAGTATCGTGCAGCATCAAAACATTGACCAAGATGCGACGGTGACCCTTGACAATCAGAAATATTTGGTTGGTGATTTCTGTCCCGCAGCGGATGAGGCAGACATTGCCATTAAGACCACCCCTCTTGACAACAACCAGATGGAGGTCCTTCTCATCACCTCGTCGCGCTCGGTTCAGGAATCCATGGCAGCGGTGCTTTTAGATCGTCTTTGCAACACAATTCATGCTATCTGTGACTCCACAGATGCTCAAATCGTGGTCTCGAAATTGATTCATTCTGAGGCCGTCCTTCCCTTGCCGAGTCCAGGGGTCTCCAACGGGGTGCATGAAGACTCTGCGACCGGTCGCGCCGACACGATTCCATCATTGGACGCAGATAAACTCTCTGCTGTTTATGACAGCTGGAGAATGATTCTAGCCCAGCCTGAATTGAAGTTGGACTTGGAATCCGACTTCTTCGCCGTCGGTGGTGACCTCGTCTCGATCGCGTTGTTGACCGCCTTCTGGCAGCGCCAGGGACATCAGGTAGCGGTCGAAGACCTCTGGGATCATTCGCAAGTCCGTGAAATGTTGGATGTCTTGATCCGGGCGCGTCACTAATTTTGGTTTTCTGAGATATTTACAGCGTGGTGTATCTGTTATTGCTTTGTTCTTCCAGTATATGGCGTTCATCTGGTGTTAAAAGGCCATCTTTCTTATTTCTGTCGCACAATATTTGTAGCATCTTGTTTATTCCCAAGTTCAATATACGTTCTATGTTCCTCTCTTTTTCTTCTCCTCCAATTGGTTAATATGATCTCCATAGATGCAGGAGAGATACCCATCCGCAGACCACCATATTATCTCGAACATTTCTTTCCTTTACGACTAAAGTAAATGAAGAGATGGATACTCTCAAAACTCTAAAGAATTACCTGCCTTGACAGCGAAGACTGAAACATGGCTACCTAAGTCTCACCCTAGTCAAAATAGCGTGCAATAACCCCAAATCCGACTGCCTAAACCGCTCTCAACACTTCTCTGTACTATCTCTTTAGTTGCGATTTGGAAGTGCCTATATATAGTTGGAGGGAGAGTGAAATGATCGAAATATCAAACATCAAAACTCAATCTCCCTCCTTCGAGTGTATGTTGCGACACCATGCATCTCCCCGTCGACCCTCAATTGACACTTCCGGATCTAATGGTGATGAAGGAGCTACTCAGTCAGAATGAACCAGAACATGAGCACAGCAGCACCAGCAAAGACACCATCCAGAAGCTGAATGCTCTAAATGACACCTCCGACCCCGACTTCGACCCCACGGTTTTCCAATTCTGGGAGACACATCTGCTGCGGGAAAAGCTGCCCCGGCCTATACGACAGTACCTCCTAGAGCCGTATATTTGCTGGGCCCAGGGTATCGTGCGCTTCCCAACTGACGTGGTGATGGTTACGCACCTCCTGCTTTACCTCACCACCTCCATCCCCAGCGCGCTCTGGCTCTACTGCTACCACTTCAGCTGGATCCACGGCCTTCTGCACTGGATCGTGCACGTATGGTACGCAGGGAGCTACACGCTCATGAAGCATCAGTACGTACACATGAACGGCGTGTTGGCACCTCGATATCGCCTGATCGACAACCTCTTCCCATACGTCGTCGATCCCTTGGTGGGCCACACATGGAATTCGTACTACTACCACCACGTGAAGATGCACCATGTCGAGGGCAATGGACCCCGAGATCTCAACTCGACCATGTGGTACGATCGAGACTCGATCACCGATTTCGCCCGCTATGTCTGCCGGTTCTTTTTCCTCGTCTCGCTGGAATTGCCGCTGTACTTTCTTCGCAAGGGCCAGTACTCTACTTCATTCAAGACGGCTTTCTGGGAGCTCAGTAACTACTTGGCCATCGCTCTGCTGTTGCGCTACGGTCATGCTCAGGCCACAATCTGCGTCTTCCTTTTACCCCTTTGGACACTTCGGGCGGGACTAATGGCGGGCAATTGGGGCCAGCACGCCTTTGTGGATCCTAATGATCCCTCGTCGGATTTCCGGTCTAGTATCACGTTGATCGATGTTGCCGTGAGTTTTCACCGGATGGAGTGCATTCCATTTCAGCCAGATTGCCTGAACTGACTTTTCTCTAGAGTAATCGATTTTGCTTCAACGACGGTTACCACACTTCGCACCATCTGCATCCCCGGCGCCACTGGAGGGAGCATCCGGTGGCGCTTCTTCGGGACCAGGAGCGCTACTCGGACGAGCGGGCGTTGGTATTTCAGAATATAGATTACCTCATGCTGACAGTTCACTTATTGCGAAAGAACTATGTGCACCTGGCTCAATGCATGGTTCCAATTGGTGCTGCGCAGAGAGCGATGAGTCTAGAGGAGCGGGCGTACTTGCTGCGCAGTCGGACCCGGCGATTCCCCGAGCTGCTTTTGGAACGGAGCAGCGCATTTAGGCGGCGATGAGGCTAGTGGGAGGGTCGGACATGGGTCTGGTTCGGCCGTTGGGAGGCGCAGTGCAAAAGCGAATGGCGTATTTAAGCGATCGGGCCACGAAAATCGAAAACTCCTTCGTGGGAATTTAGTGCGCCACGAGATTTTCTTTTGAAAAGGAGTGTTGTTCAAATAGGACTAAGACTAAGCACTACCCATGCCCAAGTGGATACGCGGGAATCTTCCGGTCTGCAATTACAATACTTACTTAATATAATCGAAATTAACCTTGGAACAGGTGTACTATACAGAATACAAGGAAATTTATATCGTGCATACATCATTGATTACATACCCACTTTCAATACAAAGTAACAAATACATAAGCACATACGTATATAACCTGTACGATGAAATACAGCCTACAGGGCTATATACCCGAGACATGGCGTTATTTAGGGCTAACTTGTCTTAGCGCTGACCACCATTAACCTAGCTCGGACTCACTAAGTGCTGACATGCATTAAACTTGCTTTAAACTTGGAAGGTTCCCGAGTGGCCAAGGCTGCAAGATATTATATAGTTAATTTATTACTTAACAATTAATCTAACGGTGTGCTTATTATTTGATTACTCTGTACAGAGTAATAATGGTTGCAATACGCAACATAACCAACATGCACGCGGGGCGGGAATCCACATTAGGAACAGCTAACTTATCTCATGCAGAGTCTCACAAGACTGGTTAGAAACGGCTGTCGCCTCGTAGAGTCCCCGGAACCGACTGGGAGGGTCCCGAGCTAGAAGTTCGCCTGGAGGGCCCAGTTCGACAATGGCCCCATCTGACACCACCGCGACGCGGTCAGCATCCAGAATAGTGGAGATGCGATGAGCAATTGTAATAACAGTGCGAGATGCAAAGTGATGGCGAATAATCTCTTGCATCGCTCGGTCCGTCTCCCGATCCACACTGGCTGTGACCTCATCCAAAACTACCACCGAGCCTGGACGAATCATGGCTCGAGCCAGACACAGCAGTTGTTGCTGCCCAATACTGAACAGGCCATCCGAGAGTTGGGCATGGATCCCGCCTCGCCAGGTCACTGTATCCCAGAGATGTACCTCCTTGAGTGCTGCTTCGATTGCCTGGTCATCGGTTGTTACACCGAAGGGATCGACATTCTCACGGATCGAGCCCGCAATGAGATGAGGAGACTGTGTGACACAGATTAGCCGGTTATATAGCGTGTCACGAGGCACAGTTGACACATCCACATCGTCAATGGTAATCATCCCCTCGGATGGGGTGAGTAGACGAAAGAGGCTAGTCGCGAGTGATGATTTGCCACTATAACACAAATGGTGAGTTAGCCAATGAGTAATTTTGAAGTGACGGTGAGCGACGTATCTAACCTTCCTGTCGCCCCACAGAGTGCGATTTTTTCCCCTGGAGCAATCGATAGAGTGAGGTTTCGAATCACCGGGTGAGGGGAGCCTTCATATTGAGCTGTCACATTTTGGAATTCAATCTGCCCCTTCTCAGGCCACCCTGCAGGAAGCACATTTTCAGTGCTATCGGCACCTGGCAACGGAGCATCTAGAGCAAATGCCCGAATGCGAGAAACCGCGCCGATGGAGATCTCCAGCTTGGTCCAGTTGGAGAGGAAGGCCTTGATACTGATACTTAACTGCACAATGTTCACCATCGCGATTCCCATGAACCCGGCGTCGACCTGCCCTTGAGTACGTACGCCAATGGCCACGACCATGATGGCTACCGCCGCCACCACTAGATCTAGCACAAGGTTCAACCAGCGCTGCACACAGTAGAGCAGATAGAACGGCTTTTGGGAGCGATCGAAGACTTCTCGATTACGATGGTCGAAATCCGCCTGCCACCCGAATGCCCGGATGGTGGTCAGACCGGAGATTAGCTCGAGGAATGTGGAGAACAAGGGCGCTTTGGCTTCAATGTCGAGCAGTCGAAGCTGACGGGCGGTCCGCAAATAGAACTTTTGAATTAGGTAGAAGACAGCCAGCAGAGCCGGCAGAGCAATGCCGAGCCATTTGGAGGTAATTGCAATAATGATCAGGCGGGCTGTACAAAGCAGTAATTCCACCGTAGTGTTGAATAGTGCTAGAGGCAGTTCCATATCCGACAATTGTAGATCCTGAGCGAAGCGATTCAGAGTCGTGCCCACATCTGTGGTCGAGAAGAATTGCAACGGTGCTTGAAGGACGGTAAGTAGGAGAGAGGCATGGAATCGCATTGAGGCCCGTGGCAGCATCCGCTCAGTAAGGTGCCTAGCAATCAGAATTAGGATATATGGTTTTGATAGCCAGGGATCAAGGAATGGGAATGGGAATCCTCATACCAGACTGCGACAGGGAGTGAGAGAATAGCTAGTGCAGACAGACCAGCATACCCGCCGAGATACTCCCCCATATAGGCGACAGTGTACTGATCGTCACGCTCCAGCCACCATTTAACCATAAATTCTGCAGGGAGGATTCGTTAATGGGAGATCAATATATTTAGGCCAATGGAACTTACGGGGTATGGTGAGTCCCACGACGAAGAGAGTGCAGGCAGCGAAAAATATCGACGCGCTGAAGGGATGAACTGTCTGAATGTAGTATTTGTATACCGCTGTATCACCAGTCCGTCGATCCTCTCCTGTCGGCGCTTCCTCCATCGAAAGAACCCGGGAGATTTCCAGGCCGGTGTCGTTAGATGTTCCAGCACTTTGATCCTTCTTCGAGGCGCTAAACACCATTTCCTTGGCGATTGCGATGACCTCGCTGGAAGCGCCTTCGTCTACAATGCGACCATCTGAGTCCAAAATGATGATTTGATCCGCATATGCGAGACGTTGTACTATTCTTGTCAGTCCTTTCTGGCTTATATGACCAATTTAGCGATGTTACTGACCGGCATGAGTGGCCAAGATGACAGTGGTCTCCGACTCCTTCAAAAGCCCATCTGGCCCGAACAGGTTATGAAACAGATGCTCTTCAGTCTTTGCATCCAGCCCACTGAACACATCGTCCAGCAGAAGGAGCTTTTCCCGGGCATAAACTGCGCGTGCAATTGCCTGTGGGCATGGTTAGTATATAGCAATGATCCACTCTATTTCCCACCTACCAATCGAGCCCTTTGGCCACCACTCAGAGTCATGCCGCTGTTGCCGACCCATTCTTGATCCCTGTGAGGAAATCCGGCAATGTCATCTTGGATCAGACACATCTTCACCACTTTGTCATACCACGGCTGGTTATACACACTAGTGCCCAGGATGTTGCATCGAATGGTGGCATTGGTGATCCATGGCGTCTGACTGCAGTAACCTATGCGAGGCACTGACACTTCCATCCGGCCATCACGGCGACTCACTTCCCCGAGGATGGCCAGCAACAGCGTGGTCTTGCCACAGGCCACTGGGCCAACCACGAAGTTGATACTGGACGACCGAACCTCGAAACTCAGATCCTTCAGGATCATAGGTCTTTCGGAGTCCCAGCCCGCATTGAATCCCTGAGCTATCACCATCTTCGGTTGCACCTTTTCGTCTAGGATTGCACATGGTAGGTCTGGTGGATAAGACACTCGGCGGTTTTCACCGGAGGTTCCAGTAGGCTTCGATAGATACTCGCCAATGCGAGCCACGGCGCCTAAGGCGGTGACCAACCCTGCAATAGCATCAAGAATGAGGGCCATAGGTGACTGCAAGAGCGCGAATAGGGATAACGCGGTGTAGGCCTTGTCATAGTTTAACATGGGGAAGCCATTTCGTTTCGCCAATAGGCTGTACATAGTGAATGCCAGGAGCGGGCCGGAGGAGGTCGTGGTATAGGCTACCGATCAGTCAGCTGTCCGCGCAGGGGAAGATTTACACGTTCGGTTTGCCAGAACTCACAAAAGGTGACAATCAAAGTCAACGCTCGCTTGAATGGAGTCGACTCGGACACCTCCTTTGCCCGCAGACTTCGGAGCTTGTCGGCCATCAACTCTTGCAAGCCGCCCAGTCTCACCTCCTTCATGTTCTTCAGCATTTCCGACGTCACCTGCACCCTGTTTTGGATGGCCTGGAGCCAGCGTTGCTGCCGTTCCCCCATAGTGCTCGCCACCCCGAGGCCAAGGAGAGTACACACTAGAGTCGTTCAATATTAGCAAGGTAGGATTTGGACGCACGTAGGTTTATATATCGACGGTACTTACCAACGAATACAGCGGCAAATGCGACGACGGCTAGACCCAGTTGCCGTTCTAACAACCACAGGGCGAGGCCGATATCAATCGGACTGGCCCAAATTTCATGAACATGCTGCAGGCCGGAGCTGATACGCTCGACATCCACACTCATCAAGGTCAATGCAGCTGAGTCCCGTGCGGTGCCAACTTCCAAACGCATTGTGTGTCTATACACGAGTGGCACAAGGCTGCCACGAATCATCGTAATCAGACGAAATGTTTTGTGCTGGCTGCCGGCGGTAGTAATAGCCAGGCCCAGGTAGATAATCATGGTGGCAACTATCAGGCCATATCCGTAATTCTGGCTAAGAGGCCCATTGGCATCGGACACAAAACCTACCACGCGTGTGAGGAGGAATGGCTGGGCGAAGGTAAACCCCGTCAAACATAGTCGAGGGAGAAAGGCGGAGGCAATGGCCCATTTATGGTGGACCATCAAGAGCATCATCAAGGCGGAGGAAGACTTGGACTGTACTGTATCATCCGATAGAAGTAGTCAGTTTGTTGCCCATAACGTGATTTTACTAGAGAACATAAGAATTGACCATACCAGCATCCCATTTTTGCATAAAGCAATCTCCATCCTCGGCATCGTTGACACGGGCATCAATGCTGAGGAGTTGGTCGGCCTCAAGGACGTCTCGAAACCCTTGTATCAACAGCGGATTCAGCCACCAGAACATACTGCGGTTGAATACATTTGCAATCGTCTCTCGTGGCCATTTTGGGGCTTCTCCAGTAACAGATGGTCTCTGTTCAACTGACTCTAGCAGAAGCTTGACAAGGTCGAGTCCGAGGTTGGCAATGAAGACGGCACAGAACGAACGGGTCTGTATCGCCCAAATTGTTCGGGCCCGGATTGCATTGAGTGGGAGTGACAAGCTCAAGAAAAGGAGCAGCAGTGTTGAAGGCCTGGGAGAGCGGTAATGCTGAGTGTATGACACACTTATCATGGACAGCGCCGTGACAGCATCGAGAGACACCGCCGCAACTGTGGTCCGGGTCTTGGGGATCTGTAGCCGTGGCAGGAGCACCAGCACCAATATCGTAACTTTTACGCAGATCGATACCACATGGGCAATCTAGACGGTTTGAGTCAGTTCTGCATTGTCGGTGGGGGGGGGGGGGGGGGGGGGGGGGGGGGGGGGGGGG